CTAAGGTGAGCAGGAGGGAGAAAAAAGGCCTTAATGGATGTAGCAGTGAAGAAGTGGCTGAACGCTTTTAGTCAGAGTGAATAGAAGGGAGTGTCAAGAGAGATTTTTGATTTGGGGAAGCAGATTGCTGGAGTGGATATACCAAAAGTTAGAAGATCTGGGCTCAAATCCCTCCTCAGACACTTAATAGCTGTGTGGCTCTGAGCAAAACACTTAACCCCTCCCAGTCTCATCTGTAAAATGGGATTGTAAAGCACCTAACTCGCAAGGTTGTTGTGAGAAACAAATGAGACAACGTAAGATGCTTCGTAAACCTTAAGGTGCTATGTAACATTAGCAACCAGGTGCTGTCTCCTTCCATCTCTTGGTCAGGCAATTTTATTCTGTTGTTTCTAGGGTAAAGGTCATTCTCTGTTGTTAGCTCTCATCCTCCACCCCATACAGAAGCTCCAGCCTTTCTTTGATGCCCTAATATGGCTTTAAAAGCCCTTCCTGTTGCCTTTAGCTTCACTTGCCAACCTCAGCTCACTCTGGGCTTTTTCCATCCTGATATATTTTTAAAACACCAAGGATACTCATTTTCATGCTTGATGACCTGCTTTGCTTCCATCTTTTGTATCCTTTCTGAAATGGTTCTCTCTGCACGATCTCTTCAGATGACTGTTCCTCTTTATTGGAATTACTTCCTTTTGTTTCTGCAGAATTTCACTCCCTCGAGTCTTTAAATCTGCTTCAGCTATTTCTCCTGCAGGATTTTAGTCCAAGGGACCTACCTATCCTTCCTCTAATCTCTGAAATCTGCCCTCCCCAAATCTAGGCTGAATGTCAAATTCAGCCTAACTGATCCTTCTCTACAGCAAACTCTAGGAGACAGTGATCACTCCTACTCTCTCACCCTCTCTCACCCCACCCCACCCCCATCCAATCAGTATTCCAGTCCAGTTGTTTTTATCTTCTCAGTATCTCTTATATATGGCCACTTCTCCCTTCATACTAACACCACCCTAGTGCAGGCCCTCATAACCTTATGCCTGGTTGGGTTTTTTGACTCATCTAGTCCATCATTGATACTTCAGCTACCAAAGTCATCATCCTAAGATCAAGTCTGACCCTATTACCCCAACTATTCCATTTACTCCAGTGGCTTCTCTTTGCCTACAGGACCAAACAGAAAATCTCTGATTTTTAAATCTCTTTGTAACCTGGAGTCTCCCTCCCTTTCCAGTTTTTGAACACTTAACTCATGTTCCACCACCCACCTCTGTGCCCCTCCTCCCTTTCCTACCAGGTATTCTTGTGATCCAGTGACACCAGCCTCTTTGCTGTTCCTCACACACAAGACCCTCTGTCTCCTGTGGTTTTATTGGTTATACCCTGTGCCTGGAATACTCTCCCTCCTTGCTTTAAATTCCACATAACACCCCACCTCATACAGGAAGCCTTTCCCAATCCCACTTCATGCTACTGCCTTCTTTCTATGACTATGTCCGATTTATCTTGGAAGTAAGCTCATTTTTCCATATTTGTTTGCATGTTGTTTTCCCTTACTAGACTGTGAACTTCTTGAGAAAAGGGAATGTTTTTGCCTGTCATTGTATCCCTCGTACTTCACATAGTAACTGGTATATGGCAGGTGCTTAATAAGTGCAATTGCTTGCTGACACAACACTTAATTGGACTCACTTGGCACTCCATTCTAGGCTGTTCCCTGTGCCTGGAATGTACTCCCTCCTCCCTCTGCCTCTCAGTATTCCCACCTTTCAAGGTTCAGCTCCTATGGAAAGTCTTTCCTAGCTCTTAGTACCCTCTCCCTCCTGCTCAAACTAATCCTATATTTAATGATCTGTCTACCTGCTGTCTACATACATCCTTTATATAATGATCTGCCTACATGTCCCCAGTAGAATAAGGTAGGATCAAGGTATGTATATCTTTTTAATGATGGGGGTGCCTTTATAGTTAGGGAGCTAACAAAAAAGGATAAATTGAAAATAAGAACAAGAGAAAAATGCCAAATCCTAAAAGCCACATAGGAGAAGAGCTCATGGGTATAAGTAAAAGATAAGGGCCACTTCATCTTCTGAGATGGAAATCAGAGGATATCTAGCTAGCTAACATTTATGTAATTGCTTACTATTTGCCATGAACAGTACTAAGCACTTTACAATTATCTCATTTGGTTCTCACAACAACCCTGAGAGGTAGGTGCTATTATTATCCTCATTTTATAGCTCAGGAAACTGAGGCAGAGAGAGATGAAGTGACTTTCCCAGGTCACACAGCTAACAAGTGTCTGAGACAGGATTTGAACTCAGGACTTCCTCACTTCAGGCCCAGTGCTTTATCCATCAGGCCCCTTAGCTGCTGGATAAGCTGCTGGGTGAAGACAGAGGTTTTGTAGGCTGGGAAATGAAGGAGTTCAAAACATATACTTTCAATCTTCTCAGTGGAGTAGGAAAAGGTTTAACTGTTTTCGGCAGGGAGCTAGAAGAGAAGGTTTCTAAGAGCTTCTGGAGGGAGTACAGCAAGATTATAAGGACTGAGGCAGCAGTGAGGGCTTAAGTGATGTTAGCTATGGGGCCTTTTTAAAAGGTCTAACTATTATAGGACTCTAGAGAGAGGGAAGTGGAAACACACATTTCATTTTCTGGAAGAATGAGATTGGGGTTAAGGAGAGATTGAGGAACTGGAGGTTTTATTCAGAGCAAAGAACAAATTAAGAAGAATGAAGGCAATGGGAGAAGTAGACAGACAGAAGACTTCGCTCAGAAGGGACTCTGATTGTCAGAGTTCAGCCTTTAAGACCTAGTTCAGTCAAGCAGGGGTGTGGAATGTGGGGCCTTGAGGCCACGAGGTCCTCAAGTGTGGCCCTCTGATGGAATCCAAACCTCACAGAACAAATTCCCTCAATAAAACAACTTGTTCTGTAAAACTTGGACTCAGTGAAAGGCTGCACCCAAGGACCTAGAAGGCCTAGAAGCCTGGAGGCTGCAGGTTCCCTAGCCCTGGTTCACAGCAATCGTAATATCCAAGGAAGACCAACTTGTATGGGTAGACGAGAATGGAGATGAAGGACACGGGAGATGAGGATGCTAGAAGACCATCAGGATGAATATAGAATTCACCAGGAAAGATGGCAGGCATTGGACTAGAGAGAACTCTAACACATCAGAAGTCCTGAAGTCATTCTACAAGGAGGGAGAGTGACTTGGAGTTTCGTAGGTCATACAACAAGAAGGAGCTGAACAGCGTACCAAAACTGGATAGTACTCCCTACACACAGCAGGCACTTAATAAATGTTTATTAATTGATTGATTTGATTATTGTATAATGGTAATCAGGTATACTGATAGAACTTTGCACTTAAAAAAAGTCCATGATGCCATGGTCCTCTTTGAGAATGAAGGACAAGCAATAACCTACCAGAGTATGAGCTCCCCACCAGGAACCCAACTGGCGCTGGGCAACACAGCTCCTTCCTTTTACCTTCCCTTCCCTTTTTTTCTTCTTCTCCCTCTGTCCATATAGGGTATAATATGTCCAAAGGAAAGTAAACAGGCTAGACCAAGCCTTAAACCCAATTCTTCTTCTTTCTCCTCCTCCTCCTCCTCCTCTTCTTCTTCCTCTTCTTCTCTAGGTAAAAGAGATCATTTTTTGCCTTGTTACTTAGCCTTAATCACTGAATGTGTCTTGCCTCAATCAAACCAAGTGTATTTCAGGCTTTGGGAACAGCCTGGACAGAAGATGGAATGCCAAGTGAGTACAATTAAGAGTGAAGCCAACCTGCACTTATTAAGCACCTACTATATGCCAGTTACTGTGCTAAGTACAAGGCAAAAACATCCCCTACTCTCAAGCTCAAATGGTTTAAAGAAAAGTGATAAATTTGTTTTGTATTTATTCTTTCTCCCCCACAAAATCAGAGTGCATTAAAAAAATCTCACACTCGTTTTTTATGTGCTAAAGAGCACCTTCAATGGCAGTTAAATAAAGGAGTAGATTAAGAGTATAAATCCAGGAAAAATCGACTGAACATACTGTCTGTTAACATCAGCTGTGATATGATACTGGCTCATTTGCATATGGCTTATTATATTGTTTTTCCCCGGGGTAATTCTTGCCCAAACTAGTAATAAATATGGATATAAAGATAAAGACCAGTTCATTCTATTCAATAGACCACAATTCGTTTCTGTTGGAGTACAAATTTACGAAACAAACCAATCAGCTCCCAAGACAGTAATTTAAAATGAAATTAGCTTTTCATAAAAGTGGAATTAAAACACACCTCTCTGCTAGTTAGCAGGAAGCATAGTGATATACATATGTATACACATTGTCAACGGGTCTCCTGAAGTTGCATTTTGGAATAATATTAGCAGGTGATATTAGTGGAAAAATCATGTAGGAGGGTGCAACAGTTGGTCCCCACCAAGGCACAAAGCCCCACCCTCCTGGGTTAGGAGAAATTGCAGGGCTAGCCCGTTTTGAAGCGTAACCGGGCTTGGTCCTAGGGATTCCCCCTAGGGAACGTGGGGTCTCGGGGTACTAATCCGTGCTGCGGCCCGGGCAACACCAAGTCCATCAGAGTCCAGATGATAACGCCGCCGGCACAGTTACTGACTCTCAGCACGGGTCAATTATCCTGGCATGTAACCGGTTCTAGGGCTCTGTGAGCGTAAAACTCGGCTCCATCCCCCTCTCCCGCAGAGAAAGCGCAGAGCCCAGCGACCAGCCAACCCCTTCCGCCCGCAGCCGCTCAGCGGGATTTGCTGCTTTCCCTAGAGAATCTAAAACTCCCCTGGCTCCACTCCCCCCCCCCCGCGTCCCACGGGAAAATGAGACGTTCCACTACTAGCTCCACCCCCTTCGGCCCCGGGAATACATTGGCCCGCGCGGCTCCGGTGACGTCAGGAGGCGCCTGGGCCAATCAGGGGAGCCGTCGCGGAAATTTCAAACGCGTTGGCAGCCGGTAGTTCTAGTCAGTTCAATTCCTGTCTCCCGTCGTCGGCGGTATGGCGGACGAAGGCGCCGTCACTGTCTGCGTTCGAGTGCGGCCTCTCATCAGCAGGTGGGCCTGCTAGAGATCAGGGTCCCCGGAGCAGGGGTGGGACCGGGGGCAGAATCGGTGTCTGCGCCCCTGGCTTTCACATTCACCCTGTAGGGGAGCTTAGCGTGTGGGTAGTGGCCGCTCCGTCTTACCTCGTCTGCTTCTTAGCTTCTCTCCGACCCTTTCTCTTTCCCCTCCCGCTCATGCCAATGCCTTCTCTCGGACACCCCTCCAGTTTACCCTGCCCGCATCTTGTGTGCACAGTTGTTTGCGTGTTGTCTGTCCCCTACCCCGTTAGACCGTGAGCTCATTAAGGGTAGGGACTTGGGTTTGGCTTTCTTGCCATTCTTTGTATCCCCAAGCCTGTCTCAGAGTGTCTGGCACACAATGAATGCTTGTTGGCTTTCCTCTCCAAGCTTCTCATAAAAGTCAATATGGAGTGTCCCATTTGATACCCCCCACGACTACCTTGTGGAGTAGGTACCGTTCTTATTCTCATTTTACAGATGAGCAAACTGAGGCTAAGGGAGTGGATAGAGCTCCACTACATGGCTTCGCTAAGGAATTTTAGAGATCATTTTGCTGTTCAGTCGCTTTCAGTCCTGTCTGACTCTTGGTGAACCCATTTGAGTTTTTCTTGGCAGAGTTATTGGAGTGCTTTGCTCCTTTTCCTTCTCCAGCCCATTTTCCAGATGAGGAAACTGAGGCAAACAGCATTAAGTGAGTGACTTGCCCAGTGTCACAGAGCTAGTAAGTGTGGGAGGTCAGATCTGAACTCAGGAAGAAGAGTCTTCCTGACTCCATGCCCAGTACTTGATCTATCCCCTGTACCACCCGGCTGCCTTAGAGATCATAGCATCACAGGTAAAGTTAGAAGGATCTTTACTAACCATCTAATCCAGCACTCCTCCATGTTTTACTGAAGAGAAAAGCAAGAGAAGGAAAATCTGTGGCTCTGGACTTGTAGGGTCTTTGAGATCCCTTCCAGCTCTGAAATTATCCTGCAGTCCCATGAGCAGCCCGATGTCACACAGATGTTGAGTGCCTAAGTTAGTCTTCAGATCTAGATTCTTTATACACACAGACTTTCATCCTAATGATCAAGGTCAATCTCCTAATTTTACAGAGGCCCAGAGGAAGAAAGGTGACTTAAAGTTATTACACAGTTAGCAGCCAAGCCATGAGTACTTGAAGCATAATAGATTCTGCTTCAGCCCTTTTACTCTGGGTGTACCTGTTTCAAGTGTGTTTCTTGTAAACAGCATATTGTTGAATTCTAGTTTCTAATCCATTCTGCAGTCCTCTTCTGTTTTATGAGTTCATCCCATTCAAGTTCACAGTTACAATTGCTCTGTATTTCCTTCCGTCCTTTTTTTTAACCCTGTACACTCTCTCTGTCTCTGTCTCTCTCTCTCTCTCTCTCTCTCTCTTCTCTCTCTTCCTTCCTCTTCACCATGTCCCACCTCAAAAATGTTTTGCTTCTTATCACCACCTCTCCCAGTCTGCCCTCACTTTTATCAGTCTCCCCCCACTTCTTTTCCCCCTCCTAATTCCCTATAGGATAAGATAGATAATTGAGTATGTATGTTATGTCCTCTTTGAACCAATTCTGATGATAGTAGGATTCAAGCATTGCCCTCCACCAACTTCCATCTTCCTCTCCACTGTGATGGAGATAATGTGAGATAATTTACCCCATTCTCCCTTCTTCCTTCTCCCAAGTGCATCTTGCTTTCTCACCTCTTAATTGTATTTTTTTTTTACCACCTCCTCCAGTCTGCCCTCACTTTTATTAGTTCCCTTCCCAGGCCCCTCTTCTTTTCTCCCTTCCCCTTCTCATTCCCTGTAGGGTAGGATAGATTTCTATACCCAACTAAGTTATTCCCTCTTTAAGCCAATTCTGATGAGAGTAGGATTCAAGCATTGCCCATCACCACCCTCCATCTTCCTGTCCACTGTAAAAACTCTTTAGTGCCTCTTTCATGTGAGGTAATTTACCCTATTCTACCTCTCCCTTCCCCTGCTTTCTCACCTCTCAATATTATTTTTTTGGATATCATCCCATCATAATCAATTCATATACACTCTCTGTCTAGCATACTCTTTCTAAGTGCTGTGATAATAAAGTTCTTAAGAGTTACAAGCATCATCTTTCCATGTCAGAATGTAAATCGTTTAACCTTATTGAATTCCTTATGATTTCTCTGTCCTGTTTACCTTTCTCTTCTCTTGAGTCTTGTATTTGAAAGTCAGATTTTCTATTCAGCTCTGGTCTTTTTATCAGGAATGCTTTTTTGTTGTTCAGTCATTTCTTAGTCATATCCAGCTCTTCATGCTCCATTTTGGATTTTATTGGCAAAGAAACCACTGCAGTGGTTTGCCATTTCCTTCTTCAACTCATTTTACAGATGAGGAACTGAGGCAAACAGGATTAAGTGACATGCTTAAGGACATACAACTAGGAAGTGTCTGAGGCCAGACTTGAACTCAGGAAGATGAGTCTTTCTGACTCCAGGCCTGGCCCTTTTTCCACTATATCACCTTGCTGCCCTCAGGGATGCTTGAAAGTCTTCTTCTTTTATTTAATGTCCATTTTTTTTCCTAATGAAGCATTATGCTCAGTTTTGCTGAGTAGATAATTCTTGGTTGTAATTCTAGCTCCTTTGCCCTCTAGAATATCTTATTCTAAGCTGCTAAATCTTGCGTTACCCTCACTATGGCTCTACCATATTCAAATTGTTTCTTTTGGGTGACTTGCAATATTTTCTCCTTAACCTCAGGGTTCTGGAATTTGGCTAAAAAAGAAAGAAGTCAAAGAAAAAGAGATAAGGACCCAAATTAAGGTAGTGACAAAGAAGTGAAAATATTTGGCCATTCCTTGGGTGTATGGAATGAGTGAGAGTGAAGAACTGAGAATGATACAAAGCCACAGAATTTATTTTTGACCCTGGGTGGCTGGAAGAATGGTGGTAACTTTGACAGAAATATCGAAGTTAAAAAAGGGGTGGATGTTAAGGGGGAAATCAAGTAGTAATTTCTCTGTCAAAACCCATCCTGCTTATTCCATGCTACTCATTGCATGGAGGAGAGCAAAGAGCCCTCTCCCTCCTGTCCCCAGGCCACAAGGTGATCAAGGGCAGAATATGTGTGTGTGTGAGTGTGTGTGTGTGTGTGTGTGTGTGTGTGTGGCAGGGGAGATTTCCCAAATGATAGTCATTATCTTTTCCCAAACCTTCACCTCTTCCAAACTTCCCTATTTCTGTCAAAGACACCACCATCCTTCTACTCTCCTAGGCTCATAAATTCAGCAATATACTGGATTCCTCCTAACTTGGCGGTCCCCCCCCCCATATATATCCAATAAGTTGCTGTATCTTGCTGTTTCTATCTTCACAATACATGTGGGGGCGTGAGGGGATAGTCCTAATGACAACTTTGGCTGGGGTCAACAGTCCTGAGGGGCCCATGCCATCCCAGAAACAAAGTTTGGAAGCTTATACAACAAAGGGAAAGGGCAGAGTGGCAGGTGTTGGCTGGTAATGGCTGGTAATGAGTAAAGAGTGTCAGACACTTGACGCTTACTATGTGACCCTGGGCAAGTCCCTTAACCCCTAAGGTCCTTTGTAGACCTTAAAGCACTATGGGAATGTGCACTGAGATGGAAATAATTGTAATAAATGAGGACTTTTTATTTTAGAGAACAAGACCTTGGTGATGCTGCACAACTTCACTGGAAGACTGAAGACAGACTGATTTCTCAGATTGATGGAACAAGATCCTTTAGTTTTGGTAAGATTTTTTTTTTCAGTCTTTTTTTTTATTAATTTATTTTGATTTATCAACAATCACTTCCATATGCTTTTGAGTTGAAAATTTTTCTCCCTTTTCCTCCCCACCACCCTCCCCAAGACAGCACACAATCTGATATAGGCTTTACATTTACATACCCATTAAACATATTTTCAGTTGTAAGTAAAAATTAAAACCAATAGAAGGAACCATCAGAAAGATGAAACAAAACTCAACAGAAGGTAAAAATAAGTGATAACAATTCAACTTCCATAGTTCTTTCTTTGGATGTGGACAGCATTTTCCATCCCGAGGCCTCTGGAGATGTCTTAGATCCTCGTAATGCCGAGAAGGGTTCAGTTTAACAATCTTAGTCATTGCATAATGTGGCTGTTATTGTGTACAAAGTCCTCTTGGTTCTGCTCACTTCACTCAGCATCAGACCATATAAGTCTTTCCAGGTTTTTCTGAAGTCAGCCTGTTCATCATTTCTTATAGCACAATAGTATTCCATTACATTCATATACCACAACTTGCTCAGCCATTCCCCAATGGATGGGCATCCCCTCAATTTCCAATTCTTTGCCACCACAAAAAGAGCTGCTATGAATATTTTTGTACATGTGGGTCCTTTTCCCATTTGTTTGGTCTCTTTGGGATATAGTCCTAGAAGTGCTATTGCTGGATCAAAGGGTATGCCCATTTTTATAGCCCTTTGGGCATAGTTCCAAATTGTTCTCCAAAATGGTTGGATCATTTCACAACTCCACCAACAATGTATTAGTGTTAGTTTTGGTAAGATTTTTAAGGAATTTCTAAGGGTCCATTTGTTTAGCTTTAAAAAACACTGACATGTGATAACACATGTGAATGCTGGATTGGGCATTAAAGAACAGATTCCCAAGATTTCTGTATTTTAGTTCACTGCAAACAGGAAATGTGTAAATGTTAATCTGCCTGGTGTGACTTAGTTGTGGCCTTAAGAGTTGAGTAAGAAACTTTGATTTGAAATACTTGTATACTGTTGTTGTTCTGTGAGTAAAGCTGACGTTTAGCATGTCTTCTACCATTTGACTTCTACTTTTGTGTCCATTCTTTTACATACTTCTGGAGAAAGTGATTAAATTGGCCTGAGTGGGTCCGCTACAAATCCACTCATATCCCTCAGTTGGGGCTTTCAAGGAAAACTGCTCTCACTATGGCTAGCAATGATCTCTTAGTTGGCGGGATGATCTTTTCTCAGTCCTAATCCTTCTTGACCTGTTTGCTTCATTTGACACTGTTAACCACCCTCTTCTCCTGCATACTTGATTGTCTCTGGCTCTTCCATGGCATCACTCAGTCCTGGTTCACCTTCTCCCTCCATACCTTCTCTCTTAGTAACCTCACCAGCTCCTGTGGTTTGACCTGTATGCAGATGACTCCATGACAGCTATGTCATGTATGGCTCAATCTTTTCCTGGACTTTTGGTCCCTGATCACCAACTGCCTGTTGGCCATTTGAAACTGGATGTTTCAGAGACATCTTAAACTCAACATTTCCCAAACTGTAGTCATTATCTTTCCCCAAACCTTCACCTCTTCCAAACCTCCCCCAAAGACACCACCATCCTTCTACTCTCCCAGGGTCATAACTTCAGCAGTATACTGGATTTCTCCTAAATCGGTGCCCCCCCCCATGTATATCCAATAAGTTGCCACATCTTGCAGTTTCTGTCTTTGCAATATCTCTTACTTCCTTCCGCCACGCCTGGCACGTAGTAAATGTTAAATAAATATAGCTGATTGAAACTGAAGCAAAGGAGGAGAAGATGGGTGAAGTTCTAGAACTGTGTGAGCTGTGGAGGGGAGGGAAAGATGGATGGCCTCAACTTCAGAGGTCAAATCTTCTACGAGCAGGGAAGAAGTTTTAGAATATCCACTGTAGGGTGTCATAGCCTTGAATAAAAGGATTATAGGATGATGGATTGATAACTGGAAGAGACCTTAGAAGGCATCTAATCCATCTAAGGAAAATAAAGCCCAGAGAGATAGTAAATGGCAAAACTGGAGTCATCATAACCTGAGAATTTTTCCATTCTTATGGTATCTTCCCTTTCCCTCAGATATCTCATAAAAGGAATCTTTTCGTGTTTTCCAAACTGTGTTACTTTCAGCATGTGTACTTGGTTTGGTCCAGGCTACTCTTTTTCTCTTTATCTTTTTAGATGTTCTTTGAACTTACTCATGCAGCACATTTGACACTGAAGTGTTTGGGTTCAAATAGTTCCCTGGAATTCATAATGAAAACAGACCCATATGGAAACATTGGCAAATTTGTTTGATTGTCCATCGGTTTCATCAGTGAATTATCTGGGGATCATGTGGCTTAGTTGGATATCATACCAAAGTTTCTGTAAATTTTGTTTTTGCTTTCACTTTGCAAAAGCCTCCCAAAAAACAGGGATCCCTCAGTGTCAGCAAAGCACCTGGAACATAGTTGGATTGCTTTTTTTTATATAGGTCACAGATATGATCTTACTATTTATGTCACAAATTGGACAGTAAAACTAAAGTCCAACCATTGAGATTCAGATTGTATATTATCATTCAAAGAGCCTTCCTAGGGGCAGGTAGGTGGTACAATGGATAGAACCCTGGCCCTGAAGTCAGGAGGACCTGAGTTCAAATGTAGCCTCAGACACGTATTAGCTGTGTGACCCTGGGCAAGTGACTTAACCCTGATTACCTTCAAAAATAAAGGAAAAAACAAAACAAATCAAAGAGCCTTCCTCAACAGAACAAAGTCTCTATCATTAAGAGAAATCCAGTTAGACTTCTCTTTGCAGGTAGAATTGAATTATAGCCGAATCTGAAGGAAGCCAGAAAGTAAAGATGTGGAGTAAGAGCATTCCAGGCATGAGAAACAAGCTGAATGTGGCTGGAGTCAGTGTCTTGTGGGAGAGACAGCAAGGAGGCCAGGTTCACTGGATCCCAGAGTATATGGGATGAAGGCCTAAAGGTCAGGCTTGGGAGAGGCAGGTTACGAAGGGTTTTGAATGCCAAACAGTTTGTTATATTTGATCCTGGAAGTGAAACTCTGCCTCTGAAGCTTATTGAGTGAAAAAGTAAGGCATGATATGGTCAGACCTACACTTTAGAAAGATTAATTTGACAGCTGAATGGAATATAAATTGTAGTGGGAATAAGCTTGTGGCAACCAGAGACCAACCAGAAGACTGTTGCCATAGTCCAGATGTGAGGCAGTGAGGGCCTGCACCAAGATGGTAGCCTTGTCAGAGGAGAGAAGGGGGTACATAGGAGAAATATCATGAGTTGACAAGTTGAGAGGAGTTGGCCCTTTTTAAAGGTGATTATGTTGAAGCAAGTAAAGTGAGTCATTCCACATTGTGTTTTAAGGGATCAGATCCATGAAAAATTAATAAATCTTCATTCATTAATTATTTGCTAAGAGGATTATTGGTTACTGTTGATTTCCCTTTACCAGTCAGTGATCCAGAATTACAGGGGAAGTTTGAGGATTTCTGTACATTTCCATGAGACTTTAAAAGTATTAATAATAGCTCACAATTCTATAGACATTGAAGGTTTACATATCATCTCAGTTGGTAGGTACAATTAGTATCTTCACTTTTCAGATGAGGAGAATAAAGCTGGGAGGTGAAATGACTTGTCTAGGGTCTCCCAGCCTGGAAATATCTGAGATAGAATTTGAAGTCAGGTCTTCTGGATTCCAGATCCACTATTTAATCCACTGTGCCCCTTCAAGCTTGTCTGCAACTATGTATCTTACATCAGAGGTGTGAAACATGTGGGCCCTCAACATTACCAAGTGTGTCTTGAACCAGATTCAAGTGTAGTTCCTATCTGATTTTGATATGTTACTATGTTAATTTTTTAAAATAGAAATATATAACGGGCATGGTTTTCTAAGGCAATTTGTAGCCACCAGGGATCCTTGTGTATGGTTTGCTGTCATCTGATTTTCCTTGACCTCATATGGGGTTTTCTTGGTAAAGGCGCTGGAATGCTTTGTCATTTCCTTCTCTAGCTTATTTTACTGATGAGGAAACTGAGGCAAACAAGGTTAAGTGACTTACCCAGGGTCACACATCTAGTAAGTGTTTGAGGCCACATTTGAACTCAGGCCTTCCTGACTCCAGGCCTGGTGCTCTATCCACTGTACCATCTCACTGCCCATGTATGGTTTAGTGGCCTCTGTTTCTGTGTTGTACTTGACACCACTGCCTTCCATTAAAGCTGCTAATCAAGAGTAGTATATAACAAAAGAAGTCAAGGATAATAATAGCTAATAATTATATAGAGCTTACTATGTGCTGGGCAACATGATAAGTGCTTTACAATTATTATTTTATTGAATCCTCACAATAACCTAGGAGGTAGGTGCTATTATTTTCCTATTTTATGAGGATTCCGTCATCCTCTTTTCTCCTTTCAGTTAAGGAGACTGAGTCAGACAGATTAAATGACCTGCCCAGGGTCACACAGCTAATAAGTGTCTGAGGCTGGATTTGGATTCAGATCTTCCTGACTTCAGGCCCAGAGCTTTAACCACTGTGCCTCCCAGATCCATTTGTAGGGTTCAATCATGACAAATTAGCAATGTGGACCCTCCATAACTTTAGAATTATCTGAAGGTGGTACAGTTTACAGAAAATCGAAGCATTTGCAAAACTGTTATAACTAAATTATTTGAACAATCTGTAATATTACCAGCCTCTTGTCTGGTACAAAATAGGCGCTCCGTAAGTGTTTATTAAGTTGAATGGTTTTCTAGTCACTTGCACCTAGGGAATTAATCGGGTGATCCACAGACCACACTAGTGAGCTCGTGTGTAAAGGAAAAGAGGAGTAGATTTCACACGGTAGGACCGGAGTTTGATTCCTGGTTCTGCCTCTGACTTCCTGTATGATCTCGGGCAAATCGTTCTCCTTCCCTATGACATAAGAGCGTAGACTTAATGTCCAACATCTCTCCCAGCTTACATATCTTTGATTCCATGATCGTGTTTTAGTTATGGCATTAAATTCTACTTTTGAGACTTTAATATTCTACTTCTTCAGGTGTCCTATAATGTTATAACCCGGGAGTGTCAAATACATGGCCTACAACACTCCCTATCCAAAGTAAGATGTGATTGGAAATATTTAACAAAATAAAAATACAGTAACAGAGATATTATTACATTTTAATTAAGTCAACGTGATGCCTACCTGTTCCCTATGTACAGTGCAGTGGTCTCCATTTCTTTTTGAGTTTGACATCACTTTTGTAAGCATTGTTGACTTACAGGGAAGCATCTGGTATACTAACTCTTGTCTACTTCTCTTTAGATCGTGTGTTTCATTCCAATGAAACTACGGAAAAGGTATATGAAGAAATGGCAGTACCAATTATACGTTCTGCCATACAGGGCTATAATGGTAAGGTTTTGGTGTATGCCGTCCAAACTTTGTGAGTGCCTTTGGTTATTTAATAATTACTTCTTAAGTGAGTGTTTTGAGCCTTGGACATTTAGATGAGGTTTTTTTGTTCCTTTTCCCAGGTACCATATTTGCCTATGGACAGACTGCTTCAGGAAAAACCTATACAATGATGGGTTCCGCAGATGGTTTGGGTGTAATACCCAAAGCAATTAATGATATTTTCATAAAGATTAAGGAGGTAAGTAACCTAGTTAAATTAGCAGCAGATCAAGGATATAGATAGTGTTAAGAGGATAATAATCATCACTCTTTACTGAACAGAAAAAACTATATCACAATATATTTCAGTTATAGCTGTCTTATGTCAGTGCTGACCCAGAGCAGAAAGAGCATAGATTCACATTTTTCTTTTCTTCCCTGTCCCTTCCTGAACAAGAGGTCAGCAAAAATCAACAAAAGCATTTAATGACTGTATGGAATTTATGATAAAGAGTATTAGATATCTTACTAGTTTTGAGTTGTTTGCTACATATCCTTTCTATCAGTAAAATTTGTAAGAAATGTGTATGCATACTTTTTTTTTTGGAGAGCCAGTTGTTAAACATTTACTAGCACAGGCCTGGGAGGAGCCATCAGCAGTAGAGAGAGCAGCAGATAGGGATTTTATCTTGTAGTCTTAGGTTCCTGACGCACTAAAACATTAAGTGATTGGCCCAGGGTCTCACGGCCAGGATATATCAAAGGTGGTGCTTGAACACAGGTCTTCCTGACGTTGAGGATGGTTGTCTATCCGCTGTGCCATGCCTGCCTCCATAAATGCAAAATAAAATGTAAGGAACGAATGGGTGGGTGGGGACAGTGGCATGCAAGAGCTGTGTAATCTTGGCCAAGTCACTTCAGCAGAATAAACCTGATTCCTCAACTGTATAATGGGGATGATAACACTTGAATTTCATGCATTATAAAGACCAAATAAAATAATGTATATGAAAGCTGATTTTAAATTGTGAAGTCTGCTAACCAATATTAAAACTCTGTGGGATAAGGGTAATAATCTGATTTATTAAAAGAGAAAGGCACATGCATGTGGGAACTCCTTATACTAAAGAATTCAGCCCCAAGGGCAGAGCTGTGGATATTTATGGGGAACGTTTCAGATAGGCAGTCCCTTTCCAAATAGGAGTGACATGGGAGGAGGAATTAAGCAGTGGGGAGGGAAAGGACTAATTCTCTCACAAAGGAGAGGGAAAAAGGCAGAGGAAAGGAAGGGGAACAAGGAGGATGGCAAAAGCAGCGTTCTTTTCCCTTGGGAAATGCTAGACTGTGAAGATAGGATGATCTGCTTGTCTGCAAGGGTCCCAGCTGCGCAAACAGGCACTCAGCCTGGGTTAGGCTGTGCAGAGCCAGGATTTTAGCCGACTTGGCTTCAAGGGCACTGAGAGTTTAATAGAGAGCTCAGTCACCAAAGATCACTGTTAATTAGCTTCATCTCTGGACAATAGGGCAACTCAAGAAAACAAATTCGGGGAGCCCTTTAACAAGTGGTACACGGATGTACACCATAGAAATGATCATTAGATGATTGTGCAGCTATTCACTTATTTCACAATATACCTTCTTTACTCCCTTTTAAATAAAATTATAAATGTAATGTAATTATAAATGTAATGTTTCTCTAATGTATAAAAGTTGTAAATGAATAGCCCCTAGCCTTTTGTAGAAAATGGCCTGTCTTATCCTCATGAATGCCCAGGAACAGTCAGTATTAGATTCTCTTCTCTGGATGCTTTCTGATAGCATTTTCTAAACTTTTTTTTTTCCCTTCTAGATTCCTGAAAGGGAATTTCTTTTACGTGTATCTTACATGGAAATTTATAATGAAACCATAACAGATTTACTCTGTGACACCAGGAAAATGAAACCTTTAGAAATTCGGGAAGATTTCAACGTAAGTGACTTGCAGTTATATTTTTCAGCCTTTAACATTCCCCTTTATTTCATGTGTCACTATTTTTTGGCTCTCTGAAAAAGAATCCCTTAAAAATTTATGAAATACTGGAAGTGTTAGCATTTGGTTAGAAGACTTAGAGATGAGAACATCATATTGGGATTTCATAGCTTGATGTATTTAGTCAGGTTTGGGTCATAGTCTGGTACAGTAATTCCTTTTCACCTTTGCTATCTATCCTATCCCATCGTTTTACAATGCAACTGTTTACTTTCCATTTCAATGAATTTCATATGACTAATGTAATTATTTTCCTCTCCTTTTTCATTGGAGGATTTCAGAATTACACCTCTCCAGTTAATCTCCCTATGATTCAAATTTGTTACAGAGAAATGTGTATGTAGCTGATCTCACAGAAGAGGTGGTCTCCACCCCAGAGCTGGCTCTGCAGTGGATCAAGAAAGGAGAGAGTAAGACTTCTCGCTATATTCTTTAAAAAATTTTCAATGAAGTCAATCTCTTTACAATGTGTTTTTTTATAAGTTCAGTGTTTTATACAACTTTTTACGTGAAATAAATTTAGTGGAGTATTTCTGTGACTTCATTACTTTCAGTTGAAATATGAATAATTTTGCAGGAAGCAGGCACTATGGAAAAACAAAAATGAATCAGAGAAGTAGTCGTTCCCATACAATTTTCAGAATGGTAGGTAGTCCTTTCCTTTCTTTTTTTTTTTTTTCAACTTTCTGATTAAGAGTACATTGATTTTCCTGCAACTTACCTTTTCTACCTAGATATTGGAAAGTAGAGAAAAGGGAGACCCTTCTAACTGTGATGGAGCTGTCATGGTGTCTCATTTGGTAAGTCCCTCTTGAAAACGATACTTTTCCATACAAGGCAAAGCAGTAGAATTAACTTTTTTCTCTCACAATTCTCTTCATTATAAATGTGGCTAAATTTTTTAAAAAAAGATAACTTTGCATATGAATTTACTGTGTCAGTGACATTTGAATAATAGGTGAAATTTCATAGAAAAATACTGTACGAATATAACTCCTTGATCTACTTCCTTAAATATCAATACTCTCATCACCTGTACCTTTGTAGCTTCATTATTTTGTCTCTGAGTTCCCTTTTAAGTCACAAATGTGGTTAGGAAAGGATCATACCTTAAGCTCTTATCAGCTGACATCTTATAATTAATTAATTAATTAATTGGTTGCCAGCTCTTAAGAATTGCAGGCAGAATAATATGAATGGTAGTGGGGAGGGAAACAAGGAACATTGGAAAGGAAGTTGGAAGGATGCTGAAGACAGATGTCATTTTCTAACCTTTGTCTTAGAGCTAGGTCTGAATATGATCCACCCCAAATCCAGGCTATGGATCCCTGAACTTCTTAAAGTTTCCAACTACCTTTCAGAAACACCACAGTTGAGAAACATTGATCTTATCTATAGTTTTTTAAATTGCATTTAAAGAATAATTTGTAAGCACTTAGGAAGCCCCACAAAAGATAGACCCATACCCCAATGCATTTTCTTATGCAGAGATTCCACCAACATCTTTCTAATCACTTGAATTTATAGTGTGAAATCATCCTTAACTCCCAACTCTGCCTCACCCCATATCCAATCAAATGCCAAATCTTGTCAGTTCTGCCTCCCAACGTCTCTGGATTTTCAGTAATCCAAATTAGAGGCAGCCAGTGGTGCAGTGGATTGAGTGCTGGGCATGGAGTCAGGAAGACTTGAATCTGAGATCCAACCTCAAACACTTAGAAGATGTGTGTGACCTTGGGCGAGTCAGAATTTATAGATGTATCTTATTCCCACTTATAAGTGGTAAGCTCGAGGCCAAGGATCATTTCTTAGTAGATGCTCAGATATTTGGAGTGAACTGAATTGGATAGAAAGGTTGAGGTTACCTAGCATAACCTCCCACCCAGTTGTAGGACTTATTTCTGTAGCATCAATGACAGATGATCCAGCTTCTATTTAAACCCTTTTGGCAGTTCATTACTTCACAGCAGATGATTATTGAAACGCTTCTCTGTTTTTTCCAATGCTAGCCTCTCATCATACATTGCTGTTTGTTTTATTTATCTGTTTCTTTCTCTTTGTCTTTCCTTAAGCATGGGCTTCTCTCTCCCCTCCATACCCCGCCACCATTTTGTTTCTCTATTTTTTCCCTAGGATGGTAGATCAGTCTCCTCCCAGAACTTCCACTACTCTACTTACTGCTAATAACTACCACATCCCCCAATTTCCCATCTCCAGTTGCCTCTTGGGCATTTCTTCTCGGATATTCCCAACTCAGCATGTCTAAAACCAAGCTCAGCTCTTCTGAGCCCAACTTCCCGAACACTGAGAGTAGCCTCCTCATTCTCTGTCATAGAGCCCAGATCTTCTTGGATTCCCTTGTTCTCTGTCTCCAATTACTTACAAAATGCTGTGTGTCCTCATTGCCATAGCTGCTCCCTGAGGCATTCATCATCTCACACTCTTTGACTGCAACAGTCTATTAGTTGGCTGCCTTTTTCTCCAGTCTCTTCCCTCTTCCCTTTTGATCCATCTCACAGGCTATTGTTTGTCTAATGTTACTTAGTTTTCAACAGAGATGACAATCTCTGCTCAAGAATTTCCAGCAATGAACTCTTCTGCTGTCTAATTGAAACTAAACTAGAATTTGAAAAACATAACATTGTGGGTTTGTCTTTTGTTGGATACCAGTCAGAATTGAAATGTGTCTAGGTTTTTTAAAAGTTTACAGATGTCTGCTTGTAACAAATACAGTTTAAAGGCAAATATTACTTATATGGATATTACAGATATTGGATTGTGGATAAACATATACTGGATATGCTTACTGTGTATCTAATGTATGCATTGAATGCAGGGTGTGTCTCTAGTGCTGTGTTAGGTATGAGAGATGAGTCTGTTTTGGCCATTGTGAAAAAAGGGAATCTGAGCCGAATCCTTTGAGCCAGGAGACCCAGTTTTCCTGACCTCACCTGGGCTTGAGATGACTTATCCAAAATAAAATAGGAGAGAGAGAGAGAGAGATGGTTATACTGTAGGAATTAGTTGGTGAAGTTTATTTTATTTTTCATATTTAAAAGATTTTTAACTTTCCTCAAAATTTAATTTACTTTATTTTCCATTGCATTTGCAGAATCTGGTTGATCTTGCAGGCAGTGAAAGAGCCAGTCAGACAGGATCCGAAGGTAAAAAAAAATCCATGAAATATTTTTGTGTTATGTTTTTATGATGTTTCTTTCCAGTGTGAGTTTGCTCATGTTCTCTAAGTCAGCCTCAAGCCCACTAAAGTGTGCCTAACTATACATCAGATCCCTGTGGGCCACATATAGGCTTAGGAAGCCACACGTTAACAGTATCTGTGTTCTCAGGTGTTTTATTTTTTTTTGTTAAATATTTCCCAATTATATTTTAGTTTGGTTCAGATTGCACTTGGAAGCCATGTGGGCCATAATGAGGGCCACAGTTTGACAACCCTGCTCTAAGTTATATGGTCTTCTGAAAGGCCTTCCAACATTTTTGACATTAATGTGGGTTTCTTTCCTTTACGAATTCTGACAGTAAGATGTGTTTTCTTTTGAAGGATCTTATCACAGTTCCTTGAGAAGCCATTGTCAGGGTCATCATAATGCTACAATGAAGCATCAGAGGTGAACCTCCACAGAATCCTTCTCTGATGCCTCATTGTGTTTTGGAAGTAGGGACTCTATACTTGAAAAAGCAAATCATAAACTGTTGCAAGATCTGCTATCGTAGAAAGGTATAATAGGATGTTCCTGACCCCAGACTGAGTCTGCTCCCTGAAGACCAAGCTGACCACAGAGACGCTTATCACTAGGAAGTTGTCTGTGGCAACCCATGAACAAAGGGAGGAGAAACAGCCTGCAATCCTGGGCAGATTCATTCATCCACCATGATGGTGGTGAGCAGTAGGAAGAAGCCAAGAATTATACTATTGTCAAACTATCTATAAATATTAACTGAATCATCAAGAGACTGAATCATCTCTCCATGTTGAATTCTCAAAATAAATAAAAACAAAAACAAAGGAAGTTACAACTGAATGGAAGAATATTTCCCAGGTGGTCCTCAAAAAGACAAAGAAAGAGTTGGCAAGATTGGGTTTCATATTCTACCAATGAGTAGTAAATGTTTTATTAGATTCATCTTGTAAGGTTCATGTTGAACATGAACAAAAAGACTGCTGTGAAGATGACTACTTCTTACTGTAGCAGTAATAATGAAGATGAATAATAATAGTAGCTAGCATCTATATAACAATTTAATGTTTGCAAAATACTTAACAAATAATATCTCATTTGATCCTCACAATAATCCTGAAAAAGGTACTATTATTTTCCCCATTTTACAACTGTGAAACTGAGGAAGCAAAGGTTGAGTGACTTGCCCACAATCCCCCAGCTAGTAAGTGTATACGTATATACACACACATTTTTTTCTAACTGTAGGAGTTCGACTCAAAGAAGGCTGCAATATTAATAGGAGCTTGTTTATATTGGGGCAAGTGATCAAGAAGCTTAGTGATGGACAAGCTGGGTAAGCTTATATCCTTACGTATATACTTATGGATGTCTAAGCATCTGACTGGGGTGGAAGGGTAACATTTAAATACCACTCAAATGTAAGTCTTATGACTTAATGAACTTAGTTTCTTGTGTATATGACTGAACTTCGTGCCCCAAGTTATCAGGTTATAAAGTAGTAATGATTTTAGCCTACTCATGTTGCTTGTAGGATATTAATAAAAATAGAGATAACTTTCCTAGTTGTGTGACATATGATATAACATTGTAAAGATAAAGATGGTTCTTAAGCTTACCATGTGGTTATATTAATGCTTAAGGAGCAATCTTTATTTTAATAAGTGCTCTTTCATTGAACATGTAAAAGTTACTAATTTTTTTCTCCCCACACCATACTTCATCGCAAGAGGTTTCATAAACTATCGAGATAGCAAATTGACTCGAATTCTCCAGAATTCTTTGGGAGGAAATGCAAAAACACTTATTATCTGCACTATCACTCCAGTGTCTTTTGATGAAACACTTAGTACTCTCCAAGTAAGTAGATATTTTTTTTTTACTTTGTAAAACACAAAATTACTACTGGAAGTCTTTTTTAGGAAGATAAATACTACTGAGATTAAACAGTTCAATTCAATCAACATTTTTAAAGCACCTACTATGTGCCAGGCACCATGCTAAGCACTGAGGAAACAAATCAGAAAAAGAAAGTCTCTGCCTTCAGGGAGCTTCTAAACTAACAGGTGAAGACAAGACACAAAAGAAAGTGGGAGCAGTAGTGGGGGATGAGTGGGGAACTGTCCAGATCTGAGTGGCATGTTGGCATCATGTTCTGTGGAGTCTAAACCAAACAGAGCTGCTGATGGAAATTGAGAGTTGGGTTCATTGTTAGAGTAAAAAATTCACCTCAATCAAGTTAACATGCTTTCCATTAAATATTGCTCAACAAATGCTGAGGGAGTTTATACTCTAGACTTGATGTGACTAGAAACAGCATGGAATACAAAGATTTCTTTTTTTTTTTTTTTTGGTGAGGCAGTCAGTGTTAAGTGACTTGCCTAGGGTCACACAGCTAGTTATGTGTCAAGTGTGTGAGGCCAGATTTGAACTCAGGTCCTCCTGACTCCAAGGCTGGAGCTCTATCCGCTGCACCACCTAGCTGCCCCAAATACAAAGATTTCTAAGACATAGTCTGGGCTCTTCTCCAGTGGGGAATATAAGGCATGCTCAGAAAACTAGAAAGTAATGCAATACCTGGGCACATGAGTACTAAACGATTGAGGTATCACTTTTAGGTGTTATGGTGAAGGTGAACTTATTCTTTGGAGAAGAGTTGCTATTTTTGGTTGGGCCTTACTGATCAAAATGGTGTGGAAAAAATTCAAGGAGAAAAAAATAGGATCAGCTGAGGTAGCAAAGCATGCAGTATGTTCAGGATTCAATGAATAGACCAGTTTGTGTAAAGCATAAAATGTGTGTATGTGGTACAGAGGAATCAAAGGATAAGCAATAAGAATGGTAGGTATAAAACTAGGGAGTACTTGCATGACAGTGGAAGAGAAAAGGAGCCATCCAGAGAGAAGGGTGTCAGGATTGTAGAGTGTCCTGGAAGCCAAGGAAGCAGAAGGCCATCCCTTCCTTGGCTAACAGTGTTAGACATAGTAGGGAGGTTGAGGAGTCTGCCTACTGAGGGAAAAGGCTTCATTGACAGTTTTAGTAGAGGTGGTGAGGGGAACAGCCATGTTTCAAAGAGTTAAGAAGAGAATATATGGTGAGGAATTGAAAGCTGTATTCTAGCTGAAAAACTGAAGAGGGGATGGAAAGGAATAGAGCCACATGATGATAATCAAAGGGAATTCACTTGATTCGCGCTATAGTTCTATCACATGCAAAGTAAATGTGAAGATGTGCCAGGATACTGCATATTTGTGACAGTACTTATGAAGGTTTGTGGATACAAAATGAAACTTGACTCTGGTTATGGTATGTCAGTAAAGATCATTTTCATCATATATTTTTCACATCATTGATTGTCAAAAGCTATTGATATCACCTTGACTTCTTAGAAAATTATGATGGTAATTCACTCCTTGTTGCTTGCAAACTGTTGGTATCTGAATGTGCTGCCTGGCTCCTTCATGGAGAAGTAATAGGAGTGAGAAAGGAAAGGAAGCATTTGGATTTGAGGTGGAATTATTGGTTGTTGGGAGCTGATTCAGTGTGCATAGGAAAGGGAGAGAGAGATGATGCCAAAGTTTCAAACTGAGATAAGAGGCAGTCAAGAGGATTAGCCTGGTTGAAAGGGGCAGGTTTGGGAGAAGAATCTTGGACATTTGATTATCACAATTGCTGAAGTCAAGTAACTTGGCATTTCACTTTTCATCAATGTATCCCTCACATTGATTAATGGATTATTAGCTATGTCTGTGTGGGATATGGTGGCTTTTATACCTGTTCCATTCGTGCCAATACTGTGTTTATTTAGAATTCCTATATTTATATGCTGCAGTGATTATTTCTAGGATGAGATTTGGCCTAGGTACTTTAGCAGCAATAAAAGGACAGCTGTGTGAAGGTCTGCTCTTTCCTTGGTATAAGACAACAGAAATTGAAATGGTTATGGAAGTTTCCTGAGGTGCCCAAACAAAGTAGAAACTTCTGTCAATTGAATTTTGTCATACCCATCTTGAAATTAACATTTGATGTTCTAGAAAATTATTGACAGTTGGTACAGGTTACAGTTACAGGATTGAATTGATCAGAATATATAATTACTGATTCATTTTTTCCCTGTGGATTTAATTAAATGATTGTAATTGTTAATGTTCTTTTTTTTCCTACCTTCAGTTTGCCAGCACTGCTAAATATATGAAAAATACACCTCATGTTAATGAGGTATTGGATGATGAGGCTCTCTTGAAAAGATATCGGAAGGAAATAATAGATTTGAAAAAACAACTAGAGGAGGTATGTGAACCATGTAGGATAGTTAGTACAGAAAGAAGCTTGATCCAGTATGACAATAATGAAATACGCTTTAAAAAAGTCAATAAAATAAGTTTACAACAATGTATTAGATGTATTTCCTTTTAGAGATTTATTTCCCGTAAGAGATACAATTTTGAAAATTTATTTTATTTTTCATTTGCAAATGGCTTAGTTCTTTGTGTATACTGATTTAAGATCTTCTAACCTTCTAACCAAGGAGATGGGTGGTTACCACAGGAAAATGGGCCTGAAATACTTATTTACTGCATCTTTTTACTGGACTTTGGTGTGTTTTGTTTTTTAATCTCTTTCTCTCCTGTTAACAAAGCAGCAGCAGTATGTAACATAAACATACTAATTCTTGTTGTGTTTTGTTTCATGAATATATTCAACATTCATTTATTTTAAAAATGATTTCGTTCCCCTGTGTACAGATCACTGTATTAATTTCTTCTGAAGAGGAAAAAGTAGGGATAAGACATGATTACTGCTCTAATGGAGCTTATTGTCTAGTGGGGGATAAAATGGTAACACAGATATCATTAATGTTGTAATTAGTAAACAATTAGTTTATAATTGGTAAACAAAATATTGTGTGAGATCTGAGAAGGGGAGGCCCCTATTCAGGAAGAGGGGCATTGAGGAATGCTTCCTGGAGGATGTGATGATTGAATATGGACATTGAAGATATATGGAACTCTGAGCAAAAGCATGGATGTCAAGCAGTCTTTTAGGGACAGGAAGTTATCCAGTTTTGCTGGAATATAGATTGCCTGACAATAGAGATAATAGTATGAAACTGCTAAGGTAGGCTGATGTCAGATACTGGAAGACGGTGTCAAAGAATTTAAGCTTCATTAAGTAGGTAAAGAGGCATATAGATGGCACAGTGGATAGAGTGCTGGGCCGGAAGTCAAATCAGCCTCATCATCCTGAGTTCAAATCGAGCCTCAGACACTTACTGACTATGTGACCCAGGGCAAGTCATTTAACTCTGTTTGCCTCAGTAAAAAATGAGCTGGAGAAGGCAATGGCAAACCACTCCAGTGTCTTTGCCAAGAAAACCCCAAATGAAGTCATGAAGAGTTGGACACCACTGAAATGACTGAACAGCAACAGAAATGAAAAGGAGCAGAACCACTAAAAATTTTTTTTTTTGGCTAGGCATTGGGGTTAAGTGACTTGTCCAAATTCACACAGCTAGTAAGTGTCAAGTGTCGAGGCCCGATTTGAACTCAGTCCTCTTGACGCCAGGGCTGGTTCTCTATCCACGACATCGTGTAGCTGCCCCACCACTAAAGATTTTTGAGCAGCCAATAAGGCATTCACTGAATAAGCATTTATTAATTACTTAACTATATTTACTGTCAATGCCATCAATGGATTTATTACCAAGAAAGATTATGCCAAAAATGGTATAAAGGACAGATTAGAAGAAGAAAAATTGAATCCAGGAAAATATTTTAGGAGGCTATTGCAGTAGATCAGATAGGTAGGTCTATAAGGACATATAAGAGATGGCTTAGTTGGGTCATGACATAGAGGGATAACTTATGGACCACCCATTGGTTTCATTGGTGCCTATTCAATGTCAAGAAATCCAGATAAGGGCCCTCAGTACCTTTGGGGAATTTCTGGGGAAGATTGATGAGAAGACATAAACAAGAATCACAAGAATGCGTGGGTGGATTTTTATTGGCACCATTGGAGAGAATGCTCTTGTCAGTGAGGTCACAAATCTCTTGATGTATCATGTTGTTTAATGAATTGAATTGAACTCAAAAGTTTATTTGACACAACTCCTTACCCCTTCTTACGAGCCAACCATTGCATAGTCTAAACATATCACTTAAGTCTGACATATCAAGGGACAAAATTCTTTTTTTTTCTTTTTTTTTCTTAATTTATTTTGATTATCAACAATCACTTCCATAAGCTTCTGGATTTTAAAATTTTTCTCCCCTTCCCTCCCATCCTCCCTCTGTAAGACGGTGCGCAATCTGATATAGGCTATGCAAATACATTCCTATTAAACATATTTTCACATTAGTGATGTTGTAAGGAAGAATTAGAACCAATAGGAGGAACCACTAGAAAGACGAAACACAACAAAACAAGAAAAAAATAGCAAATAGTATGCTTCAATCTGCATTCAAACTCCATAGTTCTTTCTCTGGATGTGGATAGCATTTTACATCATGAGACTTTTGGAGATATCTTAGATCCTTGCATTGCTGAGAAGGGCTAAGTCTATCAAAGTTAGGCATCTCACAACGTGGCTGTTACTGTATACAACGTTCTCCTGGTTCTTCTCACTTCATTCAGCATCAGTCCATACAAGTCTTTCCATGTTTTTCTGAAGTCAGCCTGTTCATCATTTCTTATAGCACAATAGTATTCCATTATAGTCATATACCACAACTTGTTCAGCCATTCCTCAATTGATGGGCATCCCCTCAATTTCCAATTCTTGGCCGCCACAAAAAGATATAAATATTTTTGTACATGTAAGTCCTTTTCCCATTTTTATGATCTCTTTGGATTACAACCTAGAAGTTGGGTAAAAGGGTATGCACATTTTTATAGCCCTTTGGGCATAGTTCCAAATTGCCCTCCAAAACGGTTGGATCATTTCACAACTCCACCAAGAATGCATTAGTGTTCCAATTTTAGGGGACAACATTCTGACAAGGTTGTTCCAAGTCCAGATCACTTGACCTAGACCTTGTTCTCAACCCTACATTACTCCTTTTAAAATTACTTACCAGCCCATGAATACAGCTTATTGCTTATTCGTATGGGAAGCCACACACATTTATAGTACTAGCTTGGCCCAAAAATTTGCCAGAAAAACCGTCAAAATCCTCCTAGTTATTATTCATTAAAATAGTCATACATAAACTCATGTATGATGATCTGGCCTATTTTACTTATGACCAAGAACAGAGTTTAGAATAGGCTATATAAAACCAAAATTCTGTCAGGAGACTCTTCCATGGTAGACCCTTCTTTGACCTTGTTTTATACTCCTATCGCTGTGCTATAAAGAACTGGACTATTCTTTTGTCCTTATCCTGATTATAGGTATTTACTTCCATCTACTATATGTATCTTTTCAAAATCTGAATTTGTAGATTGATTCTCACTGTAGTCACCTAGTAGTATTAACTCCTTTGTCCTGTTCATCAGCATAATCTATATCTTACACTTTTATTCTTGAAATTTTTCCATAGCTATGGATTGGTCTGGCTTGCACTAGAAAATTTTAAGCCAGTGGTTTCTGCCCCTCATTTCATCTACTGCTTTGTTTTGGGCAGAAAAAGAGTATCAGTAGTTATCTGTATAATTTAAGCCCCTTTGTGCCAGGTTTATAATGTGTTTCCAAAATGATTTCATCTGATGTCACCTTCTAGCTAGGTGATCTATAGTTTAATCTACTGACAATATTCTGTTTCTCCCTCTGTTTATCCTCACTCATTTGCTCTCCATGTTTCTTCCCTTGGATTCCTGAATTTTCCTACATGTATGTATCTTATTGAGGTATAGTATTACTCCACTACCTTTTCATCTAATCTTTTACTTTTAGGTTAAGGTATGCCCTTCAAGAGTTAGCTTCCAGGCAAGTGTCCCATCCCATGAAGACTCAGTGATATGTTCATGAGATCAAATTTCCATCCTTTAAGATAACTAGTCACTCTGGTTATTTATATTTTGTGAATTTGTGGATAAATAATGACACCATAAATTTTTTGTTGTTCTTTGGTCCTTTGATGTTATTCATTGTTAATTACTGGTCCTCTCCATTGATATTCTTATTTTGTACCTATAAATAAAACATAATTATTATGGTTCTATTCCTGTTGTGTCTGTTGTTTGTGTCCTAGAGGGTCTCATTCATCAAAATTGCTTAAATTGTATTGTCTCTTTACCCAGACATGCTAGGTAATTATTAATGACACTGGAATTTTAGGGACAATATTGTATATTTTTACTAAATTCTTTAGGAAATTATTATTATAATTTTTCTTTGATTTGAAGGACTGAAATGTGTAAAATGTGTTCTTGTAGTGTTTTTAATTTATACGTAACTCATCCTTCTGAATTACTTCTTAGTCTTCTAATGTAGTCTTACTAAAAATATAACAATCAAAATTGTAATATACAATAATTCCAACCCTTAGGTTTCTTCAGAGACTCGTGTCCAAGCAATGGAGAAAGATCAGTTAGCTCAACTTTTGGAGGAGAAAGACTTGCTTCAAAAAGTTCAAAATGACAAAATTCATAATTTAACACAAATGTTGGTGACCTCCTCTTCTGTCACATTACAGCAAGATCTGAAGGTAAAATTTAAATGATTACTGTATCTTATTATATAATCTTGATGTAGTGTTATATTAATGCTTCATTTTGATATAATTATATTCTATCTAATGCAGTTATATTGATATAGTTATCTTCATGATATGATTATAATATTTATGATACCTTTTGTTTTGGTATGATTATATGTTATTATTTATAAATTTAAATAATTTCATGGTTTGTATTATATAGATATATGATTATATGCTTTAAATATGTAAATATGCTCACATATTTGCATGGAGTTTATATAAATAATATAGTATATGTAATATACAAATACACATTATGTAATGTATTTCATTTATGTAGATATAGATATAGATATAGATATGTAGATATATAGATAGATAGATATACTTCCCTACTCTCTATGTGAAATTTTCTTGGTTCATATAATGCACCTATAGAGTGTTCAAGAAGCTCAGCACATTGTTTCCTTTTCTTTTTGGTCCAGATCTGGGAAGTTCAGGGACTTGTTTGTGCTCACAGAACCCGAATACCCTCACTTCGGTGCCAGCCCTCTGTACTCTGCCAGAGAGTATAGGTCAAGCTGGCTCTAACCAGATTAACATGTAATTGGGAAATGTTTAACAAAATAAACAAAAATATAGTACAGCCTTGAAAATGTTAATTTGTCCATTTCTAAGTCAATCCATTTTCCTTTGAGTGTAACACCACTGATGTAGATGTTGGAATCTCAGGTAAACAAACCCTCCCAGTAAGTGAATGAGCTGATTAGTGGCATAGCTTTAGATTAAAAAGAGGCCAAATCTTTTGTCCCCAGTTTGTTAGAGCAGAGATTGGCAATGCTTTCTTCTGATGTGACATTGGGGTAATGAGAGGTGCTAATAGGACTCCTGTTATAGATTTGTGTGGCACTAGGACAAAAATGACATTGTGCATGTCTCCCACACACATTATCTTGCCCCTCTCACAGCTTGTAGTCCTGGTTGTGCCCAGAAGTGTCTTCCTACAAAACACACAGGGCCATTTTGACCAACTTATTGGAAATTTGTTGCCAGTTTCTTGGTACTACAAGCATAGCTAAGAATAATTCAAACTGATCCTCTTCCAATTGATATATCTTAAATAAGAAACATAAAAGTATCTCAAAAGTAAAGCTTAAATGGCAATTCCATCAAGTATTAGGACAATAACCATTGTGAAGATATTAGAGGAAAAAGGCCTGTCTCATTTGCAATATCACCATTGATTTTAAGGTGCTGAGTTTTGCTTAGTGGGAATCACAATAATAAAATTACTTATAAAAACTTGAAAACATTCTGCTTATCTGTATTCTATGTAGTCATTTTGCTTGTTTACAATTTAGGCCAAAAGAAAACGAAGAGTTACTTGGTGCCCTGGCAAAACTAACAAAATGAAAGACATTGGCTATATGGATGACTTTGATACAACAAAGACCATTGTGGCCAAATCAATCAAGGCTCCTATACCTTCCATAGTAGAAACTGATGAATGTAAGTAATTCTGTTCAAACAACTTTGATTGTACTGTCATTCAAATTATCTGAATCAGAATTGTTTCAAAAAACAACTCAAGTACATTATATCCATTTGTTTCAATACAGTGTTATATGTACTATATGCATGTAGTGTGTGTGTATATATATGTGTGCATATATATATATATACTGTATATAATCAATATTGGTTTGTAATAAGAATTATGATAGAATATTGTCACATAACCAAGGAACAAATGAAATTTGCAAGCAAGAAGTAATTTCAAGAATAAATCTGAGTTCTAGTCTTTCCTCAATATTGACAATATTATTGCCATTTGACTAGCAAAATGAGACTGCATAAAGACTGTATAATCAGTAAGGGTAGAGCTGCCTCTAGTGATGTGACCATTATGTCCTAGCCATTCATGTTTGTGATCAACATCTATACATTTGAAATTAATAATAGCTGATATTTTTATCGTGCTTTCTGTTATCACATTTGATCTTCACAATATTCCATGTAGTAGGTACAATTATCCCATTTTGCAGATCAGAAAATTGAGATTTAATACAGTTAACTAATTTGCTCAGAGTCTCAGCTATTGAGTGTCTGACATGATTTCAGACTCAGGTCTTCTGTCCTCCAGGTCCATCACTTTTTCCACTATACTGTCTCTCAGTGACCACCTCTTGACTAACACACATTTCACTTCTATTTGTATCTCAACATTCAGTACATTGAAAAACTTTTTTGTGTATATGATGCTGTTGTCTGGAATTTTAAAATTAATGTATCAGTATTATTTTCTATATGTCAATATACTCTGACTCCCCTGGAGATCTACCATGTCACATTGAACAAGGTCCTCAGTCATTCCAGGTTAATGGAGAAAAGACTCGAAAAGTAGATTTTAGGAGATGGCTGACAGTGTCAAATTAGGCATAAGTCCAAAGTTTTAACATTAAGAATTTTCAAATGTAGAAACCTTGTTTAAATTGTAAAAATGCTCAGTATAATAAAGTAACTGTATGTGAAGAGCATAAGACAGCCCAGATTGTTTAACATAAAAACTCCAAACCAATCACCATCAATTGTTTCATCCCTTCCCTTCTGCTCATAGAATTTTATAAAGAGAAGCTACATAGCCTCGATATTGAACAAAATAAGAGGGTAATGGATGCACAGGAAATGCAGATAATTGACAAAATTAATCACTCAGTACTTCCTTTAAATGCCTTCTTGCATCACATCATCTACCTCCTCTCACGTACTTTTCCTTGTGATTCCAACCTCCCATCTTTAGTTGAAAGATTCTGTTGAATTATTTCCCTAAGGTGTGAGGAGGTTGATTCTCTCAGTGTTATAGTTGTAGGAGGTGTAGTTTAACTTGTTACCTAAAGCTGTGATTATTGTATGTCATATAATCCTGGGTCATTTTGAAGGTGTTTTGGAAAAGAAACCATCAGAGATTTTTCATGTGTGGAACTTTTTCTTTCTCTCTCTAATTTTAGCTATGTGCTCAGAGTTTGATATTTTCAGTAATACTTTTGAAACAATATCTGAAACGGAGTGGAATCCAGCAACAAAGCTGAATCAGGTAACACAAATAGTGTGATACAGAAGCTGTTATGTTACTACATTATATTGTGTTATTTTTGTAAGCATATTATTGGCATACAGTTTTAAGGATAAATCTGGGCTGTTATTAAGTCTTTACTCAGTATTGACAATATTGTGACTATTTGACAACCAGAACAAATCCACCTAAATCCAAGTATACATCAGTAAGGGCAGAGCTGCTTTTAGCGCTATCACTTACATATCCTACCTTAGTGGTTCCTTTTTGGTTTGACAAGACCACACACATGATGTACTAGTGGGGCTACCTAATTATATAACTTCCCTTCACTCCTCACTCCCACTCCTTGGTCAAAGGACTTTTGCAAATTAAGTCTGTTATCCCTGGTTTGCTATTAACTGTACCAGGACTTGTCGTTCTGACCTTTGGCAGAATATTCAACTCTAAATCTAGAAATAGACCATTCTTTCCTGATCTATAAAACACTTTTTTGAGTATTCTATGCTATCAGTGAATTTGGTGTAACTTCTAAATAAAGGAAGATTCTTTAGTATAACTTATGTAGGTTGTAGAAAGAGTTTTTGTTTTCTTGTTTTAATTTGTAAAATCTACCCATTCTGTCCCTTAGTAAATAGTAATAATTATAATAATAGCATTAGTATATTGCTTTAAGGTTTGAAAAGTGTGGACATGTGATCAAAATTTTATGGTAAGCAGGTATAAGAAAATGAGGTTCTGTCGTATTCTGGTTCATCTTGAAATAACAATCCCATAGTAGCTATTTAAGTACAGCTAAGTGAAACAGTGGAAAGAATGGAAAAGAGGAGGAGATTAGAAAGCCTAAAAGGCCTGGCCAGTGGAACTCTGTAGTAATCATGAGTAACAAAGTAATACAGTGAGAATCTAACATTATTTCCCTGAGAAATAAATTTTGCCTTATAAAATATCAATATTTCATGCTATGTGTTTTAAAATGTAAGTTCTCAGCTGAAAAAATAATGGATCCCATCAAGTGTCTCAGGAAACTGTCGATTTCATTTAATTGTACTATATATTTTGTAGTACTTACCAAACAGTGTTTTTCTAGATTCAGGAACAAGATTTATTGGATTCAGTTGAACTTTGTGAAACAATAATATCAGAAAAGGTAGGTTGAAAAGTGTGCTTTGTGAAGTTGTATATTTCTTGTGAATTGTTTTTTGAATTTTTGTTTGTTTATAACTTTACCCATATTCCTCTGACAGTGAGCTTCATTTAAAACATACCATATGCATGAGAAAAACTATTTATGTGTGATAATCTGATCTTTCAACAGCCTATCTTTTTATATCAACTTCATTAGCATCAGGAGCATCTTCTGTATTCCCAGAACCTAGCAGTGCTCTATGATTATATGATTGTCAGGATAGACAGAATTTTGGGTAAACAGAAAATATAGCATGAGTAGAGATAAAAGTCAAAGTTTTAGAAAGAGTCCAGATTTTCAGTGGAATAGTCAAAGGATGAAGTATTATGCTGGTGTAGCATTAATAAGATTGAACTGAGGGAAAAGTGGTGATGTCCTATGTTTTAATTGATCTAAAATGCTTTAGAAATGTGTTATCCTAGTAAATATTCAGGTTTGACTGAGTTAGAATTTTGACTGCATTTTCAAAGAATTTTATTATGGTTCAGTTTGTGGATTGCAGTATTGTTGAACAAACTTTCACCTTTGAAACAGTTTGGTTCCACAGATATTTAGTCCTTACAATGCTTTTCAGGCAAAAAGCTTAAAAGGTAATTTGGGAGATAGGACATATATCTAAATAAATATGAAGCACTATGCAAAAGAATGTGATACAATTTGAGGAGAAATAAATTTCAGCAGAAGATAAAGCTTTGTGAAAGGGGTGGACTTTAAACTGGGCCTTCAAAGGAAGGAATGATTTCGACGGATGGACATGCAGGCAGAACTGTTCCATTCTCTGAAGGTCATAACCTGGATGTTGTACTGGGTTCCTTATCTCCTTACTTTACATATCCAATCAGTTGCCAATGTAGCAGTTTTTACCACCACAGTTTCTCCTACATCTCACCTTCCTGCATCCACACAGTAACCACTTTCGTTTAGACCTCGTCACCTTTCACCTAGGTTATTTCAACAGTCTCCCGGATTGGCCCTCTGTTTCATGTCACTCCCCACTACTCACTGCTGCCAAAGTGATTTTTTTTTTCAGGCGATTGGGGTTAAGTGACTTGTCCAGGGTCACACAGCTAGCAAGTGTCAAGTGTTTGGTCTGAGGCCAGATTTGAACTCAGGTCCTCCTGACTTCAGGGCCGGTGCCTTATCCACTGTGCCACCTACCTGCCCCCCAAAGTGATTTTTGATCCCTCCATGTAAGGATTTAAAAACCTCGAGGGACAGAGTTTCTGGAAAAGTAATAATCAATTTATTAATTAGACTATCTAAATCAGTAAATTGATGATCAGTAGTTTCTCTCCAAAAACCAAACACAAAATCATGTAAAGGCTGAAAGCCTTAAATACTTTTTTAAAAGGGAATGCCCCGGGGGCAGCTGGGTGGCGCAGTTGATAGAGATCCAGCCTTGGAGTCAGGAGGACCTGAGTTCAAAAACGACCTCAGACAGTTGACATTTACTAGCTGTGTGACCTTGGGTAAGTCACTTAACCCCAATTGCCTCACACCCCCCACCCAAAAAAAAAAGAATGCCCCTGACAAATGAAAGTCAACCCTGATTGGTGAACGTTTAATGAGGAGGTAGGCTAGGACCTTCATCTCCCTCTGCTTGATCATGAAACTCAGACACCTCCAGCAATCTGTATTGTGGTATCCAGAATCCATCTCCATCCAAACCATATAGTTTTCTCCTTCATGAGCTGGATCACCCTAAATTCTAATGGAGAGGTGCAAGGACAAGGGCTGTTCTCCTTGGGGCAAGAACCCACCCAGAGGATTCTGTTTACATTCTGAACAGAAGTAAGGTCTCCTAATTAGGTGGGGTCTGGCACAAGATTGAGGGTTAGGGCAGTCTCATCAATCAGTCATTACTTTCAGAGACTGACTGACCTTCTACAGGGTCTGGGCCCTAAATGAAAAAGAAATAAAGGAGAAAAAAGCCTAGATCCTAATTTAATAATTGCTTGTTAATGTAAAGGAAAAATAATTTCTCTCACTCCAAATGCTAGTGCCCTCCTTCCCAAACTAACATGTATGCTAGTACTTTATACATATGTGTGTATGTATATGTATGCATTCACTTTATGCTATATGCCTTTTGTTTGTACTCTTTGTCTCCACCATTAGAATGTAAACTCAATGTGATTAGCAATTGTTTTATTCTTTGTACACATCTCCAGTGCCTAGCACAGCTCCTGGCTTCTTGTGGACCATTCTGTCCAGGGGGTTTTCTTGGCAAAGATACTGGCATGGTTTGCCACTTCCTTCTCCAGTGGACTAAAGCAAACGGAGGTTAAAGGACTTGCCCAGGATCACATAGATAGCTAGTTTCTGAGGCCAGATTTGAACTCAGGTCTTCCTGACTCCTGGCTTATAGTAGGTGTTTAATAAATAATTGTTGATTGATTGATGAGACATCTGCATAGTAGAACCACTAACATTGTTGTCATTATGCTTGCATTAACTTAAAATCTTGATTTGTGCTTCAGCAATACATGTTACTTGTTGACTAAGGAACTCTATTTAGAGGAATGGAATAAATAAGACAGAGCAAAAAAAGAAATGACCTATAAATATATAATTTCTTAGAGATGGAAAGCAAAATATAGGAGTTGGGGATATAGGAGACACAAATTAGCTTAAGGTGAAATTGCAAATCATGGTAGAAACAGGTGACAATTATGGATTCCTGATTTGTAGCCCAGCTCTCACTCTTAAGTGAAAGTCTGATTTTTTTTTTCCTCCATAGGAGACTGTGCAGAATGAGTTGAATTCACTGCGTGCTAACTTCGATAATCTGGTATTAGATTATGAACAACTACAAAGAAAAAAGACCGAAATGGAATTGAAATTAAATGAAAAGCTTGAGTTAGATGAATTTGTGACTCTGGAAGTGCAAACTATAAAGGAACAGGAGGTAAGAAATAATGAAATATTAAATATAATGAAATGTGGAGATTTCTGTCATTCGTTCTTAGGATTTGAGGCACTGATGATCTTTCTGCATATAAATGATACTATTTAAAGCATTCATGGGAAAACAAAATTTCATATTGGTGCTTCATGTAGTAGTTCAGTTTGGGGCTTTGATATATTTTGCCAAATAATTCACAAGGAAAACTTTTCCCATCAATATTTTAACTTGAGTATGGCCAAGATTTTGCTTGGTGCCTACTTGACTTAAATTCCCCCTCTGAATTCAATCCAAATCAAAATATTTGAATAGCACTTGTTTATATGAATAGAAACTATTAATAAAACTATTCTTTAGTAGAATATATTAAGTAATTGGTATTGATATCTTGAAAGAAATTTTCTTGTCTTTTCAAAAGCTGTTGTGATAATTTGCTGCTAATTAGCATTGAATAATTTAAGAGGAAAAATCTTCAAACTTTTTGGTATTTCCTTTATAAACCAATATTTCCTAGTGCATCTAAATTGCCTAGACTGCAGTATAAACTTGAAATGATAAAATATTTGAATTTGTTATATTTTGAATGTGATACAAAATTTTTATGTTTGTGATATGTAGAAAGAATGACTGTTATACCTTAAGTAGTGACATCTTTGCTGTGCATTTCATAAGACAAAAACAAGCCCACCCAATCCTGCTTTTTGAATTAATATATTGGGGGGTATAAAATGTAATATATTTATTATTTATTGTCACACAGAATTAATGATGGTGGCAAATTTATGAATTAAAAATTTTTATTTCACTAATAGATTATGTGCTGCTTCTGTTACACAGTGTTTTCTCCATAACTTTGTGATTTTCCCCTACAATCATTTGAATGATTCAGTGACATGACTTTTAGTCATTCTTTTTTGGTCAGGCAATCAGGGTTAAGTGACTTGCCCAGGGTCACACAGCTAGTAAATGTCATGTGTCTGAGGCTGGATTTGAACTCAGGTCCTCCTGACTGCAAGGCCAGAACTCTATTCACTGCACTACCTAGCTGCCCCCAATGTGACTTTTATTTATTTATTTACTTTTTATTTTTAGGCAATTGGGGTTAAGTGACTTGCCCAGGGTCACACAGCTAGTGTCAAGTGTTTCGTCTGAGGCTGGATTTGAACTCAGGTCCTCCTGACTTCAGGGCCGGTGCTCTATCCACTGTGCCACCTAGCTGCTCCCTCGACATGACTTTTGTAATTTGAATCTCTACTTTTGCTTCCTAAAAAAGATATCCCATATGATTATCTTGACTAATTGCAAACTTTTTTTCTTTATACTGGATATCTTAGTTAGTAGGAAGGAAGGGGCAGCTAGGTGGCACAATAGATAGAACACCAGGGCTAGAGTCAGGAAGATCTGAATTCAAATCCAGCCTCAGACACTTACTAGCTGTGTGACTCTGGGCAAGTCACTTAACCCTGTTTGCTTCAGTTTCCTTTTCTGTAAAGTGATCTGGAGAAGGAAATGGCAAACCAGTCCAATATCTCTGCCAAGAAAACCCCAAATGGGGTCACAGAGAGTCGGACACAACTGAAAACAGTTAAAAAATAGCAGGTGCCAATTACTGTGCCAAGCACTTTACGAAGGCTACTTCAACATTGTACGTGGCAACAGCAACTTGTGCAGTGATCAGCTATAAATGGCTTAGCTCTTCTCAGCAATACAGTGATCCAAGACAATTAATTTCAAAGGACTCATGATGGGAAATGCTATCCACATCCAGAGGAAGAACTATGGAGTCTGAATACAGATCAAAGCGTACTATTTTCACTTTATTTGTTTGCTTGGTTTTTTCTTTTCAGTCTGTTTCTTCTTTCACAACATGACTAGTATAGAAATAATGTTTTGCATGGTTACATACACACACACAAACACACACACACACACACGTGCACGTGCACACACACATACACACACACACACACACACACACATATATATAGATAGATAGATATAAAACCTATGTAAAACTCTTTGCTGTCTTAGAAAGGAAGGAGAAAAATTTGGAACTCAAAAAAATTTTTACATGAATGTTAAAAGTTGTCTTTACATGTAATTGGAAAAAATAAAATAGTTATTAAAAAAAACAGCAGCAAGTAAACCAGTAAAAACCTATTATCTCATCTGATCCTCACAACTACCCTGGGAGGTATGTCATTAACCCTCTTTTACAATTGAGGAGGCTGAGGGAAAAAGCAATGAAATAACTTGTCCAGGGTCACATAGCTAGTAAGTGTCAGAGGCTTGATTTGAACTTAGATCTTCTTGACTCCAGTCCTAGCAATCACCACTTAGAACCACCTTGCCGCCTGGGCTATTACGATGAATATCACATCTTTATTTAGGCTGTCAGTTTATTTTTCATTTTCTGCATGTGAGAAGCAAAATATTACAGGCGAGTACTATTCCAAAGGAAACTTTTCTTCCAAATTTAGAAACATTCTTAACCTTTTCAAAAATTTGAATATCTTTTTTTTAAAATTTAGTTCTTTATTAGCAACCAAAGCATTTTGTTAGACAGCAGCTTAAATCTAGATAAAAGCAGTCCTAAATTCAAGGAGGTGAAGCGAAGAGGTGGAGCCAGATTCTTACTTGTTGCTAGTATTCAGTATATAAGGCTAACCAAAGTATCACTAAATATAATTTGTTGTTAGTGAACTTTGTCCAGAAAGCAGCAGAAAGTGTCTTGTGGTCCTTTCATTAGAATCTTCCTTTAATTGGTGACTATTTGTGATAATGAAATATACCTAGGGAAACTTGAGACTCTCTCTCCCTTTTTGGATAGTTGTAAGTTAATGTCATTTGCAGATTTAATTATTTGGACAGTTCACATTTTGTCTGAATATGAGAATTTTGAGATTTATGATACCATAACCAAAATACAGAGTAGTGTCCCAGAATCTTTGAGGTACCACGTTAATTCAGGAATGTTGGGAAATGAAAAGTCAAAATACCTTTCCTGAGTTTCCTATAGATGAATTTGGAACCCGGAGTTACAATACCTCCTTTGCTCTGTGCACGCCACCTGGGGCAAGTGGCTGTTCTATTTGATGAACTCTTCCTGCTGCTATAGATATGTGGCACTAGGGCTGAAGAGCTAAGAGGCTAGACAGTACCCAATGTAGCAACCCCTAAGCTCCCCCCCCTCAAAAAAACCCACCCACAGTCTTTTCTAAAAAGTTTTTTAAAAAAGTATAAAGCTGGCCTTATAGTCAGAAATATACCTCAGTTCAAGTCCAACCTCAGACACACACTAGTGGTGTGACCATGGACAAGTCCTCTGAGTATACCAGGCAACTTTCTAAGACCATAAATTACATGATTTGTTGATTTGTATCGGTGGATGGAACTTCCATACCAAGAGTTCCCTACACTGATGAAAGCACAAATTTGGACTGGATCACTGTCTTTACCATAAATTTGTTCAAAGAAAAGACAGTGACATTGAAATTAAGATTACTAGTTGTCTATCACTTTTCCATCCTCTGGAAAGAGCTATACTAATTTGCTACATACTACCAATATTGTGGCTTTATTGGTGGCATATCTTGCTGGGTTGGGTTTTTTTCCCTCCATAGCTGAGGCCTGTTTGAAGACTAAGCTGGGTCAAATAATTGTTGTTCTTCTAGATTTTATATCCTATAATTCTTAGTTAATATATTGATAACTACTGTTTAATACTCCATAGTCCTATCTTTTTTTACTTTATTGCTTATTCAGCTGAGTACAGTTAGCTAATGACATTTCTTGGCTATAGGTAGATAGATTTTTGTTGGAGAGGTTTACCATTTCTTTCTCCAGCTCATTTTACAGATGAGGAAACTAAGGCAAACAGGGTTAAGTGACTTGCCCAGTGTCACACAGCTAGTAAGTGTCTGTGGCCAGATTTGAACTCACAAAGATGATTCTTCTAACTGCAGGTCTGACACTGGGCCACTTAGCTTCCCGAGAGGGAGACAGAGACAGGCAAACAGATAGAGAGTAAGAGAAGAGAACAGGAGAAAAGAAGAGGAGAGAGAATCTTTAGCTAGCTATTCTGGTGGCATATCTCCTAATAAATCTGAAATGCAAACTGCAACATGTAATTTTATTTTGCCTGTATAGTCATACCAGGAAATAAGCAATTAAATGTTTTCTCAGATAACGTTTTATGCTGTTGCTGCCTACATATAATACTTAGGACTATTTGAGGATAAAGTCTTTTGTGCCTTAGAATGCACAGCCCTATTTTCTTTTAACCCCTACAACAAGGGCATGTCTGAAGAGAAAAATGAGCAAGTGGCCTCTCACAGTTCCAGTTCTCATATTTTATTATTCAAAATCAATAATACTATCTTCAGTAAAAGCTAAAGTCTTTGCTTTAGTTGACTTGCTTGTACATTTTGTGCTTAAATTGTCTTTTGTTTTCCTTTGATTCTTTCAGAATGAACTAAATTTAAAATCCCAGCTGCTCAAAGAAAAGGAAGAACAAATCATGGAGCTACAGAAACTTTTAGAATTACGGAGGGTAGAAAATATGAAAATGGACTTCTCTACTTCAGTGGTAAAAAAAAAAATTAACATTGTATGATTGTGTAGCAATAGATGTGCATAATCTGTCAACAAAACATCACTTGTGGGATTAGGATTCACTTGAATGTTATTTTGCAGGATTAATTTGAATGTCAGTTTTTGTCTGTCACTAATATTTATGTGAAGTTTGACTTCTTTTTGAAGTCAAGGAAATGTAATCTATTTTTCTGAAGTGCTGAAACTGTGTGAGTGTGGAACAGGTCACATGTCATCCCATATATCAGACTACCTCTATTGCTATTATCAGTAATAAGTGAAAATTATCATTAGCGAATTCTCTAATTACAAACAATTTGAGTATTCTGCATAGCGAGTTGCTACTTTTCTTTACTTTCTCATTACATCTGTATCAATGTCAGTGAGCCACGTCTCCCCCTCGCTATACAGTGTTGGCCTCTTCTAGTTTACCAAACTCTCCCATTTTCTGGTAGTACAGTTGAAGCAATTTGCCTTTCATTCACCTTACTACATTGTCTTTCCCCAGTGTGGTTTGGCAAAAAGAATACCACACTGGAAGTCACTTGACCTGAATGGTCATTTGGATTTTGCTGCCTGCTAGCTATGTGATCTTGGCCAGGTCACTATTTCTCTAGGCCTCAGTTTTCCTATCAGCAAATGAGATTGACTAGAGGATTTTGAAGGTCTTTTTCCCACTGCCAATATTCTATAAGACTAGAATGGAAAGTTTTCTGTGGGAACTAGTAGCCATATTAGATTAAATCTTAGTGGTTCCATGCCTGAGAATAATATGAATCAGCTGGTTATACTCCTTTAAGATGAATTAAGTGAGCCAGCATTATATGTAACAGATAAACTAGTGGCCTCTCCATTAAGATCAGGAATAAAAACTATGAATGAGACAGCCAGGTGGCACCGCCAGACTGGAGTTAGGAAGACCCGAGTTCACATCTGGCCTCAGACATTTACTAGCTGTGCAACCCTTCGCAAGTCGCTTAACTCTATTTGCCTCAGTTTCCTCATTTCAAAATGCATTGGAGAAAGAAATGGCAAACCACTCCAGTATCTTCACCCAAAGCGGATCATGAAGAGTTGGATGCTACTGAAACACCTGAACAACCGAAAGACTAAAAATGTCTATTATCACTACTACTATTCATTATAGTGCTAGAACTGTTAACCATAACAATAAAATAAGAAAAAGAAATTGAAGGAATAAGCAAAGGCAAAGTGGAAACAGAACTAGTTTCCTATTGTAGATGGCATGATGGTTTACTTAGAGAACCCTAGAGACTTAACTAAAAGATTAATTGAAATGAAACCTTCCACAAACTTGTAAGGTGTAAAATAAATGGACATAATTGATCCACAGTTCTATATATTATCAAGGAAACCTTTTAAGATAACTACAGATTGCATAAATACTTGAGAGTCTATCTACCAAAGTATACATAGAAACTATATGAATATAGCTACAAAACACTTTGTGAAAAACAGAACTAAATAATTCAAGGTATATTAATTGCTTATGGGTAAGCCTGCCAATATAATTAAAATGATAATGCTACCTAAATTTATCTATTCAGTACCATACTAATAAAAATATCAAAGGATTACTTTACAGAGCTAGAATAAATAATAATAATATTCATCTAGATGAACAAGAGTTCAAGAATCTCCAGGGAAATAATGAAAAAAAAAGTGAAGAAAGGTAACTTAAGTAGTACCAATTCTCAAAATATACTACAAGCAGTATAGTCTTCAAAACTATTTGGAACTGGTTAAAAAGTAGAGAAGTTAAATCAGTGGAACAGATTACATGTACAACATGCAGAAGAATTCTAACACAGCATAGGGTTTAATAAACCTAAAGTCTCCAGCTGCTGGGTAAGGACTCACTATTCAACAAAAACTGCTGGAAAAGCAGTCCAACAGAGATTAGGTTTAGACCAACACCTCATACAATATACAAAGATTAGCGCCCAGGGGATATGTAACTTAGAGATGAAAGGTCATATCATAAACAGAGAAGATAAGCAAAGAAGAAATTCCCTATTTGTATATGTCATATTTATTAATCGAAGACTGCCTGAGCAAGCAAAGGACAGAGAAGATCATGGAAGATAAAATGGACAATTGTGATTATCTATAATTGAAAAGATTTCATGCAAACAAAGCTCATGCAGCTAAAATACAAAGAGAAACAGTTAACTAAATTTCTCTGATAAAGGTTTCACTTCCAAGCTATGTGAGAAATTGATTCAAATTTATATGAACAAGAGCCATTCTTCAGTTTTAAAATGGTTGAAGGATGTGAACAGGCAGTTTATAGAAGGAAGACATTCAAAATATAAATAGCTATATGGGGGAAGTACTCTAAATCATTAATAATTAAAGAAATAGGTTCCACTTCACATTCTCAGATTGGCAAAGGTCACAAAAAAGAAAAATGACATGTTGGAGGGACTGTGGCAAACCATGTCCATTAGATGCACTGTTGGTCGAGTTATGAATTGGTATAGCCACTGTGGAAAGCAATTTAGTTCTGTGACCAAAAGTAACTAAACCACCTACACCCTTTGACCCAGCAAAACCTATATTAGACCTATTCCTCGTAGGGACGAAAGAAAGAAGAAGAAAAAACATCAGTGTACAAAAATATTTGTAGCAGCTCTTTTTTGTAGTAACAAAGAACTAGAAACCAAGGAGGTACACATCAAGTGGTGAATGGATGAATAAATTATATAAATGTAATGTCATGGTCTGATGCCATAGGAAATGATGAAAAGGATAGATCAGAAAAAACCTAGAAAGATTTTTATGAACTGATGATAGAACCAAAACAATCAGTACAATATCAACTCTGTATAAGACAAATAACTTTGAAAAACTTGATCACTCTGATTAATGCACTGAACAGACATTCTAGGGGACTGATAATGAACTGTGCTTCCCATCTCTTGACAGTAATGTGATAAATTCAATATGCAGATTGAGAAAAGCTTTTGGGGGCTCTTGGGCAATGAAGGAATTTGTTTCGCTTGATTCTGCATATTTGTTATTTGATTTGAGGTTTTTTGGGGGGTTTGGTTTGTTTTTAAATGGGGGCATCAGAGAAAGTTTAAATGCTCATTAATTGAGAGATAAAATGAAATGAAAAAACAAAAGGAGAATAAGAATAACTATAATACCTATCTCACACATAGATTTATCATGAGGCCCCTATGTGGTACAGTGGATAGAACACTGGGCCTGGAATCAGGAAGAGCTAAGTTCAGATCTTGGCTTAGATACTTACTAAATATGTGACCCCAGGCAAGTCATTTAACCTCATCTGCCTCAGTTTTTTTATCTTTGAAATGGGCATAATAATGGCATCTACCTCCCGGGGTTCTAATGAAATAATTGTAGAGCACTTAGCACATAGTAAGTGCTACGAAAATGTTAGTGATTATGGGCAATAAAGTGCCTCAAAACTTTAAATGATCAGATAGATGTAATCTATAATTTTGTCGATGTATGCATGGTTGACATCTCTGTTCTTCCAGGAAAATCATGAGAAGTTATATGAAGAACTGAAGCATTTAAAGCAATCTCTCCATGATACTGAGACCATAGCCCTGGATGCCAAGAAAGAAGCAGCATTTCTTAGAAGTGAGAATCAGGATCTGAAAGAAAAAATGGTAAGTGGTTTTTTTTTTTTCATTAACAATTGTGGTGTCATGTTTTAATGATGATTAGTATTATTATGACCATTGATGTTCTGTTTAATAGGAGGAACTTTCAAGTAGGTGCAAGCAGCTGGAAAAGGAAAATCATCAGTATCAAAGTCAGCTGGAAGAGAGAAAAGACACTTTCAAAAGGAGGCAGGCTGATCTAGAGAGAGAGTTACAATCTGCTTTTAATGAAATAACCAAACTGACTTCCATTATTGATGGCAAATATCCAAAAGGTACTTTTAAACTAATCATTATATTTTATACTTTTCTTTATAAAAGGGAATTTTGTAAACAAGTATGTCTTGGGTTTAAGAACTGTATTTCAGTCTTTTTTTAACTGAAAAAAATATCGCACCCCATTTTCAGGTTTCCATAGTGTTTTAGTCTGATTTTTAAAAATTGAATTTAATGGAATAGTTATGTGACTTAACATGTGGTATTATGGCTTGAAGTGAGGAATATGTAATGATAATATATTTGTACAGATAAATCAGGCCAGACCTAGAAAGTGTTGATTTCATAATTGTTGAAAAACTGAACTGCCTCTTACTGTGTACAACCCATATTGAACTTTTCCTTTAAAAATCTGGTATTTTGATATTATATCTCTTGCCTTCTCAATGGAAGGAGGAAGGAATGGAGAGAGGCAAAAAATGTGGAACGAAAAATAAATTAAAATCTGATATTATTGTGCTGGTGATGAGAACAGATCCATTAAATATCTTTATTTCCAAAACTCATTCCATCAAAAAAAAGTTACATTTGTTTTTTAATTCACCAAAATTTTTTTAGGTTTTCTCCTTGCCGTGGAATTGGAAAGAAAAGTTAAAGATCTCCAAAAAGACTTGGATAAAGAGATTGAAGAAAATGCAGCTTTGCAAAAAGAAATTAACATACTGTCTGAATTGAAATCTTTACCTACTGAGCTAGAAATTCTGAGGAAAGAGGTAAATATTTCAAAAGAAGGGATAATTTTTCAAAAGTTTTATTTAAAGTCCTTTACCATAGTGCTTTGACTTCTGGGATATGGCTTATTATAGTGATAAGCGGGTATTAGATATGAATCCTATCTACAAAAATGTAGTTTATCCTCTGGTTTTTAACTAGGCAGAACTCATGTTATCAGCTGAAGTAGAGAAATGTTTTGCTAGTGCACTTAGCAGATGCCTATATTATGTTCCTTCCTGAATATTGTTTTCTGCACAATTTCCAATTTTTTGTGTTTGGACAAAGCTCTACTTGTTTTCTCTTAGACTTTTTTTTTTTGACTTCTAACCCTATCGCTGTTGGAGTAAAGGGAGGTGGAGGAAGAAGTATGGTGAAAAGGAAGTATTCTATGTAATGGGCTATAATCTAATATATATTTTGCAAGCTAGTGGACAGTTTTCCAGGTTTATAGGTTGTTTTTGTTGCTGAACTATCTATAAAGATAAAGAGACACAGTTTGGATAATGGGGCCTTTTGTTCTATTTCTATCTTATGTATTTTATCTATCTTTCATCTATTTTTATGGCTCCAACAATATAGTGAGGATTGATGAGTTAAGTGTACCTAATTCTGAAATAGATTTCCAAAGTACAGTGCAATTTAACTAACATTTCTTAAATCTCATTTTATTGGTAGAGAGTTGAAAAATCTGAAGAGCTGGATTTGATAATGGCAGAAAAGGATAAACTTCTTACCGAAGTAGTTTATAAAGACAATAGGCTTCAAGAACTACTTGATGAAATTGAGAAAACCAAAGAAGAGCTAGTGGCTTCCCAGTCAAACCATGAAACCACCACTCAGGAATACCAGGATTTCAAACGATACAATGGAGAGTTGGAACAGAATTATTTTACTATGCTTGAAGAGATGGAGAAAATGAAACAGCAGATTATAACTATATCAGAAGAAGCTCATGAAGTTGTTTTAGATTTGGATGATTTGGTTAGTGAACCGAGCATCAAGGTGAGTGAATTCTCTCCTTTTGCAAGAAAATCTGTTGCCTCCTATTATCCTACTATCCTATTATTCCGTGTTAGGTCATAGGATGACCTTGGGTTCTCAAAGGCTGTGAAGGTTGTGCACAAACTACTATGTCCAACCAGACTGGAAAGGCTTCAGCTATGTCTCAGTAATAGATGTCATGTTGTTAAATAACCCAGCTACACTTAGAGGTTCAATTTAGACTGAGCTCCAAGGGATAACATTTTTTGGCCATAGAGCAACTCTTAAAGGTTGTTCCGGCTGTAGTAAGATTGTAGCTTTTGTTGGCAGAGGGAGAACTTCCAGAATCAAGAATATTAGAAGAATTAATGAATTTGGATTCATGTTATAATTTTCCACTCTTTTACTGACGTCCCATGCTTTTTAATTCCATTTGTAAAGCTTCCTCAAAAAGTCCATCGAAAAACCCTTGAACAAGAAAAACTTCTCGAAGTGAGAGAACTTTGTAGGGCTCAGCAGAAGTTGGAAGAGCAGCTCAATAGTGGGGATTCTGGGCTGAGGACCGTAGAAATGGAGAAGTTGTTACTTACAGCGAAACCTCATGAGAGTCTTGAAGGAAGACCTGGTACATATGAAAAAGATGCTCTAGAACAACCTCAAGAGACCTTAGAGAGAGAGAAAGACCAGCTCAGGAAAGATTCTCAGGATGACACGAACTTGGTAAGAGAAAGGATTTGGATTGCATTATGAACTGAAATATTGGGGTCCATAAAATTGTTTTATAGTTTCATATTTTTCTTGTAGAAATTGTTTCTGTCATTTGTAATCTTTTGATAAAGAACGCAGGTACCCAGGAGGAACTTAGTAATGCTTCTGAATCTCTGAAATGTCAGGAAATTATGAACACCTCCAGCATTCCCGCAAGAGAGTCTGCTGATTCAGATGTTCGGGGAACCCAAGAAGAAATACTTCATGTATTACAAGGAAAAGTAAAATGCATTGTTCTGCATTTATTGTCTATTTAGATGGAGAGCCCTCCTTTGAATTCATTAGATCAGAATTCATTACAGGTGTTTGCTTTATTCAGCTTTTTTTTTTAAAGGCAGTTGGGGTTAAGTGACTTTCCCAGGGTCACGCAGCTAGTAAGTGTCAAGTGTTTGGTCTGAGGCCGGATTTGAACTCAGGTCCTCCTGACTTCAGGGCCCGTTCTTTATCCACTATGCCACCTAGCTGCCCCTTTATTCAGCTCTTTAAAAAAAATAAGTTCCTTCCTTGTACTAGGCCCGCTGGTAGGTTCTGAGGATACAGAGATTAAAAAATGAAATAGTCCCTGCCCTTAAAATCCCCGCTCATTTGACTACAGTTATATGCCACAGGCTGATATTAGCTCTACTTAATAAAAATTCTTTTGTTTCATTTTTGTCATGTCATGAAAATCTAATTGCTAAATATTTTAAGCAGACCTCTCACCTTCATATCATTTTCAGTTATTTTTATTTTTAAAATATGTCTTTCTTTTCCTCACAAATGGCACTTGGTACCTTTGCCTTTGCACTGGCTATCCCTCATGCCAGAAATGCCCTCCTTTTCACCTGCTTTTTTGAGGAGAAAAGTTTGGGTCTTTGAAGTTTCCTTCAAAACTTACCTCATATGTGTACATTTACATGTCGTCTCCCCCAGTATAGGACATAAGCTCCTTGAGGATAGAAATTATTTGATATTAATAAATGTTTTTTAAAGATTACATTTTTCCATTGAGAGGCTAGGTTCATTCTTTGTGGATGGTTTTGTTTATAGCAAAAACAAATGATGAAAAAAACCCAAATGATGGCAAATTACATTCATTATTGCACCAATCTAACAATACTTGTGGCTATCAGAGAAATAAAGTCAGTGATTACATCTGCTCAATATTGTCACAACTTTACATCTGGCCAGTGTAGAGATCATATGCTTCACTGTATTATCATTTGGCAGACACTGAGTTTACCAGAAGCTCTCATGTTAGTTCTCGGTTTAGCTTTGGGTAATGAGGACTTATATTAAGTTTATGGATAAAGAATTTTTTTAGCCATGCCTTGCTCCAAAAGCTGTATGTTAACCAAAGGATTTATCAAATCATATTTTTCTGGGGGCAGCTAGGTGGCGCAGTGGACAGAGAACTGGCCCTGGATTAAGGAGGACCTGAGTTCAAATCCTGCATCAGACACATAACATTTACTAGCTGTGTGACCCTAGGCAAGTCACTTAACCCCATTGCCTAGCCAAAAAATAAAAATTTTTTAAAAATCATATTTTTCCATTGTAATTTTGAAAATATATCATTAGCCCCAACGCAATTGTTCTTATCATATAACAAAAATTTTACTTTAAGGATAATTCTGCCTTTATAATGAACTACCTGTGTGAATTTGGTTTTCTCCATCTCTTAGAGAAAAGGAGAGATAAAAATAAGTCAAATCTATGCACATCTTTGTACAATCAAGCAAAGATTGTATACTTTATTAAGTGGCTACTGTTGTTATCGGGTATTTTCTTCCTCAGGGCATATATCATGCTATCCATGACTCTTCATCTTGTACTTTCTTGCCCATGTCCATCCGCATCTACTTACTAAAGGATGCCCATAGTGTTCTGCTACAAGCCATCCACTAAGTCTTGTAATATTTCTTAGATACCAGTGAAGTAGTTGGGCTCTACATTCATTATCTCTAACTTTCACCACAGCATAGATCCTACTTCTACTCACCTCATTCACGTCCTTGGTGATATCTTTTGCAAGCAAATCACTGTCAGCAATATGTTGCAGCCTACTTAGACCAGCCATGCAGCTATCCATTCTTCAGGTCACCCACAATGTTGAATCTTCCAAAATTATGGTCCCAGGATTTGCATCCCCAGAATAATAATGGTGTTTAAAAGATGGATTTTTTTGTCAGACAGCTTGTGATCATTGAAAATGATATGTAGCTCCTCCAATGAAATGCAACCCATTCTCACCCTCCTATTTAATACTGTTCCAAAGACATCACCTTCTACAATCCTCATCCAAGATGATTCCTATAAAAAGCACAGAGAAAAGAAAATTAAGTTAAGTCCCTTTTTCCTGAGAGATTTCATTTAAGTGCATACACTATTTCTCTAAATATTTAGCAGAACTTGTAAGGGTGAAGAACTAGTATGAATTCTTTTTTGGACAGGATTGGCCCAATTTTGGTTTGTATTCTAACAGTAAAGGTATATGCTGATAAGCCTACAAATGGTTTTTAGGTTTTTCATTAAAGTTTAGAATCATTGGTGCTAATGGCACTTATTTTAGGTATTTCAGAAGTCTTCTTTTTGAGTTTTGGGCTTTTGTGGAGGTTGGTTCAAGGAATGTATTGTTTGCTATGACTTAATTGGTAAAAGGCAAGAAGGCATGCACAGGAAACCTAAAAAGTGTCTTTATTAGAAGCATCTAGGGTCAGAAGCCTTAAATAAATTGTTGGCAGTGAAGAATAGACAACATTGAACTATATACTAAAAGAGATAGTGACCAGTATGGCTCAGTAAAAAGTGCATCGTACTTAAAATTAAGAAACCTGCTCAAGCTTCCAAATTGATACTGGAACTTTGTGTGGTAACTTAAGGTTTTCAGTTTTTAGGAATAGATACCTGTACTATCTCCTTGTCATAAGGAATTTGTTCTATAAACCATAAAGAGTGTGTGTCTATATGCATGTGCGTATGTGCACATTTGTGTATGCCCTCGTGTATATGCATATGTATATATATACATGTATTCATATATGCATTTATGTATGTGAACATGTATATGTAACATTCAATCATGGAATTCATTTTATATTTATTGTTTCTTACCTGCAACTTGCCAGATGTTAACTTGTAGATAAGCAAGCAGCTTCATCATTGATTATAAACCAAATAGCACATTATCACACTAAAAATTCCTTAATGTCTTCATAGGCTGTCAAGCTAAATGAAGGGCAACATTTGGAAGCCCCAAGAAGTCTCATGTCTCTAACACACTATGAAAAGGACAATGAATTACTTCAACAACAAAGACACATTTCTTCCTTAATACAGGAAAATAATCAACTGCAGCAAATGTTGGAGTGTGTTACAGCTGAAAGGAACCAATTGAAAACTGATCTGGAGGAAAATATCGAAATGGTAATGTTCATTTAGCAAAGCGTGTACTCTTCAGCATCTCTCAATATGTTGTTCCTGTTTATTTTTCTCATGCAATTTTAACGTTGCGTTTTGGGGCAGTGAGTGCTTTGGATTGAGTCGGAGAAGGTCGTTATGGACGGTGGTTAATGATGGACTGAGCATCTTTTGACTCACAGGAAAGAAAGTCCCCACTTTGGAGGGCTGGTGGTTGCTGGTTAGTCACGTCTGACTCTTCATGACCGCGTGGACAGTAGCAGGCCGGTGCTGTCCATGGTGTATTCTTCACAGAGATACTGGAGTGGTTTGCCATTTCCCTCTCCGACGGATCCAGTGGATCCAGTGGATCCTTTTGTCAGGCAAACAGAGGTTCAGTGGCTTGCCCAGGGTCACATAGCTAGGAAGGGTCTGAGGCTGGATTTGAATTCAGGTCTTCCTGACCCCAGGCCCAGTGCTCTAGCCACTGAGCCAGCAACTGCCTCTTGGAGGGGATATGTCAATCATATAATCTGCAGAATAAAAGACTGACTGACAAGAATAAGCTTTCATTTTATCTTTTCCAATAACCTCTGTCACATAACCCAAGCTATATATGCGCATACAACTCGCAAAATTCAGCCAATGTTGATTATCGCTTGCTATTAAAAAAGTCACTGTGCTAGGTGGTGGGATTTTTTACAGATACAAAGGAAGAAACAATTTATTAATTCAAGAACCTTCCGTTCTACTATGAGAATATGGTGTCTACGTGGACAAGTCAACCTATGGTCCTGTCATCAGGGAAAGTGAACGATTTGGGAATCTAGAAGGCTTCACAAAGGGCAGCACCTGAGCTAGACTCTTCAAGATAAAGATTGTAAAGAACCTACTTACTAGAGAGTGTATCATGAGGCTTGATTTGTAAAATGAGATGCCAAGATCTAGGAATAGCAAGTAGGGTAATTTGTCTGGATTATATGTAAAAGGAAGTAGCAGGAAATAATGCTGAAGTGTATGTTGGAACCAAAGTTAGGGGTGCTTTAAATATCTAGATGAGTTTGTATTTTATCCTACAATAGACCCTAACTGAAGATATTTAGTAGGGTGATCATGTAGTCAGATGTGCAACCTTAGAACAATCATCTTTAAGCAGAGAGTGTTTTAGAGAAGATAGTGAAGGGAGGTAGTTTTACCAGTAGTCCAGAGAAATGGTGATGAGGGCCTGAACAAGGATAGTGTCCATGGAAGAAGAACTCAAGAACAAGAAAGAAATGTGAAGAAGGAAATTTGGAGCCATTTGGAGTAGTAAATAAGAAGGAGATTGGAGTATAGGCAAGGAAAACTTGGTTGGATTAGAGGAGAGAGTTGAGCTGAAGGGGAAGAGAACTTGAGTTAAAGGAGTTCAGTGGAGATGGAGGACCACTGAAGAAGAAGAAGAAGAAGAAGAAGTGGTAAGGAAAGACAAAGGGAATTGAGTGTTTCTATTCAGGGGCAAACAAAATGAGAAGAGTGGTGGTTCTAGAATTGAAGCCCCCCACAAATATTTGCCATGGCAGTTATCCAGAGAAGCAGGACACATGAATGCCTATAAAGAATGACAAAAGATTGAGAGTCTTGCTTCGAGACAGAGTAGAGCACCAGGAATTCTTTGAGAATTTCAGAGAGTACAAGATGCTTCTCTAATTCACTAAATAATTTTGATGAATTTTGAAGTGCAAACTGGTCTCCTTCTTTGGAAAAGAAGCCAAAAGGGCTTAAAGAATGAACCTTTACTTCTCAGATTATCAGGAAAAATGGAATGTTCCTTTTTTGAAAATTATAAAAGTTCTCTTCTCTTTAAAAAAAACCCTTTTTTTTTAATGGAAGCAAAGGAGAGCAAGCCTCTGAAAAAACAAAGAAGATTCCTGACTTGTGTCAGGGCATGAAAGGCTAGAAGAATGTGGCCTTTGGTTTGCATTTCTCTAATCAATAGTGATTTAGAGCATTTTTTCATATGACTATAGATGGCTTTAATTTCTCCATCTGAGAACTGCCTGTTCATATCCTTGACCATTTATCAGTTGGGGAATGACTTGTATTCTTATAAATTTGACTCAGTTCTCTATATATTTTAGAAATGATGGGGGCAGCTAGGTGGCGAAGTGGATAGAGTATCAGGCCCTAAAGTCGGTAGGAATACCGACTCAGGAGTACCTGAGTTCAGATTGGGCTCAGACCAAACACTTGACACTTACTAGCTGTGTGACCCTGGGAAAGTCACTTAACCCCAATTGCAAAAAAAAAAAATTGAGGCCTGTGGGGCAGCTAGGTGGTGAAGTGGATAGAGCACCAGCCCTGGAGTCAGGAGAACCTGAGTTCAAATTTGGCCTCAGACACATAATACTCACTAGCTGTGTGACTCTGGGCAAGTCACTTAAACCCAACTGCCTCACCAAAACAAAAAAGAAAGAAAGAAATGAGGCCCTTATCAGAGACACTGGTTGTAAAAATTCTTTCCCAGTTTTCTGCTTCCCTCCTAATCTTGGTTGCATTGGCTTTGTTTGTGCAAAAACTTTTCAATTTAATGTAATCAAAATTATCCATTTTGCATTTCATAATGTTCTCTATCTCCTGTTTGGTCATGAATTCTTCTATTCTCCGTAAATCTCATAGGTAAACTATTCCTTGCTCTCCCAGTTGGCTTATAGTATCAGCCTTTGTATCTAAATCATGAACCCATTTTGACTTTATTTTGGTATATGGTATGAGATTTTGGTCTATGCCTAGTTTCTGATATACTCTTTTAAAGCTATCTATAGTCATGAAAAAATGCTCTAACTCACTATTGATCAGAGAAATGCAAATCAAAACAATTCTGAGGTTCCACATCACACCTATCAGATGGCCAACACGACAAAACAGGAAAATAATAAATGTTGGAGAAGATGTGGGAAAATTAGAACACTAATGCATTGTTGGTGGAATTGTGAAATGATCTAACCATTTTGGAGAGCAATTTGTAACTATGCCCAAAGGGCTATAAAAATGTGCATACCCTTTGACCTAGCAATAGCACTTCTAGGACTATATCCCAAAGAGATCATAAAAATGGAAAAAGGACCTACATGCACAAAAATATTTATAGCAGCTCTTTTTGTGGTGACCAAGAATTAGAAATTTAGGGAATGCCCATCAATTGAGGAATGGCTGAACAAGTTGTGGTATATGAATGTAATGAAATACTGTTGTGCTAGAAGAAATGATGAGCAAGCAGACTTCAGAAAAACCTAGAAAGACTTGTATGGACTGATGCTGAGTGAAGTGAGCAGAACCAGGAGAACATTGTACCCAGTAACAGCCACAATGTGCAATGACTTACTTTGATAGACTTAGCCCTTGTCAGCAACGACCAACGACATCTCCAAAAGTCTCATGATAGAAAATGCTATCCATGTCCAAAGAAAGAAGTGTGGAGTTTGAATACAGATCGAAGCATACTATATGCTATTTTTTTCTTCTGTTTTGTTTTGTTTCCTCTTTCTGGTGGTTCCTCCTATTGCTTCTAATTCTTCCTTACAACATCACTAATGTGAATATGTGTTTAATAGGAATGTATATGTATAGCCTGTCAGATTGCACACTGTCTTGTCAAGGGAGAAAAATTTAAAACTCAAAAGCTTATGGAAATAATTGTTGATAAATCAAAATAAATTAATTTTTTAAAAAAAAAGTGACATAGGGAGTGGCCACTTCCGGGAGGGGGGGGGAAGCTTATCAAATGATTGGTGATAATTCAGAATAAATTAATTAATTAAAAAAAAAAGAATGTGGCCAAGGAAAAAGAGAAGCGTGAGAACCAAAAAACACTCTCCCTAGCCTTCCTGGTAAATTATTTGAGTCATCATGTGTTGTAGGTTGTCCCATTTTTTTTTTATAGGTAAAGTAACAGGAAATGTTGATTCTGGGTCTGTTTTCTCAATACTGAATTTACATTGCTTTGTTAATTCTATTATTTCATTTTTGGTTTTTGTCTAGACTATTGAAAATCAAGAGGAATTAAGAAATATTGGAGCAGCACTTAAACAACAACGAGAGGCAGTCATCAAAGAAAGGAGGAAAGCTGCAGAGAAAGAAGGAGAATGTTTGCTGACTCAGGAGAGATTGGCAGACACGGAGGAGAAACTCAATGAAAAGGTGAATTTATAAAAAACAATTTTTTTCAATTAATGAAAATCCACCTTTTCTCCCTTCTACCTCCCCCACTTGAAAAGAGAAAAACAAAACCTTTAAACAAATAAGAATGGTCAAGCAAAACAATTTCCTGCTTTGGCTACATCCAAAAAAAGAGTCTCATGAAGCTGCATCCTGAATCCATCACCTCTCTGTCAGGAGCTAGTCAATATGACTAATCATTAGTCATTTGGAATCATGATTGGTCAGTGTTGATCTGAGTTCTTAAGTCTTTCATGGCTGTCTTTACAGTAGTAGTATATAAATGGTTCTCCTGGTTCTACTCACTTCACTGTACGTCAGTTCATACAAATCTTCCTAGATTTCTCTGAATCATCCCTGTAATCATTTTTTAAAATCTTTTAAATCATTTTGAACTTAAATATAAAAAGACAAAAAATGAGAACATTTCCGTATACACAGCATAACATAAAAAAGGATTCAATATAAAGCCATGAATCTCCATTTCACACTGTTTATTTTATTTTTTTTGTAAACTAGGTAATAAATACTGCCAAAGCTACCCTCCTTTCCTTGTAAGCAGTCTTTTGTTTTCTGCTGTGTGCTTTTTTTCCCTCCCTCCCTAACCCACCCCACAGAAAGCTCCCACTAGATACAAATATGTATATGTATGCAAAACCATACTATACATACTTCTGTTCATCAGTTCTTTTTCCAGAAGTGGCTAGCATCTTCCTTCATACATCTATTGTAGTTGATTTGAGTATTTGTAATACTCAAAATGACTTAGTTGTTCAAAATTCTTAGAACTATATTGTTGTTACTGTGTGCGGTGTTCTTTTGCTTCTGCTCATTTTACTCTTCATTATTTCTTGCAAGTCTTTCCATGTGTTTCTAAAATTAAACAACTCATCATTTCTTGTAACATAGTAGGTATTCCATCGCAGTCATATACAACTTGTTTAGCCATTCCCTAATTGAAGGATTTCCCCTCAATTTCCAGTTCTTTGCCACTACAAAGAGAGCTATTAATAAATATTTTAGAACATCTAACTTCTTTTCCTTTTTCCCTATCATGTTTGGAAATAGACCTAGTAGTGGTATTGCTGAGTCAAAAGGTGTAGGTGGTTTAATAACTCTTTGGACGTAATTCCAGATTGCCCTCCAAAATGGGTGGATCAGTTCACAGTTCCACCAACAGTGAATGTGTCCCAATTTTTCCACATCCCTCCAACATTTGTTGCTTTCCCCTTCCATCATTTTAGCCAATCTGATAGGTGTAAAATAGTATCTCAAAGTTGTTTTCAAAGAAATTTCCATTTCTCTACTCATGGAGTGATTGTCTTCTTGGCGTATTTGTGAATTGGATTTAAGTGAGGCAGAGCAGCTGTACAAAGTCATCAGCCGCATTCTGTCTTCCAGAGTTGTCAGTCCAGTGACAAAAGTCAAGACGAGAGGTGATTGATAGAGAGGTAGAGTTCAAGTAAGATTTCATTTTGCCTCTGGTATTTAATAAGTCCCCAAGGACCTAGCTATGCATTTAGTTTCTGTTACTTTGTCATATTATAGATTATATCTGTGTGTTTATATATGTCTATAAACATACATGCAGAGAGAGAGAAGGGAAGAGATTAATTACAATGGATATAAGCTAGTTTGTTAGTGAGCATTAAAATAAATGAGGACCTCCTCTTATCAACCCTGCGTTCTATTAAAGGAGACAGCATTTTAAAAACAACATATGCATTCACGTGTGTGCGCACACACACACATACACACACACAGAAAGATTTCATCTACATACATAAAGGATAAGTTCTGTTGGTGGGGGTGGGGATGGAGGTATGAGCTCTTTTCATTGTCTTCTGAATAATCACCAAATCCTATTTATTCAGCCCTTGCTAATCTAGACACAGCAGCGTGAAACAGTCTGTTCCTTCGCCTATTGAAAGCTTACTGTTTCAAATAGCTATTTGAAGCACTTTTTTGAAGAGATAGGCATAGCATCATATAAACCTAAAGCCTTTAATCCAACCTTAGTGTCCAAGAATAAGAAATTAGTGATGTTTTTCCTTTTTTTCTGTATCTTTCTTTTTCTCTCTTGTATTCACTCTCACTTTTACTTTTCCTGATCATTCAGAAACAATCCCAGTGACTGCTGCTCTCTTTAATTGAGTTTACTCCTTGCTGGTTTTACTTAAAACCCATGAGTTTTGTAATTGCCTTAATTTTGAAAACATTCTCTTTCAGAAAATAAAAGTAAAATAAGAATCTTAATGAATACATGTCTGTTTTAAGATCCAAGAACTTCAAGAAAAAGAGGAGCAAATATTAAATGTTAGAAAAGAAGTCATTGAGGCTCAGGAGAAGATGAAGGAGATGGAGCAATTAAAGGACCAATTAAAATCCACAAATTCCACGCTGGAAAGGGTAGAAATGGAGAACCTGGAGCTGGCTCAAAAACTCCAAGTGAGTCTGGAAGAAACAACATCAGTAACCAAAGAAATAAATGAATTGAAGAAGACACAGGTAGCTCTCCAATTAGAGAAAGACCAACTGGAAGAAAATATCAGAGAAGTTGTAACTAAGGTAAGTATCACATTTTCCTCCACTTGGTAAATTTGTTTTGTTTTTAATGTATTTTGACTTTACAGCCCTTAAAACAGTGCCTCCCAGTGCTTAGCAGAATGCCTTGTGCATAGTAGACACTTAATAAATGTTTGTTTGATTACATCACATCACTGTGATTTCTAGGAAAGAAAAGAAAGCCTTTTTCCAAGTCCTTTTCCAAATTGAAACTTCCTTTATAAGAAATAATAACAGTACACACACACACACACACACACACACACACCCCTGTATATGTGTGTGTACATATATATAGTATGTAAATATATATATATATATATATATATATGTATGTATGTGTATGTTTATGTATAAACATTCTCTTTTAACATTTTCCTGCTTCTCTACCCTGAGCAAGAAGGTGAGTTATGTTTAACTGTGTATTCTCTGAGACTTTCAAAATTTTCCATTTTTTAAGAGCTCAAATTCCTTTTAGCAACCTTTTCATTTTCATTGTTATGGTTATTCCATATACTCAAACTAAAAGAATATATGTTTATTTCATTCTTCAACAGTTCACCAAAATCTTGCCATATTTCTCTGAACTTCACTTCTTAAAGCACAATAATAGTAAATTATTGCCAAAGAAAAAAAGTAATGTCATTCCCCATTTAATGGCTGTTGTCCACTTATTTCCAGTTCTCTACTACTAATATTTTGGCATATTTTGGACCTTTTTTTTTTCTGTCTTTGACTGCCTTGGAATATTAAGGCCACTAGAGGATCACTAGGTCAGAAGGCATTCAGAGTTTAATGATTTCTTATATTGTTCAAAGTCAACATTCAGAATGGTTGGAACAATTCACGGTTCCACCAAAATATGTTTGTATGCTACTTTTCTCATGACCCTTCTAACATTTCTACTTTTTTATGAGACTCACATCATTAATTTTTAATTAAATTAACCACCTCTCTGTTCATTCCCAGAGCATGCCAATAAAACCATCCTTCCAAACAAATTAATTGAGCTACCAATATAAATCAAAATATAGGTCATGTCTATCAATATATGTCTCATTCTGCATTTATAGTCCATAGCCTCTCTACTTAGAGGAGGAAACTATACCAACCGTCCAACAATCCATCAAAATCATGATTAGTTATAGCATTGATCAGAGTTCTGACATTTCATTGTTTTTCTTTTGCATTAATGTTGTCACTATATAATTTGTACTCCTGGTTCTGTTCCTTTAACTCCACATAATTTCCTACTATATCTCCCAAATTTTCCTGAATTCTTCATAGTTCTCATTTCTCATAGCACAAACATATAATATTACTTTCATATACCACACTTTGTACAGCCATTACCCAATCAGTGAGTACCTACTTTGTTTCCAGGTCTTCACTACAAAAAATATAGTGTATGTAGTTTTCTCTATGTGGATCTATTCCATTCAGAGCATATGCTAATGAGTAATATCATTGGATCAAAGAGTATATAATTCCCTGGCATTTCTAGTATCATACTGAGTTGTTTTCCAGAATGAAAAACTAGTCTTTTAGGAAAGAGACAGTGATGTTCATATACTTTTACTGTGAACATTTTCTTGGGATTTCCTTTAACAATAAAGGGTCTAGAAACACAAGAAGAACTAAAAATTGCTCAGATGCATCTCAAGGAACACCAAGAAACAATTGATAAATTGAAAGAATGCATTTCAGAGCAAGCAGCTCAAGGATTGAATGATCAAGAAGATTTAGAGAAAACAAATGCTGAACTGCAGGAAAAGGTAGGTTTGGTTTTTGGGAGGCTGAGTGACTGACTGGGTTTGGAGTATACTGCATTCATCCTGCTGGGACACATCACAAGCTTTTTCCTAAATGACTCTGTAAACAAATTTAACATTTTTTTTTCTTTACTCAAAAGATTCAAGAACTTCAGGCAAAACAAGACCAAATTTTAAATGTCAGAGAGGAAGTCAATGAAGCTCAAGAAAAAATGAAGGAAATGGAATCAATAAAAGAGCAATTAAAGTCCAAAGAGTCTGCCCTGAAGAGGGTAGAGATGGAAAACCTGGAGCTGGCTCAGAAACTCCAGGCAAGTGTAGAAGAAACAACATCTGTAACTGAGGAGAGAGATGAGTTGACAAAGACACTGCTGGCTGTTCAAGAGGAGAGCCATCAACTGAAAGAAAACATTAGAGAACTTGAAGCTAAGGTAAATATCACTGTCTAATAAGTATGGCTTATAAGAATGAAGACCTGTGGGCTGGATCTTATTCTAAATATGTATTTGGATCTTCCCCTAATACCAAAGGGTCTGGACACACAAGAAGAGCTGAAAATTGCTCAGATAAGTCTGAAGGAGCACCAAGAGATGATTGATAAACTAAAAGAATGTGTTTCAGAGAAGACAGCTCAAGTGTCAGAGGCTCAGGAAGCTTTAGAGAAAACTAATATTGAATTGCAGAAAAGGGTAGGTTTCTTTTTTTTGTGACTGGATAACCAATGAAGCTGTGAAGATCATGTCTTAATCTTTCTGAGTGGCACAGTGGGCTTTCAGAACATATTTGTTTATGCTAAATTCTTTTATTTTATTTTTGAAATAAGATTCAAGAGCTTCAGGGGCAAAAAGAGCAAGTTTTTAATGTCAGAGAAGAAATCACTGAGGCTCAGGAAAAAGTGAATGAGGTGGAACAGTTGAAGGAGCAATTGAAATTCAAAGATTCTACCCTGGAGAGGATAGAGATGGAAAACCTGGAGCTGGCTCAGAAACTCCAGGCCAGTCTAGAAGAAACAACATCTGTAACTGAGGAGAGAGATGAATTGGCAAAGACACAAGAGGCTCTTCACATAGAGAGGGACCAGCTGAAAGAAACCATAAGGGACCTCATAGCCAAGGTAAGCATCAGCTTGTCCCCTATCTAATAGCTGGTTTTATGAGAGACTAGTATTCCAAAAAGAGACAGAAGTGTGTATGCAATCTTACTATAAATATTTTCCATGGATTTTCCCTTCCTCCCCACTCCCAAAAGGATCTGGAAACACAAGAAAAACTAAAAGTTGCTCAGATAGATCTGAAGGAACACCAAGACATAATGTATAAATTGAAAGAATGCATTTCAGAGAAAGAAGCTATAGAGAAAACTAGTGCTGAACTGCAAGAAAAGGTGAGCTGGGGTTTTGGGGGTTTTTGCATTGCTGAATAACTGACTGAGTTCTGAATTTATTGCATTGACCTTGTTAGGAAGCATCGTGGACTTTACCTAAATAACTATTTATTTTTTATTTGTTTATTTTGATTTATCAACAATCACTTCCATAAGGTTTTGAGTTTAAAATTTTTCTTTCCCTTCCTCCCCACCACCCTCCCAAAGATGGCGCACAACCTGATATAGGCTATACGTTCCTATTAAAGCATATTTTCACATTAGTGATGTTGTAAGTAAGAATTACAACCAATAGGAAGAACCACCAGAAAGATGAAACAAAACTCAACAGAAGAAAAAAATAACAAATAGTATGCTTTGGTCTGCATTCAAACTCCATAGTTTTCTCTTTGGACGTGGATAGCCCTTTCCATCACAAGGCCATTGGAGAAGTCTTAGATCCTTGTATTGCTGGGAAGGGTTAAGTTTATCAATATTAGTCATCGCACAACATGGCTGTTATTGTATATAATGTTCTCTTGGTTCTGCTCGCTTCACCCAGCATCAGACCATACACATCTTTCCAGGTTTTTCTGAAGTCTGCCTGCTCATCATTTCTTATAGCACAATAGTATTCCATTACATTCACACACCACAACTTGTTCAGCCATTCCCCAGTTAATGGGCATCCTCTCAATTTCTAATTCTTTGCCACCACAAAAAGAGCTACTATAAATATTTTTGTACATGTGGCTCCTTTTCCCATTTGTAGGATCCCTGGGATATAGCCCTAGAAGTGCTATTGCTGGGTCCTAAATAACTATTTCACTGTCTCCTAAATTAAATGTATTTAACATTTTTCCATTTCTCACAAGATTCAAGAACTTGAGGCAAAACAAGAGCAATTTTTTAATGTTAGAGAGGAAGTCAGTGAAGCTCAAGAAAAAATGAAGGAAATGGAGCATTTGAAGGAACAATTGAAGTCCAAAGATTCTACCCTGGAGAGGATAGAGATGGAAAACCTGGAGCTGGCTCAGAAACTCCAGGCCAGTCTAGAAGAAACAACATCTGTAACTAAGGAGAGAGATGAGTTGGCAAAGACACAAGAGGCTCTTCACATAGAGAGGGACCAGCTGAAAGAAACCATAAGGGACCTCATAGCTAAGGTAAGCATCACCTTGTCCCCTATCTAATAACTGGTTTTATGAGAGACTAGTATTCCAAAAAAGAGACAGTAGTATCTGTACAATCTTACTATAAATATTTTTCTTGAATCTTTCCTTCCTCCCCACCCAAAAAGGATCTGGAAATACAAGAAAAACTAAAAGTTGCTCAGATGCATCTGAAGGAGCACCAAGAGATAATTGATAAACTAAAAGAATGTATTTCAGAGAAGGCAGCACAAGTGTCAGAGGCTCAGGAAGCTTTCAAGAAAATTAATGCTGAACTGCAGAAAAGGGTAGGTTTCTTTTTTCTTTCTTTTTTTTGTATTACAAATTTATTTTCTTTTCAATTCACAGAACAAAACAAGCATTTCCATAACACAGTACGTTAAAAAAGATGATTTCACTTGAAACTGAAAATCTACCCTATACAACTTGCTGTTCCCTACAAATATACAACAAATTTGTCTTGTAAATTTCTTTTTTTTCCCTTCGCTTCTCCCACCCCACCCTAGAGATGTCTACCATTAGACAGATATAGGTATATAATGTAAAATCATTCTATACATACTTCTGTTTATCGGTTCTTTCTCTGGATGCAGATAGCATCTTTCGTCATATCTCCTTTATTTTTAATTTGTGTATTTATAATAGTCAAAATGACTTAGGCGCTCAAAGTTATTCTTAAAACATATTGCTGTTACTGTATACAATGTTCTCTTGGTTCAGCTCTCTTCATCATTTTGTGCAAGTCTTTCCATACCTTTCATTAAAGCACAGTAGTATTCAATCACAACCATACACCACGACTTGTTCAGCCATTACCCAATTGACAGGTATCCTTGCAATGTCTAGTTCTTTGCCACCACAAAGATAGCTGCTATAAACATCCTATTGACATTCAAAATTATAATTACTATTTGCGAATTTCCCTCCATGTTATTCTTACTATTTTCTTTCTCAGACTCTTTTTACCCTATCCGTTACCTTATCTTCTCCCCCTACCCTTCGAGCCTTCACTTCACCCACCCTTCCAAGAGTCTTCCCGCCTTCCTAATCCCTTCTCCCCAAACCCCTGGACAGAATTTAGAAAATAATAGAAAAAGGATTGTAAAAAGACCTAGGGCAATATTACCCACAACTTGAGATTAAAACTTGATTACAATAAGCAGCTAAAAATAAAATAAAAATTAATAAGCAAAGGAAAAAGAACCTGACCACAGATAACTAGTTTGGTGTAAAAGAAGTTCTGGGTTCATATTCAAAGGAAGATAGTGAAGTTAAAAAGCGTCACTCCTGCCCCAAAGAGTGACATCAAATGGTCACAAGTCCAAATAAAGTTCTTGGACGAACGTAAAAAGGAATTCAAATGAGGTTGAGGAAAAATTAAGGGAAAAAATGAAAGCAATCCAAGAAAATTATGAAAAGAACGTTAACCAATTGGAAAAAGAGGTCCAAAATCTTAAGGAAGAAAATAACTCCTTGAAAACTAGAATTGGGAAAGAGGAATTGAATGGCATTATAAGACACCATAACATAATAAAACTAGAAATAAATAGAAGAGAATCTGAAACATGTTATTAGAAAAACAACTGATCTGGAGAACATATTGAGGAGAGATAATATAAGAATTGTCAGAGTACCTACAAGTTATGACCAAAAAAGGAATCTGGACACAATATTGCAAGAAATTATTAAGGAAGCCCTGAAGTTCTAGAACAAGACGGTAAAGTAGAAGTAGAAAACAATTTACTGTTCACCACCTGCAGGAGATCCCCGGAGGAAAACTTAACAGGAATGTCGTAGCCGAGTTTAAAAATTCCCAGGTTAAGGAGAAAATATTGCAAGCAACAAGAAAAAAAACAACATAAATACTGCACAAATAGAGTCAGAATTTCACAAACCTAGCAGTTTCTACTCTAAAAGATTATCGTTCTTGGAACATCATATTTCAAAGAGCAAAAGATCTGGGGTTGCATCCAAGAATAGCTTACCCAGCAAAGTTGAGTATAATCCTGAATGGAAAAAAAATGAACATTTGACAGACTGAAAGACTTTCAGGTATTTATAACTGAAAGACCAGAACTCAATGGAAAATTCATTGTAAAAGATACAGGAGAAATATTGTTATTTCTTGAAGAGGATCATGGCATCAGGAAGGTGATGTCATGACTTGCAAGTGAATTGGATTTAAGTGAGGGAGGGCTGTGCAAAGTCACCAGCCTCACTTTCTCCTTTGGAGAACATTAAAGACTAATTGTAAGGCACTCATTAAGATCAGATTGTTTACTTATTATATGTATATGAAAATGTTATCAATATTCTTACAACTGTAATCATTACTGAGGTAGTTTGAAAGAAAGTTTGGAGCTAAGTTGTGTATGCTGGGGTAATTCTGAAAAACATAATTGGGTTGGAAAAGGTAAGAGGGAACAATTAAATAATTAATAAAAAGGGGGCATGAAAGGAAGACCTAATATGGAAGAAACAGGTGGGGATAGAGGGCATCTGGAAGGGTGTAAAAACCTTCTGAACATGTAGACAAGATGAGAAACCTGGCTGGGTAACATATGAAGTTGTGAATACCATGTCTTAATCTTTTTGAGTGGCCCAGTGGGCCTTTTAGAATATAACTGCTTATACTAAATTCATACATTTTTTTAAAAATTTGAAACAAGATTCAAGAGCTTCAGGAGCAAAAGGAGCAAGTTTGTAATATCAGAAAAGAAGTCACTGAGGCCCAGGTAAAAGTGAATGAGGTGGAACAGTTGAAGGAGCAATTAAAGTCAAAAGATTCTACCCTGGAGAAGATAGAGATGGAAAACCTGGAGCTGGCTCAGAAACTCCAGGCCAGTCTAGAAGAAACAAAATCTGTAACTAAGGAGAGAGATGAATTGACAAAGACACAAGAGGCTCTTCACATAGAGAGGGACCAGCTGAAAGAAACCATAAGGGACCTCATAGCTAAGGTAAGCATCACCTTGTCCCCTATCTAATAACTGGTTTTATGAGAGACTAGTATTCCAAAAAAGAGACAGAAGTGTGTATAGAGTCTTACTATAAATATTTTTCATGGGTCTTCCCTTCCTCCCCACTCCCAAAAGGATCTGGAAACACAAGAAAAACTAAAAGTTGCTCAGATGGATCTGAAGGAACACCAAGACACAATGGATAAATTGAAAGAATGCATTTCAGAGAAAGAAGCTATAGAGAAAACTAGTGCTGAACTGCAAGAAAAGGTGAGCTGGGGTTTTGGGGGTTTTTTGCAGTGCTGAATAACTGACTAATTGAGTTCTGAATTTATTCCATTGACCTTGTTAGGAAACATGGTGGGCTTTACCTAAATAACTATTTCACTGTCTCCTAAATTAAATGTATTTAACATTTTTCCATTTCTCACAAGATTCAAGAACTTGAGGCAAAACAAGAGCAATTTTTTAATGTTAGAGAGGAAGTCAGTGAAGCTCAAGAAAAAATGAAGGAAATGGAGCATTTGAAGGAACAATTGAAGTCCAAAGATTCTACCCTGGAGAGGATAGAGATGGAAAACCTGGAGCTGGCTCAGAAACTCCAGGCCAGTCTAGAAGAAACAACATCTGTAACTGAGGAGAGAGATGAATTGGCAAAGACACAAGAGGCTCTTCACATAGAGAGGGACCAGCTGAAAGAAACCATAAGGGACCTCATAGCCAAGGTAAGCATCACAATCTACTACATATGTTTTTATGACAACCAACTTTTAGAAAGGACGAAGAAATGTTAGGATAATAGTATTATAAATGTAATCTTGGATCTTCCTTTAATACTGAAGGACCAAGAAACACAAGAAGAACTAAAATTTGCTGAGATGTGTCTGAAGGAGCACCAAGAGACGATTCATAAACTCAAAGAATGCATTTCAGAGAAGACAACTCAAGTGTCAAAGAGTCAAGAAGCTTTAGAGAAAACCAATGCAGGACTGCAGGAAAAGGTAGGTTTGGGTTTTTTGAGCTGGATAAGTGTCTGACAGGATTCTATGTATACTGCTTTAATATTATTGGAAAACATAGTAGACCTTGCTAAAGTAAGCTTCATGATAGCCTTCCTCATACCACTTGACACACTAGACCAACTATTTAATGTATTTTGTAGTTATTTAGTATGGACTTCATTTCAATTATGGCCTTTGGGGATTTTCTTATTTCTCTATAGAAAGGCTGGTAATTTTTTATGGTTTTACTTTGTAAAATGCTATTTTGTTTAAGCTGTTGTCTTAAGCTGTTGTCTTATGTAGTTTCTTTATTGATTCCCTAGAATTCTCTAAGTAAATTAACAAATGAGTCCTGCATCCTTACCTGGAAAGCTCTACCTGGATATCTTATAGGTATCTGAAACTCAGCATATTTAGAAACATATCTCCTTGCCCCCCTAAACTCATTCCTCCTCTGTTTTGTCTCCCTCCACTCCTTCTCCTCCAAAATAATGATGCCAGCCTCAGCAGATATACTTTATTTCCCAGCTTCACAACCTTGGAGTCATTTTCAACTCTTCCTTCCTCACCCTCCCACCTTCCACATCGAATATATGTAGATATATTCTTTAGAATATATCTAGAAGTCTTGACATTCTTCCTCTGTAGCACTTCTCATATCTGTTACCTTCTCTATCCTCTTACTGTAACTATTGCTATAGCTTTCTAATTGGTCTCCCTGTTTCTCCTTCCCCAGTCCATCCTCCTCAGAGCTTCCAAATTACTATCCCTAAAGCACAGGTCTGGCCATACCTTAATCAGTAATCTTCATTTTTTCCAAAGTTATTTCATGTTACTCCCCTCACTTACTCTGCATTATAGCCAGCCTGGCTTATCTGCTTTCCCAGAATTCACCAATCCATCTCTTGCCAATGTACAAATTGTCCCCAGTACTATATAGAGTGCCTGCCTTCCTTTGAGTCCTCAACTTACTTTGACGTACAGCTATGCATGACTTCCTGTGAACAAGTTTTCCTGATACCCCCTACTTTTTCATATTCTCTTCAAATTATCTTGTATTTATCTTTGCACCTGTCATAGCTCCATAGTAAAAGTGTAAACTTTTTTTATCTGAGCAAGATTTCATTTCTTTAATTAAATTAAAAATTTTCATGAATAAAAATCAATTTTCTTTCCATCTTACCATCCCTCACACAGTGGGAGAAAAAAAAAGAAAAAACAATCCTGGTAACAGTTATTCACAGCTAAGTCAAAACAAATTCTGGATTGGCTGTGCCCCAGACATATAGAAATGTAAACTCTTTGAGGGCAGGGACTGTCATCTTTGTATCCTCTACACCTGGCCCCTGACTTAAACCTAGAAAGTGCCTAACAAATGCTGGTTGTATTGAATCAGATTGAACTAAGAAGGAAGATGCCTTGAGTAAGACACCTGAGCTCAGTATTCTTTGTGTGCAGACTTGAAAAAAATAGTTATAAATCCATATGGAATAGTTGTGGAATTTATTGGTAATTTGATTGCTGAAGCCCTAAAACTGTATAGTAATTAAGGTAGTAATCATTTTTACTGATTGACACAGAATGATAATTTTGAGTCTTTTTGCCTCTTCTGCATCTTCCCTGGTCTTCCCTGGTTAGGATTTTTTCCCCCTACCCATCATTTTGAAAGCTGTAACCTTTTTTTTCCTCCTGATTTTTTTGAGGATTACATGAGATAATTTGGTTACTTCACATTGTTTCCTTTTAGTGAACTTTCCAGTTATTGTTATTGTCGTTATAGATATTCTTCTTTTCTACTTACTTTGTTCTGTGTGAGTTCATATGGCTCTTCCCCATATGTCTCTGAATTTCTCATATTCGCTATAATTCAGTATGACTTTTTATATTTAGATGCAAATGATTACTGTTAAATTGAAAGGGGATCTGTCAGAAAAGGAAGCTCACATCTTCAGTATTCAAGGAGATCCAGAGAAAACAAATGACGAATTAGATAAGGCTTACTGTAGACTAGGTTTCTGTGGGCTACCTTATAGAAGTGCTAGGAAAATTATCCCACCTTTACTTGTCATTTACCTTTTTTTTTTAATCTATGTCTCAAGATCCTAAAGCTTCAAGAAACAGAAGAGGTGCTTCTTAGTGTGAGAAAAGAGGTGAATGAGACAAAACTACAAAGGCAGTCATTGAGTCAGATGGCGGAGCAGTTGAAGCACATGACTCACACTTGTCCATAGTAGAGACAGAGAAACTGGACTTGACTCAGAAACTTGATTCAAGCCTTAGTAAATTGAACACTGTCATCAAGGAAAGAGATGCCCTGAAGGAGACAGAGAAGGCTCTGCAGATGGAAGTAAACCATTTGAAAGAAAGCCTAAAGAAGAGCGGAACCCTGGTGAGAATTGTTTTGCCCTGTTGATTAACTGCTGTTGGCTGAACACAGATGAGGGGTTGTTCCAGCTGTAGAAGGGAGCCACGAATGATGACTTTCAGAAAGGAGCTGAGGGTGGGGAGACCGTGCAGTGTTCCATTCACTTACCTCATTTGATCCTCACAACCTTGTTAGATAGCCCAGGATACTCTTACCTCTTTTTTCAAATGAAAAAACTGATGCTCTTATTAATAAGCTGTTGGGCCTGGAGCTAAAATCCAGGCTTCTCACTATAAGTCCAATGTACCTCTTGTGACTGGGCCTTTAATAATCAAATTGATCAGTTAATTAGCATTTATTAAGTGCCTGCTTTGGTTAGGAAGTACTATCTAATTATGTTATGCTGTTCAGATCCTTCTTCTTGTACTATGTATGAACCCTCAAGTCACTCTCCCTCCTTCTGGAATGAGTTCAGTACCTTCGGTACCTCAAAGGTATTATAGTTCTCTCTAGCCCCACACCTGCCATCTTTCAGGGTGAATTCCGTATTCATCTTGATGATTCTTCTAGCATCCTGATCTGCCTGTTAATCAGCATCCTCACGTCCCATGTCCTTCATCTCCACTCTCTGAACTACCCATAGAAGGTGGTCTTTCTTGGGTACTACCATTGCTCTGAACTATGCTAGGTCTTAAGGGCTGAACTCGGACATTCAGAGTCCCTTCTGAGTACACGGTCTTCTGTCTGGCTACCTCTCCTATTGCCTTCATTCTTTTTAGCTTGTTCTTTGCCCTGAATAAAACCTCCAGTTCCTCAATCTCTCCCTACCCTCAGTCTTACTCTTGAAGAAAATGAAATGTGAGTTTCCACTTCCCTGTCTTTAGGGTCTTAGTTCTATGATGGTCAGACCTTTTAACCAGGCCCTGTAGCTAACATCACTTGAGCCCTCACTACTGCTTCACAGTCCTCATAAGTGATCTTATTGAGCTCCCTCCATAAGAAACTGTCTCCTAACTTCATCTCACGTCTCTGTTCCAAACAGTTAAATCTTCTTCTGCTTTCCTGGGAAGACTGAAAGCATATGTCTTGAACTTCTTCTCTGCAAAAATACATCAGTGTAGACACTCCTCCAATGGGACAGATCACAGTCCATGCCTTCCCATCCTATCTGATTCTTGGACATATCTTCTCATACATCCTCTAGAGAGAATATACCCATCCATGTGGAAATATCTGGAATATTTCACACAGCAACACCATTGATCTTCCTAATCTACAAGTCTGATCATATCAGTCAACAAATGGTTTCCTGCTTACTGACTTGGGATAAAATGCAAGTGCCTTATTCTGGATTTTTAAGATGTTGCACAATTAGACTACAGCTTACTTTTCAAGACTTGATTCCTACCATTCCCATTTACACACTATACATTCAAAGCGAGCTGGAGTACTAGCTATTTTCTAATTTCCTTCTCTTCCCTCTCTTCCTCCTCTTCCCTCCCTCCTCTTCTCTCTTTAAATACATCTCTTCCTTCCGTCTGCTCAGATCAAATGCTACCCACTTCCTGCAGAAAGCCTTTCCTGATCTCTCCATACTGAAATTGTTGTATCTATCCCTTATGTATCTCATCCATAAAATGAGATATTTGTAGTGTGCTTTGCCCAGTGCCTGACAGGTAATTATTTATAGCCTGTCTACAACTATACCAAGAAATATTTATAACCATAAAATCATGCAACTTAGCTACATGCAAATGCATGGATTTCTACTAACTATTTCTCAAGAGCTTCAGCTATTGACAGAGATTGGGAATAACTGGGAACAATCTGGTTTAATGTTTTTTTCCTATTTTGTGTAACTCCAAAACAAGCTACAGTGTCTGTGTTCTAAAAGATGATAGTTTACAGGGGCCACAATGGATTCAGTTACTGGGAGGACTTATTCAAATATTGATGAATACACGAATAGATTTTGGAATTCATTCCTGAAATTTCCCCCACAGGACCAACAGAAGCCAGAAGAGCTGGTAAACATTGAAGCAAACCCAAGAGAGGGCACCAGACACCATCCTATTGAAAATCTTAAAGAAAAGTATTCAAAGATAAACGTACGTGCTTACAACTGAAACTGATGAGTCAGTATTTTCCTCCTGAGTGAATGTAATTTCTTCTGAAGGAGCAGCTACAGAAACTTAAAATGTGATGTAAGACAGTGGTATCAAATTCAAATAGAAATGGATCCCTGTTGCCACACAGTGTCTTAGAAAACCACAAATTAACCTCACCTATGTTGTGTTGTTTTTGTGTAGTGGTTTTTCAGTGGGGTCCAACTCACCCCATTTTTAGGTTTTCTTGGCAAAGATAGTAGAGTAGTTTGTCATTTTCTTCTCCAGCTCATTGTACAGATGAGGAACTGAGGCAAACAGGGTTAAGTGACTTTCCCAGGGTCACACAGCTAGTAAGTGACTGAGGCTGAATTTGAACTCAGAAAGATGAATCTTCCTGAGTCCTGGCCTGGCACTCTATCCAGTGTGCCACTTAGCTGCCCTTTTCTGTGTTGTATTGTATTTTTATTTATTTTATTAAACATTTTCCAGTTATTTTCATCTGATTTAGGCTTTAGGAGGCTGCAAGTTTGACACCTGTGGTCTAAGAGGTATCCATATATGTTAATGAATGATGTCATTTAGCTTTAAGCTATTTTGGGGGAAATGAAAGTGAAGAAAGCTGTTTCACTACAACTTATTAGTCACTCAGTGCTATCCTTTAGCAAACCATCCTTTGGTATAGTTTAGTGATTAGTATGAAATGTTTAAATCTATGTTTTTTTTATTTATTACTTTTAGTCTATGAGTGTATAGACATAAACATGGACCATTGTAAGCACCTGAATTGTAAACCAAAATGAAATATGATGACATTTATGATTTAGTAAGGCACAGCCTTTACTTTTTTGAGGATCCTTGGAGAGATTATCTAAGTAGGATTTTTAATTTTAGAAAACCCTAGACTGTTGAGATCCTGGAGAAATTTGGCAAATTTTTTTTTTTTAGGGTACAGTCAATTTTTTTTTTCCACTGAGTGTTCCCTCGCAAGTCAGTTCCATTGGTACAGTTTTGAAAACTTGCTTTATTGATTACTTGACTGGTGCTTTTTGTTTTCTTGTATTCTGTGTATAAATATTGATGCATTCTGTGTCACTGAGCCCTGTAGAAGTACTGAAATCAGACTTAATGTGAGAAAAATGGAATCACTAGACTGCCACTGTCCAGTAGAAATGTTCATATTGTTCTTTGACATTTAAACCAACCTAGATTGCTTGCTTATAGGAACTGGGCTAAGCTGTTTTGTATATTTGCCTTACACCTTTGAGGTGTAAAACAACATAGCCCCAAGACCCAATACTCCAGATGACTGCAGTATAGAGGACAGTGAAACCATCTATGCCTTGTACATCTACATCTGCAGTCCGACTTTGTGTTTGTTCTCCTTCATTTTTAAGTATCCCCAGCACACTCTTGGCTCTCTTTGAGCCAACTCAAACTGGGTTCATTACTCTGAGTTAGGCCAGGTGTCCTCCATCTTCTGTTGTATCAGCATTCATTTCACTTTCTTACCCTTCCTTTCCCTGCTGACAGTCCCCCCTATTCCCCAAACTGCCGTGAGATACTTACACAATCTTTGCTGAAAAGACCCACTTTAGTAATTTCCTAATTTAGCAGTTTAGTTTACTAATCTAGTAAACTCGTGTTACATAGGTTACATAATAATGTCATTGCTAAGTTTTTGGCAATGTTTATAGTTGGCTTAAAAAAAGTTAGGATATCCTAAACTACATGTATCTACACATCTATTCTGAAAGTATTTATTTACCCAAATAAAATCCTCTGCCTTATTAGATCTGTCTTAGTAAAAGAAAAGATGCTTGCACTATTTCATTAGTCTTACATCTGCTACCAGCGAGATACTTGGTCCAATAACCAAGTCAGAAGACAAAGTACCTTAGGAAACAGAAGGACAAGTTATTAATTTAATTTTTTTTCTGTGCTGGAGATATATTAACCAGTTTTAAAATTTTGGCCATCAGAGATACCTATTAAGTTTGTATTTAATTGCACCTAACTGATGTTTTCTTTTCCAAAATTTTGTTTGTTGATTCAACACAGGAATGGTTTTTAATAACTTTTCTCCTGCAGAAAAGAATTAAACTAGTGTTTATAAAGCTCTTCAAGGTACTTGATTGAAATAAACTCATGTCTTAACTAAATGATTCTAATTTTCTTTAGGAACTTCTGAAGAAATACACTATGATAGAAAATCGTTGTGGGTTCTTGAACAGGCTTTCTCTTGACTTGAAAAGGTCATTTGAAAGCCAAAATCAACTCCAGGTCAAAGTTCAAGCATGCCTTTCTCATACTCCTCAGGAAACTAAAGCTGTTGGAAAACTTCTAGCTAGTAACAGAAGGTGTAATAATGATCTCCACTCGAGTAGCACGTGCATCCTGAAAAAACTGGAGGTATATGTGACTTCTATGTGCCTCTTTTTTCATGATTTTCTGACATCACTCTCATTTCTCTTCCCAATTTTTCTACTATCTTTTCTTTTTCTTTTTTTAAGATTTTTTTTCCTCTCTTTTTTCTTGCCTGATTTTCAAAATCTTTTTTATCTCTTCCATGGCCTGAAACCAATTCATGTTTTTCTTAGAGGCTTTGGATATAGGAGCTTTGACTTTATTGTCTTCTCTTGAGTATGTGTTTTGATCTTCTTTGTCACCATAGTAACTCTGTGGTCAGAATTTTTATGTTGTTTGCTCATTTTTCCTGTCTATTTCTTGATTTTTAACTCTGTTAAAGTGGGCCTCTTCCTGGGTGGAGGGCACACTGTCCCAAGCATCAGGGGTTTTGTGCAGCGATTTCCAGAGATATTTCCAGGGACCTCTAAGTTTTCACTTCTTCCAAGGTGGTATGATCTAAGGAGACGTGTGTTACTACTCTCCTTGTCTGTGCTCTGGTCTGTGAGTGACCACAGGCACTCTTTTCTGCCCCAGAACTAGGAGGCATTCACTCCCTCCACTGTGGCCACAAGCTCTGGTATGCTAGTGCTCCTCCTCACCCTGGGATTGCCACCCAAGACTGTGATCCAAGTATCAGCAAACTAACAGAATTCTGCCCTCGGTTCCAGCACTGGGTCCCTCTGACCCAGTTGTTCAACCTCTTTAATGTCTGTCAGCTGAAAGTTCCAGAAGCAGCCGCTACCACTACTTCTGCTGATTCAATGGCTCCCAAGGCCTGCTCCTGGTTTGCTGGTTCCCAGTCTGCACTGGCATAGCCAGTGTTGGGACTGTGCTTCTCTCTCACCCAGTTGTGACAGACCTTTCCTGCTGACCCAAGTTGTCTTTGGCTAGAAAGTTACTTCACCCCTTCCTTTTGTGGGTTCTGCTTCTCCAGGGATTGTTTTATGCCATTATTTAAAGGTGTTCAGAGGGGTTTTAGGGAATGCTCAGGCCAGCGTCTGCCTTTTCTCTGCCGTCTTATCACTGTCCTCCCATTCAGCTTCTTCCACACAGTCTTCGGCCGCCAAGGCCAGAATAGAGTTACACCAAATCGCACTTTATGTGCCATTTTACTATTTGTGCCTTGGATTTATATCCTTCTGCAGTGGTGGAACTCTTCTAATTAGAAAAAGAATGTTTTCCTTCTACTCTCCTATCTTGTAGGCACCAAGTTCATAAACTGAAGGAACGGATAAGTATCTTTATCTGAAGCAAATTTCCTAATTTGTTTCCTTTTCTTCCTGCAGGGTGTGTTAAAGCGTGTTATAGACATAAGGAGAGAACATCACAACACCATCTACAAAATTGAAATGGACTTAATTGAGGAGGCAGAAAAGCAGAATGATTTGTCTATTAAAATACAGCATCTTCAACAACACTCTGAGATAGGATCCCAGGAATTAAGTGGCTACAAAAAACTGAGTCAAAAGATGGGTCTACATATTGAGGTATGATTTGTTAAAAAGAATTTTTAAAAATGCTTTGTGTATTTATGAAAAATATAAGTGTACTTATTGATATGAACAAAACAAAAGCAAAAGCTTTTTAGAACTATATCCTGTTAAACTCTAGTATTGAGAGCAATAGACTGCTTCATTTCAGAGTTCCCCAAGTACACAGTGACCAGATAGCTCTTTCATGAGGACATTTATACTTAAAAAAATAACTCATAAAAATATTTTCCAGGGCCTAATTTATCCATACCTACAAAGCTGAGGAGCCTTGCATCCCTATGTCCCTGTCCTTCTACCTGTCTTAGCAATGTGAAAAGGCTATGGCCCTGCTTCTCAACAAACCCCTAACCCCTTAGACTGGCAATCCCAATCTCTGTGTGGGAAAGGTTGCCTTCTTGCCAGACCCAGAAGAATATTGATAATTGAGTTTAAAATAATCCAGTTTGCAGTAAAGTAAAAATTTTCCATGTTTATTCCATTTCCTTTTAGAAATGTTAAAGCCTTTAAGATATATAGAATGTCACAAATATTAACCATAAGATCATAGAGTCTAAATTGGAAGGGACCTTAGAAAAACATCATCTAACCCTCTGATCTTAAACTTAAGGCCTGCAGAAATTAAATGCCCAAGGTCATACAAGTAGTAAGTAAGTAGCAGACCCACTTGATTCCAAATCTAGATTTATTTGCATTGTACCATTATCATTAGCCAAAGGTGAAAATCTATATGAATACAATGGAATAAACTATTTTTATATGTCCTTAAGTTTCCATTTCCATGATGACCCTTAACTATATAATGCCTATCCCTTGAATCCCGTCTACTGCGTCTCCACACAGAAATACCCATTTTCCAGGTTTGAGGAGCCTCACGGAGTTAGTATTGCCACTCAGTGACACTGATTAAGTAAACATAAGGTTTGTCATCCTGTGGATGAAATATGGGCTGGGATTTAGAAATAGAAAGGAGATCCTCTAGCCCATCCCCTTCATTTTGCAAGTAAATCACTCTCACAATCAGTAGGAATGAGGATTCAAGCCTGATCCTTTTCATTTCATTCCATTACCCCCTCCCCAGTGTGCCTCGTCACTTTACTGGTTTGTTATAATATAGCACATTTCCAGCAGATTTTAAATCAGACAACTAGAGTTAGGGGTAATGTTCCCTACCAAAGTACATACTATAAATTACTAGATTAAGTTCTCCCATTAGAATTACATTCTTAATGTACCTTAAAATATTAAGATATCTGCGGGATTTGAGTTTGGTATTGGCCTTCATTTTTATCATTTAGAACAGTGATGAAACTTGATGGAGTGTTTACCTAAAGTCTTCTCAGAACTCATAAATTTAATACTCTTCTCCACACAGCAAATTTTCAAGGATGTTTCAGAGACTGAAAATGACATCAACAACATGGTAGCAGAATTCCAACAACTGTTAAATGCTAAGAAAGAAATTATCTTGTCCCTGGAAATGAGCTTAAGCACACATCTTGATGTGGAAAGCCTTAGAATAATACAGGAGGAGAATGATAGGATTGTTCACGTGAATAACTTGTATCATAATAAAATAAAGGTGAGTGATTTTTCCCCCCATTTTTCTTTCTTTATAACTAATGAAAAATTTACTTGATGCAACAAATGCTTCTATGTAATACAGTAAAGATAGTCACTTTGTGTATAACAATTACAATCACAGTTAATGGCCTTTAAAAGCAGGGAACAAATTCCATGTGTGCAAAATATTGAGGACGAATCTCATTCCCTCTTACTTTCCTTCCCCACCATGTTGTAGTACCTGAAGCTTATGGGAGCATTGACTCGTAGATCTAAAGCCCGAAGCAGCAGGAGAGAGAGGAGATTAGGAGGAGAGAGATTACCTTGTACCACCCCTTCATTATACAAGAGGAAGAAACCAAAGAGGCTAACTGCCCACAGTCACAAAGTTGACGAAGGCAGGAATCAAACCCAGGTTCTCTGATTCTGAGTCCAGAGCTCTTCTCACTGTACCACGCCTCCCCAGACCACCTGCATGTTCCCATACCCCCAAAGCTCACCGCGACGATGGGGCTACAAGAGTGTGCAGCGCTCTTGTTGTGCAGGAAGGTGAGAAGGGAGGCCCAGCTGGCTGCTGAGGCCCAGGCCCCAAAGGGCTGGTCTGCCTTGAGAGATCACCACCATCCAGGGGTTTGGTTCTAGGCTCGACAGGATTAGAAATTGAGTTTGATCAGTGCTTCTTGTGCTGCAATGCAGTATTCTACTTCACTCATGACTTAGCTTCTCCGTGTTCCTGGATACAGTAATCAGTCCTCTCCGGTTGATGTGCTCATGGTGGCATTACAATGCCCTTCACAGCAACTGAAATGACCTGTGTATTTGGCCACTTGTAACGCTCAGTCCCATCCTCACATATGCGAGTGGAGAGGTGTTCTTTGCCCGTGTGTACCTTCAAGGGATATTGTGGCTGATAGTGGGAATCTTTCTTTGGCTCCTTCACTGTTAGAAAAAATTATTTACTCTCAGCCATTCACACCTCAGTCCCCTGCCTTGAAGTGTGATGATCTGACTTCCATGGAAAAACAGTGTGGAAAGTTAGAACATGCACTGGCTCTGGGGACAGAGCCTGGGTTCAGATCCTAGCTCGGTCATTAATATTTGTGGGAACTTAAGAAAGTTATTCAACCTCCCTAATCATCCTCCTGAATAAAATACAAATTCATCAGCCTGGTTTTCAAGGCCCCCTCTTCACACACATTGTTTCCTATCGCTCAAGTGGATCCCTCTATCCATCCTATCTCTCTGCTGACATTTCTTCTCCTTCAGGATTCAGTTTTTATGTTGTCTTCTTAATGCTATCCCACTTTCTTTAACCCTTTCACACACCAAACTAAGTCACCTTTCCCTCTAATCTCCCACAGTACTCTATAGATGTCATTATCAATTTATTTTTTTATTTATTATTTTGTTGCAATAGTTGTATTTTATTTATCATATTACAGTTGTTGAATACATCTGACCTCCATAATAATAAGCTTCTTAGGGCAGAAATTATGTCATTTTGGTGTGTGTATGTGGGGAGGGGAGGGTCATCTTTGTATCCCCCTCATTTCAAGAAAAGTGTCTTGACCTTTTAATAATATGCACTTAATAAACGTTTATTGAATTGGGTTGGATAGGCTATTATGAACAAATCATCAGAGTTTGAAGACAGAAGTGTTGTTGTATGTAAAGAATGGGAACTTGAACTGAGACAGATGAAGGATAAGAATGAAGAAATGGTAAAGAAGTTCCAAAACGTAAAGACTACCCTTCTGCCACTGGATGACCCAGATGCTCTTACTGTAGGAGAAAATAAGAAACATCATCTTAAATTGAGGCACACAAGACAGACCACGAAGGTATTAAAAACATAAAACCCACAGTTTTACCTCACTTTGATACTTACTTGCAACCTTTCTTTTAGGATCATATTCCCACATGATTTTTTTAAAAGTGTGTGTGTGTGTGTGTGTGTGTGTGTGTGTGTCTTTATATGTGTATATTGTCAACAGGCAATCACAATTTCAAGAAACTTAGGTGAAAACTAGGTTTATTACAAGGGAAATGAACATGCATGTTGAACCCAAAGAGTTCACAATCCATACAGAAGTTTACATATTTATGACAGTAGGATAAAGGAAGGAGGAGGAAGCACAGAACTCACCTAAAGGGATGTGGCACGGGAAGGGGAAAGGTACAGTAAAGGACAAATCCCCTCCTGAAGGGGAGGAACAAGGTGATGGCAAAAGCCACACTTTGTAGCTGCTGGACCATGAAGATAAGATGGTCTGCTTATCTACAAGGGTCCCAGCTGCACAAACAATTTCTCGGGCTAGTGCAGATTGACTGGCACCTGTCTTGACTCTTAAGGACTCATAGGGAGTCCAGCTTGGGATGCAAACAACACATTATGTCAGCCCAGGTGGGTTTCATCCTTGACTTATTCAAGGCCTCCTGCATGCTCTGGGTCCAGTGTTTCTGCAAAATGTGGCAACTCAAAAAGAAAAGTTCAAGGGACTCCTTAACATTCCTTAACAATATATATATGTATCACTGTGCTTCCTCCTTAATTGCAAAGAGCAGTCTGTGTTTTAATTATACTTTTCTGAAAAGCTAAATTTATTTTAAATTACAGTCTTAGAAGTTGGTTTATTTGTTTTTTAAATTTGTGCCCCAGCAGAAAGGAATTGTGGTCTACTGAATAGAGTGAACTGGCCTAGAGCTTTGGGCAAGAATTATTCTGATTAAGAAATATAATAAACCTTATACAGATGAACCAGTATAACATCAACAGCTAGTGTCAACCAACAGTCAGTAAATGCAATTGATTTTTCCTGGATTTATACTTCTTAATCTAATTACTCCTTAACTGCCCTTGAAGGCATTCTTAGTGCATAAAAAGCAAGTTTGAGATTTCTTTTTTTTTTAAATGCACTGTAATTTTGTAGAGGAGAAAGAATAAATACAAAATAAATTCGTTGTTTTTGACCAGGACAAATACAGTCTACTAATTTACTATATTTCTAATTTAATAAAGCTATCAGTGTATAGTTAGTGGCAACACAGTGTCTCATGGACTGGTGACATTGTTTTTGGTTAACAGTATATGTGGAATAAATAGGATTTGTTATGCAGTTCTATTTTATAGATAATTAGTCACTTTTTAATGAAAATTTGTACTCCTCTTAATTAACAAATATGTGCCTATGGCATGTATAACTAGCAATGTTTTACTTATACATTAAATCATGTAACAGAAAATTATATTCCTGCATTTTTACTTTAGATTTTTAAAAAACAGCTTCTTTATATGAAAAAGGACCATGGCATCTAGATAAGAGATTAAATTTGGCCTCTTTCTTCAACTTTCTGGCCTCAGCTGATGCCAGATTATAAAAGTTATTTAAAAATACTTACTAAGTGGAATGTATTGTCAGCTTTGTTTTCAGTTTAAATAACTGTATTTTGACTTTCTTTACCTTAAACCTCATAAGAATCATTTCAATGCCAACTTTTACTGATAGGAAATTCAAGAAACTGCATTTCATGAAGACAAAGAAAACAAGCATAAACAAAAGGAAATTGATCCAGTGCAGAAAAACCTTGAAGTGGCTAAAGTTGTGAGTAACCAACACCTTCAGAGTCAACAGCCAGCAGTACACAGCTGTCAGGTGAACTCCTAGAAAAGTTTTCTCGCACTTGTTTCACAGCCAACTTTTGGGAGGGTGTGCTGCTCTATTTTTAAAATTTCCTTTTCCATGAAAGGCCAGAAACATACTAGCTTTAAAAAATCAATTATGTTTTCACTTCCAAGTTCTCTTTTTCCTACCACCCCCACCTACTGGGAATTTCCCTTAACTCTTTTTCCTTCTATTTCCCTGTTGGATTACAGGTGGGCATGTGCGTGCGTGCGTGCGTGCATGTGTGTGTGTGTGTGTGTGTGTGTGTGTGTATGTGTGTGTGTGTGTGTGTTCTTCTTTACTTTGACCAGTTCAGATGAGAAAGAGATTTAAGTGTCACCTCGTCCCACTCCCTCCACTGCCTCTTTCTTGTTGTATAGACTTCCACTTGGTTGAGTTAATTTATCCCGTCCTTCCTCTCCTCCCCTTTTGTCACCCTTTCCTGTTTCCAATTACATTTTTGTTTGGGGAAAAAAAAGTATAATACCTATTAAATATTGATATTGCGACTAGTTCCAAGAACAACTATTATTCTCCCCTTCCATGAGTATATTAATGAAGTGTTCTTTTTTTAAAAAATACCTATTTTAGACTGAACTAAAAAGTTAATTGAAATAATTAATAATTTTGGCAAAGTAGCAGGATATAAGAATATAAGTAAACCCACATAAATCATCAACATTCCTATTTATCACCAACAGGATCCTGCAAGGAGGGATAGCTAGAGATACCCCATTTAAAATAACACTAAACAGCATAAAATACATGGGAATACACCTACCAAAACAAAACCCAGAATCTACATGACAAAATCAGAAAAAATCTTTGTACACAAATGAAATCAGATTAAATAAAGGGAGAAATATTAATTGTTTGTGGGTAGACAGGGCCAATATAATAAAAATTATAATATTTACCAACATTAATCTACATGATCAATGCCATCCCAATCAAATTACCAAAACATTATTTTACAGAGCTAGAAAATAATAACAAAATTCATTTGGAAGAACAACAGGTCAAGAATATCAAAGGAACTAATGGGAAAAAAAATGTAAAGGGAGGAGGCTTAGCAGTACCAGATTTTAAACCAGGCCTGTACAGCTTGTTGCCTGCAGGTCACTTATGGCCCTTGGGCAGCTTACACAGGCCAAAGGATTTTCTCTGCATACAAAGGATGTTTTCCCTTACATTTTTCTCAAACTGGCTGAAATCCTTTGGCTTGCTGCAAGTCGTGTTGTGTAGACCTATCCTAAGCTATATTATAAGGCAGTAATTATCAAAACTATCTGGTACTGGCTAATAGAAAGGTAGATCAGTGGAACAGTGTAAGACATACAATCTACAGCTACAAATGAATATACTAACCCAGTGTTTGGCAAGTGTAAAGACTTAAGTTTTTGGGATAAGAATTCCTTATTTGGTAAAAATTGAGAAAAATGGAAAGCAGTATGGCAGAAATTTGGCATAGACCAATATCTTACACCATTTACCAAGATAAAGGCAAAATGGATATATGACTTGGTTGTAAAGGCAGATATTACAAGAAAATTTGAAGAACATGGAATATATTACCTATCAGATTTATGGACAGGTGAACAATTTATCAGCAAACGAGATAGAGAGTGTTGTGAGGTGTAAAATGGATCATTTTGGTTACATTAAATTAAAGAGGTTTTATATAAATAAAACATGTAGCCAAGATCAGATGGAAAGCAGAAAACTGGAGGGAAATTTTTATAGACAGTCCTCAGATAAAGGTCTCATATCTGAAATTATATATAAAGAACTTTGTCAAATCTATAAGAATGTGAGTCATTCCCCAACTGATAAATAGTCAGAGGATATGAATAGGCAGTTTTCTAATGAAGAAATCAAAACAATTTATAGTCAAATGAAAAAATGCTCTCAATCACTGGTTAGAGAAATGCAAATTAAAACAACCTTGAGATATCATTTTACATCTCTCAAATTGGCGAAAATGATAGAAGGGGAAAGTGACAAATGTTAGAGGGGATATGGAAAAATTGGGACATGAATTCATTGTTAGTGGATCTGTGAGGTGATCCAACCATTTTGGAGAGAGATTTGGAATTATACCCAAAGAGCTATCACACCCCTACACTAGAGGTGGGGTACCTGCAGCCTTGAGGTCACATGTGGCTGGCCTTCTGGGTCCTTGGGTATGGCCTTTTGACTGAGTCCAAGTTTTACAGAACAAATCTTTCTATTGAGAGCATTTGTTCTGTGAAGTTTGGATTAAGTCAAAGGACTGCCTTGAGGACCTAGAGGGCCACATGTGCCCTTGAGGCTGCAAGTTCCCCACCCCTGGCCTATACCCTTTCCCAAGAAGATTAGGAAAGATGGAAAAGAACCTACACGTTCCAAAATAGTGACATCAGCTCTCTTTGTAGTGGCAAAGAACTGGAAATTGCGGTGACTCCCATCAGTTGGGGAATGGCTGAAGTCCAGGGGGTGGAGAACCTGTGACCTCAAGGCCACTGTAGGGCCTTTTACAGCCTCAAGTGCAGCCCTTTGACTGAATCCAAACTTCACAGAATAAATCTCCTTAATAAAAGGATTTGTTCTGTGTAACTTGGACTCAATCAAAAGGCCGCACCCAAGGACCTAGAAGACCACAGGTGACCTCAAGGCTGCAGGTTCCCCACCTCTGAAATTGTGGTATATGTTCATGATGGAATGTTCCTCTGCTATAAGAAACAATGAGCTCAATGACTTTAGGAAAGCATGGAGAGACCTCCACGAAATAATGAAGAGCAAAACGAGTAGAGCCGGGAGAACACTGCAACAACAGTGTTGTTTTAAGAACAACTTTGAGCAACCAAGTCATTCTATCATAATACACAAATTAACCGCAAAGATCCTATGCAGGAAGATGCTGCTGAATCCAGAAAAAGAACTGACATGTGTGTATATATGTGTACATGTATATGTACCATGTCTATGCATATATATGTATATGTATCACCGTGTATATGTATATACACACACATAACAGATTTGTGTCTAATGGTAACCATCTCAGTTTGGAGTTGGGTTGGGGGAGAGGGGAAAAAGTCACATGATTTGTTGCATATTTGAAAAGAATAGCAAGTTGTACATGATGGATTGCAATTTCTGGTACAAACCTCTGTTTTCCTATCCTATTTTGTTATGCAAATGCTTGTTTTATTTCTTAAGTCATAACAAAATAAATTATGTTAAAAAAATTTTAAAGATTATTCAGCAGTGTTGAAATCTTAGCTACTCATCAAATTTGATTCTTGATTTTTATTCCTCCTTAAATTTCCTAAAAGGATGTCAAAGCTGTGTCCAGCAAAGAAATTGATGATCTCAAGATGAAATTGGTGAAATTGAACATGGAAAAAATGAATGAGTCCAAGAAGTTCGAAAAAGAGTATGTTTTTGGTTTTTTTCCTCATAGCCTATAATTGTTTTAAAGATCTAACTCTTTAAATTTTAGACACAGGGATTTGCCTGGTATAACTGGTGAAAGAAAAGGTAGCCCATTATATACTTTTTATTGCTTGTGTAAGAAAATTCACAGCAAAGATCACACCTCTTTTTATCTGTGGCTTATAAATATTGCTTTATGCCTTAATTATTTAAAGACAAATTGGAATCCTAATCAGATCTGCAAGCCATTATAAGTAACGTTGGTTATGACTTACTTTATGTTACATAAAAAAGCTAGAGATGGTTCTCATTTTTACATTATATATCGTTGTTGCTGTTTTGTATTTTTCAGTTGTCATTTGGGGTTTTCTTGGCAAAGAGTAGTTTCCTTCTCTAGCTCATTTTATATATAACAAACTGAAGCAAAGAGCGTTAAGTGACTTGCCCACAATCACACAGCTAGTAAGTGTCTGAAGCTAGATTGGTATTCAGGAAGATGAGTCTTTCAGAATCCAGGCCCAGCCCTCTACCAACTATGCCACCTAGCTGCCCATTTATGTATCATTAATTACACGCAAGTCCACATTAATCTTTAATATTTAGGTTGTAGAGCTTTTTTAAACCTTCATACTTTTCTCTTCCTACCATATTTGCTTGTATCATGATTGTCTTTTGTAGAATAGCATAAGCCCCAGAGGCACAATAATCATGTTGTCTTTTAAGACTGATTTGTGCCTACTTTTCATGGAGTATATATAATCTTTTTTTGTTTGTCATACATTGTAGTCTAATGGAAAGAGCATTATAGTTAATTGACTTCAATTCAACTCTACCACTGTATGACCTTAAACAAATCACTTGTCTTCTCTGGCCTCACTTTCTTCACATGTAAAAATGAGGGCATTGGACTATGTCCCTTGCCCCTATAAAATTCTATGATTTTACAAATGGCTACTTAACAAATATTATTTGATGATGACATTCTGCCAGTTTTGGAGACTAGTTGAGGGTACCTGTATAGCTACTCTTTAAATCCTCGACTATTTATCCCAGCTATTAAAAAAAAAAACAGTTAATGCTCATAGCCAGAAAGAACAGATAACAATTTCATAAAACTGTTTCTTTTTATTTTCTATTAATAAAATCTAGTTCATTTAAGTTAAAAGCTTTACTTCTGTCTTAATAATATCTAGAAAACTTTACTGATGACTTTCACATGTTTTGCAAGTCACTCAGGAATCACACATATATTTTCATGTCCTGATAATTGTGTTTGCTTTGCCAATAGATGGTAGATAGCAATTTATGAATTGCTACTTCTGTGACCAATGACAAATTCTGGTTTTAGCTATAATACATATTTACCGTAGACCGAGGCGTAGTTGAAATTTACCTTCTTATTTGTGGAGATAGTCTCATGTTCTTCATGTCACTCCCGGTATTTTTTATATTCTTTAGAAGGTGCTGGTGCTTAGATATTTGTGCTGCTGCCTTAGGTTCTTCCCTTTCGATAGAAGATTTTCTTGATTATTGTGTGTTCCTTTATTTTTAAAGATCAACTCTGTCTGTCAAAGGATATTTATTTTAGCCCAATCATCCAAGTTAAAACTAGTTGATTTTCCAAAAAGATCAATCAGCAAAGTGTTTATTAAGTACTTGCTATATTCTGATACTGTATTAGGTGATTGATAAAAAAAAACAAAAGTGAGGGGCAGCTAGGTGGCGCAGTGGATAGAGCTCTGGCCCTGGAGTCAGGAGGACCTGATTTCAAATGTGACCTCACAATTGACACTAGCTGTGTGACCCTGGGCAAGTCACTTAACCCCATTGCCTAGTCAAAAAAAAAAAAAGTGAAATAATCCCAGCACTCAAGAAGCTTACATGCTATCAGAGAAAACAAACCTGTATTTATTTGGCTATACACAAAATAGATACAAGGTAATGGTGGTGGTCAGGGGAGAACTCGCAGCTAAGAGGATCAGGAAAGGTTTCATGTAGCATGTAGTGCTGTGGCTGAGCCTTGTAGAAAACTAGGGATTCTAACAGGCAGAGATGAGGAGGAAATGTATTTCAGGTGTAGGGATAGCCATTGCAGAAACACATAGAGTGGAGATGGAGTGCCATGTGTGAAAAATAGCAAGAATGTTAGCCCATCTGGACTATAGAGTACCTGAATGGGAATGATATGGAATAAAACTGGAAAGGTAAGTCAGAGCCAGGGTGTGAAGAACTTTGCCATTTGATCTCAGATGTGCTAAGGAACCACTGGCATTTATTGAGTAACAGTCAGACCACACATTAGAAAAGTCAGTCAGCTGTGGGAAGGATCAATCTGTGTGAAAAGGGACTTCAGTCAGAGAGATCAACTAGGAGACTATTGCAGTACTCTGTGGGGCCACTAGGTGGCCCAGCGGATAGAGTGCTGGGCCTGGAGTCGGGAAGACTCATCTCCTGAGTTCCAATCTGGGTTCAGACACTTACTAGCTGTGTGAGCCTGGTCACACTTAACTCTGTTTGGCTCAGTTCCTCATCTGTCAGATGAACTAGAGAAGGAAATGGCCAACCTCTCCAGTATCTTTATTAAGAAAAATGGTGTCCCAAAGAGTTGGACATGACTGAAACAACTCAACAATTACAAGAAGTGGAAAGTAGAAATGGCCAGATATGGCGACTGATTAGATATGTAAGGTGAGGTTGAAAATGATATGGAGGTGGTGAGCCTCAGTGACAGTTGTGCCCTGAAAAGTGAAAAGGACATTTGGAAGATGGTTGGATTTTGAGGAAGAGAATGAATTTTATTTTGGACCTGTCTGAGGGGGACATCCAGTCCAAAATGCCCAGGAGGCAGTTGATGATGAGGGGGGATTGGATCTCAGGATATAAAGTGGGGCTGGGCATATAGATAGGGGAGTCATCTTCACAGAGATGATAATCGAATCGGTCATCTGGGGAGAGTCTAAAGAGAAGAGAAAAGAGCCCAGGAAAATGCCTTGCGGGTATAGCATTTAGGTAATGTGATGTGGAAGAAGTATAAAAATATGCTATTCCCCAGTCAGAAGAGTTCCCACAGGAAGACCTGTTTTGTCAGGATTATCCTGACAAAATTAGATGTCATTCCTTCTGTCTTTTTTCTTTTCTTTTTATTAAGCATATTGTTCTGTAAATTCTGGTACTAGTCATTAAAAATGAAGGCATTTTGAATTTTTTTTTAAGCGAGAGGAGAAAAGTAGAGCATGCAAGTGCAGACAGTACTTTCTAGAATTTGGGCTGAAAAGGTCACGTACTTGTGACTAACTTGCCTGTGAGGAACTTTCTCTACCAGTGCAACACCCTCCTGCAACCAATAGTCTCAGTGAGTTGCCTAGAACACAGATGCCTTGGCTAAGGTCACACAGCCAGTAAGTGTCACCACAGGCAGTGCTGCTCCTGGCTCCAAGGCCAGCTCTCCCTCCACTAAACCACAGTACCCCTTTTGGCTGGGGAAAAAACAAAAACAAAGAGGGCCATAGCAGGAAGCATAGCAAAAGAATTTGTCCCATGATATTAAAAAGATAAAAACATGATTGGGTGTTGTGGTTTGTTTTTAAGAGATATCATGTCATCAGCACAGGGTTACTACCATTGTGCTTACTCCTTCACTGCTGCTACTTACTGCCAATTTGTTGGCCTGGTGTTATCACTTATTGTTTGTGTTCCTTTATGATCTTTTATTAGAATTGCTTCTAAAGCTGCCGTAATAGAGCATCAGGAAGAAATGATAAGTCAGCTGAAGGAACATCTTAGAAGAGCCCAACAGAGCAATGATGTCTCAAGTAAGTAGAGATAGAAATGTTTTGAGCCCTTGTCTTTTGTGCGTATATCCTCCATGCGGTTACATTTTTATATCTGCTTCGGGAGGCTGCTGTGAGATTGAAAAGTACTAGAGTTTAGAAACACACTGGGTTCATTTCCCTTACTGGTCAACAGCTATTAATAAGGTAATCTATACTGTTCTGTTGTCGTCTTTATTTGAACCGATGTGGTGTTCCTTAGTGTATCATAGCTTTACTGCCTATTTAATAATAGCTCCTGTTGTGTGCTGGCACTGGGGGTTTAGAAAGTACAGAGAATGAAAACAATCCCTACTTGTTTTGAGCACACACCTACTGAGGGAGATAGGTACGTATCAAAACATAAAGCGTAAATCTAAAGTTAACATGCGGGGCAGCTAGATGGTGCAGTGGATAGAGCACCGGCCCTGAAGTCAGGAGGACCTGAGTTCAAATCCAGCCTCAGACCAAACACTTGACACGTACTAGCTGTATGACCCTGGGCAAGTAACTTAACCCCAAATGCCTCAAAAGTAAAAACAAAAAACAAAACAATAAAGTTAACATGCACATGTGCAGAGCAGTTCAGTCCGTGGTGCTTTGGGAGAGAGGGCACTTGCAGTTGGAGAGGTCAGAAAAAGCAGAATATAATGCCTCAGCTGCATCTTGAAGAAGGAGAAGGGACTTTGTAAAGGGGAGCTAAGGAGGGAGTTCCTTCCAGCCTCGTAGGCTGGCCAGTGTGAAAGCAGAAAGCATAGACACGAAAGAGGGGGTGAGCCTCCCATGTGAGGAACAGAGAAAGCCAAGCCAGTTCAGCTGTATCTCATCACGCAGGAGCGGAGGAGTCATGTCAAGTGAGGCCGAAAGGTTTAAACCTGAATAGAGAAGTCTACATTCTGTCCTAAAGGTGTTAACTAGGAAGCCACTAGAGTTGGTTGAATAGAGTAGTCACATGGTCAGATCTGTGATTAAGAAAAAATGACTTCAGCAGCAGTGCATGACATGGACTAGAATCTAGAATAGGGAGGGACTTGAGGCAAGAAGTGAGGAGGGCTTAAGCTAAAATGTGTGCAGACAATGGCTCAGAGGCAAAAGAGGTCAGAAAGGTGGATTTAGGAACTGATTGGATCTGTGAGGTATCCAGTTTAATGCCCAGGGAATGAACCTGGGAGACTAGAAGCACGGGGGTGCCTTCTGGTCACAGAAATAGGGAAGTTCTGCAGAGAGGCAGGCTTAGGAGGTGAGATGATCAGTTCCATTTTAGACATGTTGATTTTAAGGTCTCTGGTATATCTAGTTTGAAATGTCCAAAAGACAGATGGTGACGCAGGACTATAGTTCAGGGGAAGGTCTGGGATTGGTTCTGAAAGTCATCTGCTTAGAGATGATAGTTGAACTCATGGAAACTCGTGATGTTATCATGAGTGAGAATACTGAAGGAGAAGAGAAAAGGCCCCAGGACAGAACTTTGGCTCACAGTTCAGGGCGTGATATGGATGGTGAGCCAGCCAAAGAGGCAGGGAAGGAGTAGTCAGACAGGTAGGAGGTACTCCCATCCCGCTAATCGCGGCCCTTGTTAGTAAGATCTCTTGTATACTGTACACTCTCCTCTACCAACTACAGCTACCCTCAGGCCCTCATCACTTCATCTCTAACCCACAGCAATAGCTTGCTGGTTGATTTCCCTGCTTCAAGTGTCTCCACTGCAATCCATCCTCCACTCAGCTGAAAATTTGTTCTTCCTAAAATGCAGGTCTGACTATGTCACCCCCAGTGGCTTCTTGTTGTCTCCAGGATCAGTATAAATTCCTCTTTTTGGCTTTCGAAGTCTTATATAACCTGCCCCTTTCCTTCCTTTCCAGTCTCCTTACTCCTCCATGTACTCTGTGATACGCTGACACTGACCTCACCCTCCATCTTCCAACTCTGGGCATTTTCTCTCTCTGTCTCCCATTGCCAGGAACTCTCTTCTCCCCTCATCTTTGCTTCCTGGCTTCCTTCAGATCCCAGCTAAAATCTCACCTTCTGCAAAAAAACCTTTACCTAGTTGTATTCAATGCTAGTGCCTTCCCTCTGAGATCACTCCTGAAGAATCTGATATAGGCTTGTGTGCACGTAATATTTCCTAGACTGTGAGGTCCTTGAGAGCAGAAACTGGTCTTTGCTTTTCTGTCCAGACATAGTTTGATATGGTACTTTATGAAGTCTCTGATGCTTCCTCAGTAGACTACCAAACCCTCTTTTTTTTATGTGGTACCTTTGTACAACTCAAAGCATTTCTGATTTCTAGTTTAAATGTGTTTGTTTCCCTCCATCAGTGTTAGAGCCACCTGGTCATGCCCAAGCGTCCCACACACCATTGACCTGTGGGGGTGGCAGTGGTATAGTACAGAGCACAAAAGCACTGATTCTAAAAGCGGATCGTGTGAGGCTGGAGAGAGAGATTAGCAAGTTAAAGCAACAGAATGAGTATCTGACAAATCATCAGAGTCAGCTATCAAGGTAAGAGCTGCTCAAGCAGAGTATGTTTACTGCATTATATTTATCCAGTTTGGGTCCAGTTCAATCATTTCTCTGCAAATGACAGCTAAAATCTAGCCTTATATTACAAATGCTGTTGCTTTAGGGATGAGGATAGAAACACCTGTTTTAAATTCAACCATTTCGCAGCCAACCTCAGTACCCCAAAGTTCACACACTTTATTTGTAAGAGAGCCACCCAGTATTAAAACTGTGATGGATCTCCAGACACCGTGTGGCCAGCATTCCTCAGAGTGCAGTCTCTGTTAAGCTACTTATTTATCAACAAAATAAAGAGGGCACAGAAGCTGTTATAGGCAAAGCTACTGGGAATAGGAAGAAGGGACATATTAAAGGATGACAACCTCCATAATTTCCCTGCCCAACACACTTATTCCAGGACACTTGAATCAACTGGATTAGGACGGAAAGCTGTATTTCCCCTGCTCTTCAGTAAATAACTAATTATAGATGTTTCATATTTCATGTAGCACTTGGTATAAAGTATCTTGTTTAATCTTCAAAAGAACCTTGTGAGGTAAATGCTATTAGTTGAGGAAACTGAGGCTTAGAGAGGTTAAGAGGTATAGCTGTGGACACATATCTAGAAAGTTTGGGAGACCCACCCCGGGTTTCCCCACACTCCCAAGTACAGCATTCTACTGGACCAGGAGTACATTTATTTTTCCCACAACTGTTTATGACTCATATCCTCTTAGTTATCCAAGTGACCATATTAAAACCGTATCTTTTTTCTATAATTGTCCTTTATCATCTTTTCAACATAGCTCTTTTATGAAGTATATTTTAGGAGCAGCTAGGTGTGTGAACCCTGGGCAAGTCACTTAACCTCATTGCCTAGCAAAAAAAAATTTTAAATATATTTTAATCTTCTTGAAATTTATATAATAAACGAAAATTGAATTACCCTGGGGGAGAGAAGGTGGATATTTATAAGAGAATAGGGCTTGCACCTTAATTTAGCCTAAGGATGGTCCGTTAATAGCAACAGACTAGAAACATAGGCTAGATATTTAAGCTCTAGTTATTTCGATGATGTGATTTTTTTTAAACATCACTGTATATAGCCTTGTAATCATATCTGAATGTTTAGACGTGGAATACTTGGTTAAACTAAGATCCTGTTTTAAAAAAAGGACAAAATAGTGCTTGTGGTTGATCTGATGCTGATTTTTTTTCCTGCGTCAATCATAAATTAGACTTTCTTTAATGTTGGTACTACTAAGATTCAGAGATATTTTCTTCCTTTCTAGTCTTTGATGCAACAAGCAAGGATTCCAAGGGTTCAGAAAATGTCATGCAATATGCTAAACCTTGGAGGAAATTATATTTCTCTGCATAGTTCATTCTTCTTTATGATTTAAATTTTAATTCTACAATTTTTTTTCTTTTTGAAATGGATGTTAAAAGGTCATGATTAAGTATATGCTTTTTCCTGGTCTTAATTAGGTGTGCAAAAAGAGTAATTAAATTATTTAATACAGGCTTTAATTCTCTTTCTATATTATCACTGTATGTGGATCATGGATCTCATTGGCAGAACATACCATGCCTGTCCTTGAACTCTAGAAATATTGGCAGTTTGACTTAGCTACCATTATGTGGTGAGCTTTTATCTTTTAACAGTACATAATTTCCAGATACTGCTAGGAATTCACCACATTACACTTACGACAAAATTAAGATTCTACTCCAGGCAAGCTAGAAAAATGCCAGCCTCCCTGGCTCATGTTCCATATAATTTCTCGCCATTCCCTAATCTATATTATAGAGATATATATCATCTCTCACAATAACATAACATTCTTCTTCTTCTTCTAGGTCACCACCTTTTTGGTTCACATCTCTTAGGAAAGAAAAGATATTGGATGGCAATTAAAGAGGGTAAACTCAAGTGCCATGTACACCTGGCCCGCAGAGATGTGCAACCTAAAAGAGCTGGTCATTTGAACTGACTGTGACTAACGTGTCACATTAGAAGTCTCCAAAGGGGCTGGGGAGAAACCTATGCCTGTTTACGCAGTAGAGAATTATTTTCACTTTCTGGACTAGAAAAGATTTCTAAATAACAAGCATTAATACAATTGAGGTTAATATGTAAATGTAGGTACATTTCATTTCAGTATTTATTTTATGTTCTTACCCATTTTGTTTTCTTTCTAAGCAACAATTTCCATCTTGCCAGAGAAGTCAAAAAATGGAAAGAGAGAGCCCTTAAAAAGGAAGCCCAAGAGCTTACTCGTGTCCATTCTCCAAAATCTCCTAAACTGACAGAAATTACATCCCTAAAGAGGCAATGTATGTCACCTCTGTATACAGAGCAGACTTCACAGGAAACTTTACCAAAGGATTCACCAAAATCTTGGGCGTATGATGGACGGTCAAAGTCTCTGCCAGTCGTTTGTCATAATAACTATTTTGACAACTCTGGCCTAGGTCTACTCCCAGGTATGTAATACAGTGGAGGGAGAAGGAGAAACATTGGTTAAGACCTGGTCCTTTTGTTTTTCTTAACTATTCAGTCTTAGATGGCAAGTTTAGACAAGAAGTCGGAACATGCAAGTTCACGACACCATGCAAGAAACTTCATTTTTTTGACCCTCTAAGAATAGATCACACAAAAGATGGTCAACTCCGTGGGGATTCATTTGTATCACTTATCTGCTCAACTCCATAGACATTTCTCAACTTTGAATGCTTTCGTAATCCTGATAGAGAAGCAGCTTTTCTTTAAGACCTTTGAAGATATTATTAGTGATAGTCAACAGATGCAGATTCATATAATGCAAAGCACTAACTTTTCATTATTTGTATAAAAAGGGTAGCATGATCACATGAAAGCTATAGATACTATTTTCTCCTTAAAACTTGTATTTTGATAATTGTGCTAATTTAAGTAAAATAACTAAAAAGAACTGAGTTATCTTTTTGAAGAGATGAAAAGTATTCTTTTTGTGTTTTGTTTTGTTTTGTTTTTTGGCAATTGGGGTTAGATGACTTGTCCAGGGTCGCACATCTAGTGTCACCCAGACATTTGAACTTAGGATTTGGACTCAGGTCCTCTTGACTCCAGGCCCTGTGCTCTATCCACTGTGCCACCTAGCTGCCCCTGACAAAATATTATTAAAATAAAGAAATAGACGATCTCCTACAATAGCTATACTTTGGGGAATTTTTTTTCAAACTCTAAGAATAAACAGTAGGGAGATTCATATAAACTGATGAGAATAAAAACTAATAACATGACTTAAGTGTGATTTTATTACTTTCAAGTAGTACAGTTAATTGAACTACCTTAACAAATTAAGCAAGGTGCTAGGTAAAGCTTCTGTTGGACCTACTTTCATAGATAGGTGAGAAGTATTTGTAATTAGCACTTTTTTAAAGGTACAAATAGATTCTGTTAAAGCATTGGGTTTTTTAGGCTTGGGAAAGAAGTGTCATGACAAGTTCAAACACCCCCTGTAATCTCTTCTCAATTGATTCATTATATTAAATAATTTATTTAGCGAGCTATTTATTTTTGCAAAGATAATATAAAGGTAATCCTATTTTGAATTACCATGGAACAAATTAGTGGGGTTCAGACTAAGGGGGTATTTCAATAGGCTTCTGACAATTATTAATTCATGTTATTTTTTTTTTCTTACAGAAATAGCTTTCAGTTCTACAAATGATTCTACAAAAGGTGAATTTCAGTTTATCATGGTGTAGGTGAATGGGGGAAGAAAAGTTCATGAATCTCTAAAATTTCAATTGAATAGTCACCTGACCTGTTCCCTTCCTTTCTTCTCATGGCAATTTTATTCTTCTCAACCCCTTATAGTTCAGTGAGCACCTGATTGTCAAATCCAGTAGTTTGGGTTTTTTTCCCAGCCTCCTTGACATCAGCAGCTTTTGACATTTTTACTGATTGTTCCTCTTCCCTCAGCTTTCATGTAGGTGTTCCCCAATGAACCAGCCTTAGGCCACGTCTCCCTTGGCCATTTCATTTACTCCAGTGGCTTTGAGCAATAGAATATAATGGTTAGAGTACTGGACTTGGAGTCAGGAATGCCTGGATTTAAATCCCAAACAGACATGGGCATGTCACCTTTCTGAGCCTCAGTTCTTCATTTGTAAAATGAGGATGATTGTACTACTTACTTCATAGGACTGTAGGGTTCAAAAAGGCTAATGTGTCTAAAGCACTTTGTAAAGTATAAAACATCATTAAAATGATAGTTATTGTTATTACCACCTCCTCCCTGCACATGACACCCAGGTCAACATCTATAGCCTGATATCTCTTTGAAACATCAGGCCTACATCTCTACTGCTTCTAAGACATATCCATGAACATTTTCAAACTTAATGTGTTTGAAACTGAGTCCCTAAACTGGCTTTTCTTCCCCTTCTCTAAAGCTATCTGCAATACCATCATTTATTTCCCTGATTTCCATTTTCATAACCTTGAGGTAGTATTAGATATTTCCTTTTCCCTTGCATCACATTCATGCATTGTCTTAGGATCCTACATCACAGGATAATCACTTCAGATGATAGCTTGGTAGAGAACGGATATTCCATCAAGCCCCAACACCATTTTACAAGTGAGGAAAATGAGGCCCAGAGAGGTTGAGGCTTGCCCAAAGTCACATAAGGCAGAAGCACCAAACTTCTCCCATCCTTCCTCTTCACTTAATGAGCGCAGCCACCATCCTCATTTCAACCTTCATGATGATCTGCCTGGGTTATTATAGTGCTCTCTGTATAGATTTTCCCACCTTTTCTCTCCCCCTTATACTCTGCTTTTCATACTGCATTTAGACTAATCTTACCTGGAAATCTGCTGCCGTCACTTCTGTGCTTGAAAGACTGTTAATTCACTTCCTCTATGAAACTCAAATTCTTTGACCTGCTGTTTGAGGCACTCCACAAATTGACATCATTTCACCTTACATATAGTATTCTGTTACTTCTCTCCTGGACAGTTCCCTGTCTGCTCAACACACGCCCTGTTCTCACTCCTTATTTAGTGTCTTTGCTCAAGTTTTGCTCAATGCCCATTCTCATCTCCTTTAAGTCTCCTCCTCAGTATCACCTCTCAAAAACTTTCCTTGATCTGCCCCCTGGTAACAACCTTTGCCCACAAACAGAATTTATTTTAAAGAACTGACCATGCACAATTGTGAATTAGACTAGAAACTCTGTGGGTCAATATGTTATCTGAACTTTGCAATTTCACTTTACCTAAGTCCCTTACAACGGTAATTTGATTGTAGGTACATACATTTATAACATAGTGTTCTGAATATAATTAAGCTTAGTTGTTTTGTTTTGTTTTTTTCTTTCACAGAGACTCCAAGAGAGGAGAATACAGGCTCTTTATTGGATCAATGGCAGACCTCTTCAGGAAAAGACGCACCGGAATGCAGAACCCAGTAATCTCACTTTTATGCGTCATGCACATTCCGGTTTCTTCCAACACTTAGATGTAGTTTTGCATCGTCATCCCGACCACTGCAATCGTAGTTTGGTTAGACTTTATTATTATTTCTCTCACTATGCCACCGCTATTACCGGATAAATGAATAGGAACAAGGCGCTAGATCAGAATGGTATCAAAATGCTTACTTCATTTTTAAATGTTGGAATACTTTTAAAATAGATTTTATTTAAAAGGAGCTTCTGTGGAATACAAATTATGGAAGGAATTCCTCAGGCTGAGCAATTGAAGGTGAGGAAAGATGACTCAATTTATATGGTTAACATTTTATCTACATCTTTTTTTTAATGTACACATGTAAAATTGTAATATAATTTTTTCCTTTCATATTATAACTTGTATTATAAAATCTGTACTCATGTTGCCTTCCCTTCTAGAATATGATGACAGGAATTGTGTCTTAATTCTCCTTTGTATCTGTCATATAGCATTAGCAGCTACTCAGTAAATACTGATCAACAAATGATCCCTCCTACTGCATTGTCCAGTATCCACAAAAATTCATTTCTAAAAATGGATTTAAAGGAGCAGAGTCGTTGTCCCTGCGATATGTCTGAAAAAATCACACTACCTTCCTGCAGAATAAAAGCTTATCCATAGCAATTTTGTTGAGTTGTTTGATTTTGCTAGGAAGGGGAGAGGTTGAGAATATGATGCATTACCAAAGCTGAACAATTTTAAAGGACTGTTTAAAGTATGTATCAGAATACAAGAGTTCTCTTTTTTTATTCATTTTGAACTTAAATACAGAAAAACAAACAAAAAAAGAACATTTCCATGTACATAGCACAAGAAGAGGATTCAATATAAAACCATGAATTTCCATTTCACACTGTTTACTTGAAAAAACCAACTATGTAATAAATACTACACATCATTTCAAAGCTGCCCTGCTTTTGTGCTTCCAAGTTCTCTTTTGTTCTCTGCTGTGCCTTTCTTTTCTTCCTCCCTCGCCTTCTCACCCTAAAGAAGGCTACCATTGTGGTGCAGTGGATAGAGCACAGGCTGTGAAGTCAGGAGGACCTGAGTTCAAATCCGGCTTCATACCAAACACTTGACACTTACTAGCTGTGTGACCCAGGGCAAGTCACTTAACCCCAATTGCCTAAAAAAAAAAGGCTGCCATTAGACAAAATAATATATATGTGTGTGTGTGTCTGTGTGTGTGTGTGTGTGTGTATAGATGTAAAACCATACAATACATACAGTTCTCTTTCTGGAGGTGGGTAAGCATCATACTTCATAGGTTCTTTGTAATTGAAATTTCATTATGTAATTCAATTCATTATGAAAATGAATTGGTCATTCAAAGTCTTTCTTTAGGGCAGCTAGGTGGCACAGTGGATAGAGCACTGGCCCTGAAGTCAGGAGGACCTGAGTTCAAATCCAACCTCAGACTAAACACTTGACACTTACTAGCTGTGTGACCCTGGGCAAGTCACTTAACCCCAATTGCCTAAAAGCAAAAAAAAAAAGTCTTTCTTTTATAACTCTTTGGGCATAATTCCAGATTGCTCTCCAAAATAGTTGGATCAGTCACAGTTTCCCCACCCCTGTTTAGGATAACTGCTTTACCCTAATTTTTAACTATTTCTGCTGCTATAAGTTCACTGTGAGGCAATGTTTTGTCTTGTTTGTGGGAGAAATTTGGAGACCTCAATATTTTCTGCTCTATTCTGCCATCTTCCTTTGTTGGGGTCTAGGGGTTTAGGGGTGCTGAAGCAGTCCTGAGGGAGAAAAATCTTTTAAAATATACATGGAGCTTAAGAATCAGCACATGAATAAACACAAATGGTAGGGGCAGCTAGGTGGCATAGTGCATAGAGCACTGGCCCTGGCATTAGGAGAACCTGAGTTCAAGTCTGGCCTCCAACACATAATAATTACTATCTGTGTGACTCTGGGCAAGTCATTTAACCCCAACTGCCTCACCAAAATAAATAAATAGGAATTGTGAAAATTAGAGGAGAAATAGAGGCAAAATGGGGCAAGGGGACAAGTTAAAAGCTGGTCCTTCGAAAGAACAAACAAAATTTAAAAACCTTTAATTAAACTAAATTTTTTAAAATGGAGGAAAACCAAATTATCAAAATAAAAAATTCACAATAAGCAGAAATAAAAAGAATTATCAAAACCTACTATGCACAACTATATGCTAGCAAAACCAAGGACAAACAAAATAGATACTTTTATATGAAAAAATATAAAATAAGGTATCTGTTGTCATAAATAGCTGACCAGGAAACCAGATCAAAGAAAGATGATTTAAGAATCACAGGACTTCCTGAAAACCATAACCAATCCAAAAACCTGAACACTATATTTCAACAACTATCCAGGTGATTAGAACCAGGGGACAAAGTAAAAATAGGAAGAATCCACTGATCACTTCCCTGAAATAAACCGCAAGCTGAAAACATTCAGGAATGTTATCACCCAAAACTAGACCTTTCAAATCAAAATAAAAATTACTTCAAGGAGACAGAAGGACAGAAAGAAACCTTAGTCAGGATCACATACAGAAATTACTGTAAAAGAGAGAATGTTTTGAAACAATATATTCCAAAATGCAAAAGACAAAAACATAACCAAAAACCCCTGCAAAATCAAAGAGAGGGGGGAAATGGATTGTTAATAGAATAGACTTTCAAGCATTCCTGATGAAAAGACTAAGAATGAAGGAAATCTTTGAAATGCAAATACAAACAAAGGAATCAAAATAATATAGAAAGGCAAAATACTCCATCAAGTTCCAAAATTCTTAGTGCATTTTTAAGGATAGCTTGAAAATTCACTCAGACTTGTGAAACTTTGTGTACATTCAAGTAATTGGGAGATGCTAAATGATAATAAAGTGCTTAATTGGAAAAAGAAAACCAGAATCCTGTCAGAAAACTATTGTCTTCAAGGGTCACACAGAATTAAGTGAGACAAACAGAACCTTTTTTTGTGTGTGTTTTGTTGGTTTTCAGGGAGAAAAAAAGAGTAATTAAAAAGGAATATACTATCAATCAACATGCACATTAAGCACTTGCCCCGTATTACTGTGCTAAATCCTGGCGGGGCAGGTTGGTGGTGTCAGTGTGTGTGTGTGTGTGTGTGTGTTCACACATATAAACATATACATGCATATCTACATATATACAAGTATATTTACACTGTGTGTGTGTGTGTGTGTGTGTGTGTAGATAGTGTGTGGGGTGTTTGTGACCCCCTTGTAATAATCAGAGACTTTTTTTTAAGAAAGGCAAAAAGGAGTTTTATTGCTTTCTCATGAAAAAGGACACTCTGTGTGTTGCTCAAGATGGTGTCAAGGGCATATAGCTCAGAGCAAGTTTATATAGACCCTGACGGGGAACCCCCACCCACCCACTGGCTCTCCTTCCCATTGGCTGGGCTTCGGAGCTCATAGTCTAAGCAGGGGAACTTCTCCCCAGCACCAAGGACAAAAAGGGCACGAAACAGGGCCAACAGCTAGGGAGGGAGCCTGAGAAGGGACAGAATCCAGGTGGACAGGTTGTGGCTCTGTCACCTGATCTACTTGGGACACTCTGCTTTCTCAGTATGGCAGCTTCTGAGAAATGTAGGGAGGGGTCAGCTCTTATCCTACACTGAGGGGGCTTCACTATTTCAGCATTCCATTCAAGAGAATTACTTGCCCTCCAGTACCTTTAGTTTTACTATGGGAGATAACATAAAAGTAAGTACATATGACATACAGTTATCCCTTCCACCTAGTGACTTTCCACATGACGGTTTCAATATATCAAAAGCTGGCATAAGAAATTCAGGAGGACCTGAGTTCAAATCTGACCTCAGACACATAACACTTACTAGCTGTCTGACCCTGGGCAAGTCACTTAACCCCATTGCCTAACCAAAAACAAAACAAAATAAAACAAACAAACAAAAACAAAAGAATTAGATCCAAGTCTTTTTTCAGCCAAAGATAAGGTTTATTAGAACATCCGTCATATTGGGCAGGCTCTTAACAAGTCTGAACGTTAGCAAGGTAGTGGCTAGATTTTAAGAATCTGAGAATCTTAATGGAGAAAAATGGACGTTATACACAGAAAGGCCATGGGAGGGATCTAGGAGTGGCTAGGTTAAGGGCAAGTTTTTCAGAAGCTACAGATGACACACAAAGGCCAGGAGATGGCACAAAAAAATTTTGGAAACTCGGAAATGCATAAAATATGTGTATAGTATATTTACTTAACACTGACCTACATATAGTCTATGACAAAATACTTAACCCAAATTTTACAACAAAATACTGTAAACACTCCATAATAGAAAAAGAAAAAATTTAGACTCCTTCTCTGGTGTAAAGGGTGGGCCAAAAAAACTTTACACGGATTTTTAAGATTGCAGGCGTGCTGTGCCCCTAACTCCCACAATGTGGAAGAGATAATTGTATATACAAAATAGAAGGAGATCTCAAAGGGGAAGGCAATATGCCTTGAGGAACTGGAAAAACTGCCTGCAAAATGAACAACCAGTAAAAATCTATGGAGATGTTTAGAGGATTCTGGGAATAAGTCAGAAAACTTTTGGCTCTCCAAATTTCCTCCACCAAAAAAACCAAAACAAAACAAAAAAACCTGCCTCAGAGCAAATGCGGAACAGCAGAAAGAAACCCAAGTTGGGGTAAAGCAGTTGTCCTAAAACGCTTTGAGAGGACCCCAGGAAAGACTCAACCTTCAGAGGTGGTCCTTTGCCCTGAGTGAAGTGCAAACAAGCCCTAAGAGGCAGCTGGGTCGGAAAGCAGCCTCAGCCTCAGGAACATTCACATCATGGATGGACAGTGTGGGGGTCAGATGGCTGAGGAGAAGATGAAAAGACCTTCCACCGTCTAGGGACTCCAGGCACAGCTATGCTGAGCAGATACATCCTGGGCTGTGGCTGTGCAAGGCAAAAGTGCTAGTGATGAGAATGGGATCTAGACCCCAAAAAGGAAAAACCCTGGACTTTTCCACGTGGCCAAATCTCTGGAGTTTGTCTAAGGCTATAATCTCATCAACTGGCCTTTCATCCTGGCTACATCCAATCTTCCAATTCTGTTACCCTTAACCTAGCCTAACCCTCCATTGTCTTAGCTCCCTATGGCCCCCCAACATTTCCCACCCTTAATCCCAGCTAGGCTCCATTCTCCTTGGCCATGTGGTCCAGGTCTCTGGCATTCTATTACCTCATAGACTAGTTGGCCACTCCTAGATCCCTCCCATGGCCTTTCTGTGTATAACGTCCATTTTTCTCCATTAAGATTCTCAGATTCTTAAAATCTAGCCACTACCTTGCTAACGTTCAGACTTGTTAAGAGCCTGCCCAATATGACGGATGTTCTAATAAACCTTATCTTTGGCTGAAAAAAGACTTGGATCTAATTCTTTTGTTTTTGTTTGTTTGTTTTATTTTGTTTTGTTTTTGGTTAGGCAATGGGGTTAAGTGACTTGCCCAGGGTCAGACAGCTAGTAAGTGTTATGTGTCTGAGGTCAGATTTGAACTCAGGTCCTCCTGAATCCAGGGCTGGTGCTCTATCCACTGCACCACCTAGCTGCCCCTTGAATTCTTTTGGGCAGGAGCCATTTGTTGTGATTTTGGGGTCTCAGCACCCCTAGACCCCTAAAACTCAACCTTAGCACACACCTGGTGAGTGCTGTAGCAGAGAGGTGAGGACCCTACTGGCTGTGGATACTTGCAGGAGAGCAGAGTCCCTGGTTTCAGTTCCAGGGCAGCAACCGGAGAGACAACGGGCACAAGAACATTTGCAGGACAGCACAGCTAGGGGCCCTGTCCATGCATTAGGGGTGGAGAAAAGTGTCCGTGATTGGGCCCTGGGACAGAGCTCAGAAAATAACAGTAAGAAGGACCCGAGGCCTAGAATATAATCTCCCACACCTCAAGACTAAAACCTGATTATAATAATAAGCTGCTAATAATAAAATAAAACAAAATAAAAGTAAGTAAACAAAGGAGAAAGAACCCAACCACAGATAGCTACTATGGGAATAGAGAAGATCTGAGTTAATATTCAGAACAAGATAGCAGAGCTAAAAAAAGTCACTCTTTTTTCAATGAGAAATGTTAAATGGTCACAAGCACAAAAAGAGTTCTTGCAAGAACTTAAAAAGGATTGTAAAAACCAAATAAAAGTGATTGAGGAAAAATTAGAAAAAATTCCATAGAGTAATCATAATTATTTTATAATTACAATTTTATCTCGAGTTTTATAATTGTACTCATAGTAAAATCTTATGTTTTATAATTATATAATATACATGTTAACTTGGAGCTTGGGGATAAATTATCATTGTAGTAATTGTAAGCACATAATGAATAAATCTGAAAGAATGTTCTAAGTAATATGTTAAATTACTCTAAGGGTTCATAACACATTTTTTGTTTGTTTTTCAAAGGGATTTGTAGAACAAAAAACATTGGGAATTATTGCACTACATGATAGCTGAGATCCATTCCAACTTTCAAATGTGTGAATTCTTTACTAAAGATTATTTTTGTGTTTTAGCGTGGTGTTGATCATAATAATAATAGCTATCAATTATAGGGTGCCTACTATGTGTCAGGCCCTATGCTAAGTGCTTTACAAATATTATCTCAGTCGACCCTTACAAGAACCCTAGAAGGTAGGTGATATAATTATCCCCATTTTATAGATGAGGAAACTGAGGCAAAGAGAAGTGAAGTGACTTGGTCAGGAACAGAAAGCTAGTAAGTGTCTGAGGTCACATTTGAACTCAGGTCTTCTTGATCTCAGGTCCAGATATCCAGCCTGTGCCACCTAGCTGCAATCATTATTTGAAATATTCATTATTTATTATTGGACTATTAATTAGATCTTGCTAATCTAAGAAAGTCTAATCGATGAATGTCAATTTTAATAAATTCCATATATATCTTATCAAAATAAAAAAATATTCATTGTTAAATTTGTGCTTGTAGTTTTTGTTGTTGAAGAACAAAATTGTTGAACAAAGGTTTGTTTATGAAACAAACCATTCCTTTTACCTAGACACCTGTGACCACAAAATAATACAGTTATCATTCTGATGTATACATAAAAAGCCAATTCTTTTTCCCACTTACGGAATTGAAGAATTTTGGTTAATTGGCCATAATTAATTAATAAATGGCCTTCATTGGCATTTCAGTCCAAACCAGAACCAGAAAGTATCTCTTCTCCAACATACTTGAGACCTTTTTCTTGCTATGAAGGTAGCATCACACCAAAGCAACAACCCAGCGTCATACATGGAGACAGTTGCAAATACTTTGAATTTTTTGGCCACACTTGCATTTGGGATTGAAGGACCATTACTAGTGCTATTCTTTTTTCAAACTAAAGTTTTCTAATTGGGAGGGAAGAAATAATAAAAATTCCTATCCAGTGACCACTGGGAAAAAAAAGCATTAGCATAAAAGAATTGGAAATTGAGGGGATGTCCATAAATAGAGGAATGGCTGAACAAGTTGTGGTATATGAATGTAATGGAATACTATTGTGCTGTAAGAAATGACGAACGGGTGGATTTCAGAAAAACCTGGAAAGACTTACGTGAACTGATGCTGAGTGAAGTGGGCAGAACCAGGAGAACATCGTACACAGTAATAGCAACATTGTGTGATGACCAACTTTGATACTTAGCTCTCCTCAGCAATACAATGATCCAAGACAATTCCAGAAGACTCATGATAGAAAATGCTATCCACATCCAGAGAAAAGACTATGGAATCTTAATGCAGATGGGAGCATGTTATTTTCTCTTTTTTTTTCTTATTTTATTTTTCATGGTTTTCCCTTTTGTTCTGATTCTTCTTTCACAACATGACTAATGTGGAAATATGTTTGTTATGATTGTACATGTATAGCCTATATTATATTTCATGCCATCTTGGGGAAGGGGAAGGGAGGGAGAGAGAAATCTCATAAAGTGAATGTTGAAAACTATCTTTATATGTAATTAAGAAAAATAAAATACTATTAAGTGGGGGGAAAGCATTAGCACAGAAAGATTGGTATGATTATATAAAATAAGGGTTTTTTTTAAATTTAAAATTACCTTTTTTTTAAATTTTAACATGTTTTTAAAACTTTGAGTTACAAATTTTCTCCCTTTCTCCGTCCCCACCCACCCTCATTGAAAAGGAAAGCGTCTCGATACAGGTTATAGGTGTGTAGTCATGCTAAACACTTTCATAGTAGTCCTGTTGTGAAAAACTAAGTACATTTCCCTTCATCCTATCCTACCCCCCATTTATTCTATTCTCTCTTTTGACCCTGTCGGTCCTCAGAAGTGTTTGCTTCTGATTATCCCTTCCCCTCTATCAATGCCCTGCTCTCTTGTCCCCTTCCCCCCTTATTTTACTGTAGGGTAAGATAGATTTCTATACCCCATTGTGTATGTTATTCCCTCCTTAAGCCAAATCAGATGAGAATAAGATTCACTCATTCCCTCTCACCTTTCCCCTACTTCCCCTCCACTGTAAACCTTTTCTCATCTGTTTCATGTGAAATAATTTACCCCATTCCACCTCTCCCTTTCTCCTTCTCCCTGTATAATCCTCTCTCAACCCTTAATTTTATAAATTAAGTTTTTAATCCATATATGACGATAAAAAAACTTGATATCTATGAACTAATTTATTGATCATCCTTTGTCCTGTTTTTTCCTTTTTCTTAATTAATGACATATGTGCCCATTCTGAATTCCACTAGATGGCAGCACTCAAGCAAGTTTAGAATCTTGAGAATACCTTTTTTTAAGCAAAAAGAAACCCAAACACTGGAGCAAAACTACAAATCCCGGCATGCACTTTGGAATCTTGTTTTCCTCCTGGGCAAAGATTGTAGCAGCTTATTTGCTAGTCAGTGCAGTTTATTTGCCTTACATGTGTGATTTGCCTTCGTGTGGTTTTAAGTGGAAATTTGTGGGAGAAAGTGATCCAAAGATTAAGAGGTAAGTTTGCATTACTTTTTTACTTTACCTGTTGTCCAGTTATTAACCTTTCAGGCTGAATGGGCATTGTAATGCTGTGTTAGATCTCTAGGGTTCTAGGCCTAAGCGAAATAACTTGTTTTCTCTTGTGCCAATGGAGCAGATTTTATCCATTGTGCAATAATGTGACATAACCTGAGCTGAGCCTTTACTACTAAGGGTATGTACCATCGATGTATGTTGGCTTCCTGTCTCATTCCCCAAACAACTAAAGAACCAAAGCTTTCCTGCTAGCTTTTCAAGTCTCCAGCTGCAAGCCACGTTTCCAGATAACCTAATGTCCTACTTCATCGAGCAGCCTAAGGGAGTCTGAAGAGGGCTCCTTCAACTTCCATTCCCATATTCCTACAGTTTCTTGACATCATTAACCATTCTCTTCTTATCCTTCCATCTTGGAAGAAAAGATTTTTTATTAGCTAAAGTCATTCTTAGAGGCATTCACCTTTGAGTCAGGATAACCTGAGTTCAAATTTGACCTTAGACACTTACTAGCTGTGGGACCCTGGTCAAGTCACTTAACCCTATCACCTCCAAAAACCAAACAAAAATAAATGAAGTAATCCTAAATTCTATACCTTTGATCTCATCCTCTCCCTCCTACTCCAAGACCTTATATGCTGGCCATGGGCATCTCAAGGGTGGGCAGGATGAAATATGTAATGCAAAATACATTGCTTTAGATAGTGCAAAGTGTTACCAGAGGTTTTGCCCCAGCAATCAGCCCTTCTCTCATGCTTATTCATTCCCTTGCCCCTCCACTGGCCACCTCCCATGATGGGGGATGGAGCCCAAGCCGAGATCTTTGCCCCTTGCCCCAAAGGGAATCTGGCTCCCCAGCCCTTCATCTCCCTTTGAAAGCCCTAGCCCCACCTTTAGATCTCATTCAGACTCCTTTCAAACTTCTTCCTTTCAGTTCCCTTCATTATCTATTCTAGTTGTTTATTTAATCTCTCAGACATTCTGATTGGAATTCTCACCTAGACCCTTTTACCAGCCCCTCCTCTGGTCACCCAAAGTTACTTTAGTGTATGTAAGATCCACCCTGGCCCCCATTTAAACGCTGAGGCTCTCATGCTCAAAAAAGGCTGAGACTTTCTCTTGCTCCCTCTCCCTAAGGCGCTACTAATGTTCAGATTCCTTAAGACTCTGGCCTGTATGGTTTATCTATGGTTTATTTCTCTGGCTGAAAGGTTTGGGTGAATTCATTCAGGCAGGGCGTGCATTGTAATCTCGGGGGTCCCAGCACTCCTAAACCTCTAGACCTCATCACCATCAGCTTATTTGTTCCCTTCTTTTCAGAGTCCAACTCTTCATGACCCAATTTGGGGTTTTCTTGTAGAGGATACTGGAATGATTTGCCATTTCCTTCTCCAGCTCATTTTACAGATGAGGCAACCAAGGCAGACAGGGGTTAAGTAAGTTACCCAAGGTCACCTAGGTAGTTAAGTGTCTGAGGTCAGATTTGAACTTAGGTCTTGGTGACTCCAGGCCAGCCACCTTGCGCCCTGACCCTAACCTCTCTTCTAAACTCTAGACTCCTATCCCTATGTACAAAGTTCCCTGGTGCCTCAAACCAAACTCTGCATCTTTTCCCCATAACTGGTGCCTCTGCCTAATCCATCACCTTGTGTTTCTTCTTAATCCTTAACACCCCTCCCCCAAAGTGTTAAAGTCCTATTTATCCATTACTGTGAACTCTGTTCTCCTCCAGGAAACTCCCTGATTCCTCCCTAAGCTCTCAAGGTAATGACTTTCCTTCACATAGGCCTTTGTTTGCACCATTTGAAGCCTATTATCTTCCATCTGTACCACCCTCCCACCCTGGAGCTGCCCTATAAAACCTGGGAGCAGGGGAGCTATTCCTCCTGGTGTAGAAACCAGTTGTTGAAACAGCTTTGGGAGAAAAACCTAAGAAGCAGGGGCAGGTAAGGACTGATGGCCTTGGGGCAGTAGGGTGGTTTGGGCTGGGGTCCTCTGACTCTTTTTTTCTAATTAATTAATTTATTTTTAGTTCTCAACATTCACTTCCACAAGATTTTGAGTTTTAAATTTTCTCCCCCTCCCTTTCTTCCCCCCCTCCCAAGAATCTGATATAGGTTCTGCTTATACATTCATATTAAGCATATTTTCACTTAGAACTAATAGGAGGAACCATAAGAAAGATGAAACAAAACAGAAGAAAATTAAAGAGCAAATAGTATGCCTCTATCTGCATTCACACTCTATAGTTCTTTTTCTGGATGTGGATAGCATTTCGTCATGAGTCTTTTGGAGTTGTCTTAGATCCTTGCATTGCTAAGAAGAGCTAAGTCTATCAAAGTCAATCATCACACAATGTGGCTGTTACTATGTATGATGTTCTCCTGGTTCTGTTTACCTCACTCTGCATCAGTTCATATAAGTCCAGGTTTTTCTGAAGTTCACCTGCTCGTTATTTCTTATAGCACAATAGTATTCCATCACATTCATATACCACAACTTGTTCAAACTGATGGGCATCCCTTCAATCCCCACAAAAAGAGCTGCTATAAATATTTTTGCACATGTGGGTCCTTTTCCTGTTTTTATGATCTCTTTGGTATTCTCTGACTATTTTTACCTTGGGGTTGTGAGGGAAGGGGTTGGTGGGCAATTCTTGGGACAAGGTAGCTCAGAGGATGAGTCTTATAAACGTCCTTGGGTTATTTCTCTGCAGCTACAAATGTGATAGAGTTTTTCTTCAGAGCTTATGCATGGATCTAAGCACAGAGAGCCAGCGGTGGTGCAGTGGATAGAGCACTAGGCCTGGAGTCAGGAGGACCTGAGTTCAAATCCAGCCTTGGACACTTCCTAGCTATGTGACTCTGGGCAAATCACTTCACCTCTGTTTGCCTCAGTTTCCTCATCTGCAAAATGGGGAAAATAATAGCACCTACCTGTGAGTGATCTGGGGACAAAGAGCGCCCTAGGATTAAAAATAATATTAAAGGTTACTTTCCCAGGCCCCTGAGGGGGTTTGAGGCTCATTCTGTAGCCCATCCTGTACCAAAAGAATAATTGCCTTTGTTTCTCTTACCCTGTGTTCCTTATCCTGTCATTCATCTTCCTCATCTTGTTTGTTCTTATCCTGTCCCTAATCTCCAACCCCCATAAAAAATCCTAAAAATATATCATCATTCTACAGGCTGTAAAGTTTTCTGTCTGTAGAGGCCTGGGTCTTTTCCTATATCGGCAGCCTTTGTTTAGCTCCTTGCTAACCTCAGGCCCTGAAGCTTTCACGAAATAAGGCTCCCAATGGCTACAGAGAAGGTCTAAGTGAATTCTTTCACACCTGAATCAGCTCTCCCAACTCTAAACCTCAACATGAGGAGGTAAGATTTGTGAGGATCAGTTGGAATAATACTTGTAAAGCGCTTAATACAGTGTCTGGCACAAAGGAGGTGCTATATGATATTGTTATTATTACCTGTGTGATTTGGGGCAAGTCACTTAGCTTCTGTTGGCCTAGTTTCCTCAACTGTAAAATGAGGATGATAATAGCACCTATCTTCTGTGGTTATGAGGATCAGATAAGATAATATTTATAAAGCTAGGCTTAATACAGGTATGGTGCCTGCACTCAATAAATAAATGCTTGTTTTCTTCCTACTCTCACAGATCTCACCAGGCAGGGAAGTTTTTGGTGGGAATGCCTAGAACAGGGGTGGGGTACCTGTGCCCTAGAGGGTCACACCTCTGGCCTAGAGCATTAGTTCTACACAGGGATAAAGCCTCAGTTCTTACAGAAGGGCTTTGGATAGAATCATCTACTCAGAGTGTATGCCATGTTGCCTTTATATTCACCTGTGTCTTAATGTCTCTAGATCATCCTGCAGACTGCGCCATGGGTCGACTTGATGGCAAGGTCATCGTTTTGACTGCTGCTGCACAAGGAATTGGTCGGGCAGCTGCTTTAGTAAGTTTCATATAATAGTGGTAATAATAGCTAGCATTTGTATAGCACTTTAAGGTTAACAAAGCACTCCATAAATATTTCATTTTATCCTCCCAATAATCCTGGGAGGTAGGTTTTATTATTATTATTTCCATTTTACAGTGATGCTGGCCTCCTGGCTGTTTCGTGAACAAGACACTCTTCTCTCCCAACTTCAGGCATTTTCTCTGGCCATCTCATATACCTGGAATGCTGTCCCTCCTTTGCTGGGAACACAGAGCTCCCTGGTTTCCTTTAAGTCCCAACTAAAATCCCACCTTCCACAGGAACCCTTCCCCTACCCCTCTTCATTTCAGCTCTTTCCTTTTTATTTCCTAGTTACCGTGTATATATATCTTGCTTTGTGTGTATTTGTTTGCCTATTATCTCCCCCATTAGATCGCAATCCTTGGAGGCAGGGACTGTCTTTTGCCTCTTTTTTGTATCCCTAGCACTTAGCACAGTGTCTGGCAAATAGTAGGTGCTTAATAAATGTTTATTGAATTAAATTTACAGATGAGGAAACAGAGAGAAGTTAAGTGACTTAAGGTCACCCAGCTAAGTGTATGAGGCGGGATTTGAACTCAGGTCTTCCTGACTCCTAGTTCAATACTATCCACTGTGTCTCTTAGCTGTCTTCAATTTTTTGCTTCTTATATCACAGTCATGTCCCAAGATATAGCCATATCTTATTTCAACTCCCTTTCCTTAAAGAGTTATGCAAGACTAAACAATAAAATAACCACAGCTAACATTCTACACTCAGATTTCCCATTTCTTTACCAGGAGGAAGTTGGTTTCATCTCCAGCTATTTGCTAGGACCAAGCAAGATTGGGCACTCTTTCAGGATGTTTTTGTTTGTTACTGTAGTTGATATGTATATCATTCTCCTAGCTCTGCCCTTCTTCACTCTGCATCAGTTCATAAAAGTCTTCCCAAGTTACATCTATTCATGATCATATTTCTATTTCTTATTATTTTCATCATGTTGATATTATACTCTATGGAATGAATCTCAGTCCTCCAAATAACTCTAATTACAGGCATACCGTATCCCTCCTAAATAAAATAAAATTGCCCCAACTGACATCTCACAATAAAATCAATAGAAAGTTAGAGCCATGCCTTTCATAATGTCATGAAACTTCATTGTACAAATCAGTCACAGATAGTCAGCAAAATATCTTTTAGTCCTTTGAATGTCAGTCTCCTATCACCATATTATTTATTGAAGTGATTAAAATTATTCTTAGGAAACTAATAGCCCCTATAAAAATTTTACCTGAGATGTTTGTGTTCTAATGTGATTTGAGTCAGGATTGCCTATGTGATCATGAGTAAATCATTCTACCTCTCTTCTTTTTCCTCAAGTATAAAAGCAACTACTGACTGTAATAATGTGCTACCAATATTTGTTTTCATTAATTCTTCCATTCTTTACCAACTGCTCCCCTTAAGCCAATATGTTAAATACAACTAATAACATCCTGACTCTTTGGAGATGTGACATTTAAAAAGTTCAAGAGACATAATTTCTGGATAATTAGCCATTTTATTAATAATCATAGCATTTTAATAAAAGAAGTCAATGGCATTCTCAAATGCCAGAAGACCTTCATGATGAGTGGGCTCAGTGCTTATATGTCCTTGGAAAAGTGGGTATTCTAGAGCGGCAATCAACTCTGATTGGTTAATGCTGAGAATGGATATTACAATGGGGGTTGGGGGCTGGACCTATTCTAATGAACTTTGATTATGTCATTTATTTCTAAATTACCCCAACCTTGGGCAATCTAATCAAAGAATTTATCCCTACCCAAACCTGAGTAGAACAAAATGGGATTAAGTCCTTGTACGGTTGGGTAGGGGTTTGACCAAGACTGAGAAGAGTTAATTCAATCTCATTATCAGTAATGTCCTTCAAAAGAGTGAACTTTGAAATAAAGACCATAGAAAAAGGGGACAACTCTGGAATTAATTTATTATTATTTATATTAAATTAAATAAATATTGATTAAGTTATTATTAATAATTTCTCTCAGAGATGTGGAGATAGGTTTTGACATGTTTATTAGATTAATTTTTTATTTTGGAAAGTCACCACTACTTTGCCTGAGCTTGTCTGTGTAAAATGAGAGTAAAATATTGGCCTTTAGAGCCATTTTGAGTTCAAGTGAGATTATGTAAATTAGCCAGGGGTGAATGTGGCTTTGCCCCAGGGTGCCAGAGGGAAAAGGAGGATAGGGAAAGAATTCCTCTAGCAGTAGTAAGTATCAGTCCACGTTGTTGACTTGCATGATTTTGTCTTACCACTATCTTCCCAAACCCTGTGCATAGTCCAGTCAGCACTAGTTTTACCAGGATGGGGGTGGCGATGGAGGTGGGGTGGAGGTACTACCTGTCTTTATCCCATCTCCTGGCATGACTTCACATACTGATTTTACCATCTTCTGGGGTACCAATACATTCTGTTCCCCTAATATCATCCCACCCCTCCTACCCTAGTCAGGGTATTCTGTGTTTGCCACCATTGGTGATCTCCAAATAAAGTTACCCTGAGTACCATCATTTCAAACTGTGATTCTAGTTAATGGGACTAGAGAGCTATGAGAAGATGAAACTCATGACTGCATTCTAATTTATATCATCTTTGCCCTGATCACACACTGATTTTATCATTGTGGAGAGCTCTAGGTGTGAAAATTCCCTTCACTGATGCAGCCAAGCAATTTTTCTGTAATTTACAGTTTGAGAACTTTCTGAGAAATTAAGGGACTAGCTAGTATGTGTCCAAGACAGAACTTGAACTCAGGTCTTCCTTACTCCAAGGCTTGGCCGCTATTGACTTTGCCACAGTAGTTCTCAGATATACGCATGATCATATGCACCTATAAAAATGATGAAACAACAGAGTTTTGATGTATGTGAAGGTTCTTCTGAGCTCTAAAGGGAAGGTCATTCCATGAATTCTTTCACCTGTTGCTTGAAATGTAGTCACCTGCGATGGCTCCGGAGGAGAAAGTGAACTAATGACTTTGCATAGCTGCATAGCTCTCCCTCACTCAAATCCAATTCAACTTCAAGTCATGTCATCCTCTCCCTGATGTCATGGTCCTCTTCAAGAGCAAAGGACAAACCACACAAATACCCACAACACACATAGTCACCTGCTCAGAAGGAAAATTGCTTGGAAGTTATTTACTGAGGATATCAGTGATTTCAAAAGGCCTTGATAATAGAGTAAGCCAATATGGAAAAACCAAAGTCCGTTATCCATATCTAACTTTTTCTTCTTAGTTCAACTGAAAATGAAATTTTCTCCAGCCTACAATCATTTGCAGTTTTTTTTTCTTTAGAAAAGCTGCAATAACAAAAAACTAAGGTCTTTCTTGGGAAAAAGGATTTCAGCTGGAAGTCAAACTTAAACTCATTTCATTAAGATTGTTGCTTCCCCATCAGCTGAAGTGGCCTGCTTTGTTATTCATAAAAGAGTGTGACATTGGTCACTGAAGAGAAGACCAGAGAGAAATGATTATTAAGTAACCAATTATTGGAGAAATCTAGGTTTGTTTGTTTTCTCCCTTCCTAGATCTTCCGTTTCTAGTAGGCCAAACCAGTGTTTGAAGGATACTGCTTTTGGATGAGATTTTTGGATGAAATTTTAGATCCTCAGTGGGAATTTTTGCCCTACCCAACTAGAAAAACTAACCAAGAATTTAATCTAAAGTCAATTCCAGCCCATTGTGTTCCACTCAGCCAGGTTTGAATAGAGATAGATTCTTTGTCTAGATTGCCTGAGGCTGGGGGTCTTCTAGGAGAGAGTGATCTGTCCTCTAACCCCTTACTAGAATAGGTCCACCTCTCATTATAATATTCATTTTTCTCATTAATTGTTAACTAATCAGAATTGATTGTCACCCTTAGGAACACCTACTCTTTCGAGGGCATATAAGTGTTAAGGGTGAATGGGTTCCGTGAGGGGTCTTGGGCATTTGAGAGTGCCACTAACCCTTTTATTAATTATAGCTAGCATGATTAATAAAATGATTAATTACTCAGAAACTGTTTCTTGAATTTTTTATATGTCACAAACCCTTTCAGTCTTGCGGGAAGTGGCCATGGAAGGAATACAATAACATATTTATGGATACTTGCTGACTTGAATCCAGGAGTTTTAATAGATTAAGTGACTTTGTTAACTCCAAACTATATTTTAACTTATTATAATCTTTTCCTTGTTGAAGATTTCCTATTAATGTTATCTCAGATTTTCCAGGGGCAGAAATGTCCGAGGACATAGCGGGACTATGCTGGTTTAGACATCTCTCTCCATCTTCTTCTGTCTCAATGAATCAGTGGACATTTAATAAGCACCTACTGTGCGCCAGGGACTGTGCTAAGCTCTTTGTCTCTCTGTTTTTTATCTGTCTATGCTACAAAATGCTTGGATATTTAGAATAATGTTAAATTAATAAAAATTGTTTTTGGGAGATTTATGATTAAAATGCAGAATGCATTATTAATATTTGTTTTTCTTCCACATTTGAAAAAGAGTTTAGCAGGGAGCTAGGGATCAGGGCAACCCTAGTGGCGATTGTCTTCTGATAGCTTAGAGAAATAAAATTGAAAATGAAATACAATGGGGTAGAGTTATGTCCATTCATGCAGGCAATTATTTGTGTATTGTGTCTAGGCCTTTGCCAAAGAAGGGGCCAAAGTCATAGCAACAGATATCAATGAATCCAAACTTCAAGAGCTAAATGAGCATCCAGGTAAGTACTGCCCAACACTGACCATCCTGAGTGTGTGTTTAAAAGTTTCTAACCTTTTGTTTTTTCCCTAAGGCTAAAAGTCATAGTAGTGCTAAAAGAATAATTTCAAGAGGCCATCCTGTCCAATCGCTTCATTTTACAGATAAGTAAACTGAGGCCCAGGAAGATTAAGCTCAAAGTCACTTGTAAGTAGTAGAAGCCTAATTTGAACCCACGTCCTCCGACTCTAGAGCAGCACTCTTTACATTTCATCAGACTATGTTTGTGTATTTGGATATGAATTGATATTAGGTACTTTATCAACTTTATGGGAAGCCAGGTGGCATAGTGTATAGAGTTCCCATCCTGGAGTCAGGAAGAATCATCTTCCTGAGTTCAAATCTGGTCTCAGACTTACTAGCTGTGTGATCCTGGGCAGGTCATTTAACCCTGTTTGCCTGTTTCCTCATCTGTCAAATGGGCTGGAGAAGGAAATGGCAAACTGCTCCAGTATCTTTGCCAAGAAAACCCCAATGGGGTCATGAAGAGTCAGACATGACTGAAATAACCAAACAACAACTTTATCAACTCATGATAATATCTTTCAATTTTATTTTTTGTCCCCCTTTCCACATGTCTCATAGTATAACAAACTCAGAAGGATTTCTAAACTCTTGATCTACATTTGGATTTATTGCTTTTGATATTCTAATAAATGATCGGTAGACTGGGCTTTGAAATCTTTGCTATGGAATAATTTTTATTGGAATGGTATTTGTAACAGGATTTAACCTAAACCATTTCTTGTTTCTTAAGACATTGTCATTATGACCCTGTGAAGCCCTGGTAACAAAAACCTTCAGACACTTTTTTTTTGTTGGCATTTATAAAAGATTTAGAAAGTGCTTTACAAATATTGCCTCATTTGAGCCTCACAACAACCCTGGGAGAAAAGTGATCCCCATTTTATAGATAAGGAAACTGAGGCAGACAGAGGTCAAGGAACTTGTCAGGGCCACCCAGGTAGTAAGTGTCTGAGGTCAGATTTAAACCCAGGTCTTCATGATCCCAGATTTGACACTCTATATCCTGCACCACTGAGCAGCCACTATGTCACCTAGCTATACAAATACATTTTGTGACTAACTTAAATAGTGTACAGTTTAATATCATTTCTAGTCATCTTAGCATTAGCAATGTACACTCTATCCTTCATAGTCAACAATAATGATTATAGCCCATATTCCTATATAACTCATTTTCGAGCCCTATTTTAGTTTGATTACCCAACAACCTGTGGGGCATGTAGTCTAAGTATCATTAGCCCCATTTTCCAGATGAGGAAGATGGAGTTCAGAGAAATTAAATGTCTCGTCCAAGGCCCATTTGGCAGAGCCAAGACTCAAAACTGTGTCTACTGAGTCCTAGAATGGGGCTTTATCCATGACACTGCTGCGCAAAAGGGTATGGGTGTGAGTTTTCAGTTAGTTATGTGTGTTGCTCTCTTCCCCCACTCCCCATATCTTTTGTTCAGACAGATGTTTTAATAAGACAGCAAGCCTAGAACAAACTAGGGCTGTGGAACACAGGGAAATAGAAGAGGCTTATTTGGTAATTAAATATATGACTTTGGTCTTTAATTAGAAGAGTCCTTTAATGAAGCTAACCAGCCATGGAATGACTAAAAGGCTCATTTAGTATACTTGTTTTCAAAGGTTTGCATCCAATCCAATAAGAGCTTATTAAATGCTTATGTAGCACTTAGCACAGTGCCAGGCACATAGTAGGTGCAAAGATAATGGAGTGGTTTGCCATTTCATCTCCAGCTCATTTGACAGATGAGGAAACTGAGGCAAACAAGGTTAAGTGACTTGCCCAAGGTCACACAGCCAGTATCTGAGGCCATATTTGAACTCATGTCTTCCTGATAGATCCAGTGCTCTATCCACTGTGCCACCTAGCTGCCCCTAGGTGGGCAGGGTACATGAAGCAAACTGGAGTCCAGGTTCCCCACCCTGAACTAGACTGTACTAAACTTTCATTCTAAATGAATTAGAAGCAAAGAAATTTTGCTGAAGTAATCCAAAGAAAAACAAGACTTTCTGGAGCAAATATTTTTTTTAATCCCTTCATCTACTAGTCTTTTTATTCTCCCTACCTCGTAAAAATCAAATCTAGATCTCTTCGAATATAATTCAGATGGCTTTTTAAAGATAGCTGGTTTTTCATTTCTGTGTAATTTAGAGTCCATCACACTGTTTCCTTCTCCTAAGTGCCTTCTATACTTCCCCTCCTCCTACTTTCTTCTTAACTTTTGACATTCTGGCTTCTGAACTAATTAACTGAAAGTGCTCTCTCCAAAGTCTAATTGTTCAACCTAATGCCTTTTCTCAATCTTCATTCTTCTTGACCTCTTCGTTATCTGACACTATTGACTGCTCTGTCTTCTAGAGGTACTCTAATGCTCTCTTCTCTAGGCTTTCATGACTGCTCTCTCTCTCTCTTGATTCTCCTCATACCTGTCTGACTGCTCCTTCTCGGTCTCCTTTGCCGGATCATCAACAAAGTCATGCCCAGTAACTGTCTTTATATCCCAAAGGTTTGGGGACTTTTCCCCAGATTCTCTTCTCTTATTTTCTGTATATATTTTGATAAATTTTGTGTCCTGGTTTTTTGTTTCATAGGCATTCAAACTCGAGTTCTTGATATAACAAAAAAGGAACAAATTGAGAAGTTCTCCAAGGAAATTGAGAGACTCGATGTTCTTTTTAATGTTGCTGGGTAATTCAGTCTTCCTTGACTTCCCCTAAATTCCTGAGAATTTTCTATGTTAAAATAACTTTCACTGCATGACACAATGGAAGTTTATCCTCCTGGGGGGAGAGTACTGGGGTGGGAAGTTATTTACAGAAATAACGGTGTATAAATACAAAAAGGCATCATTGAAAGGCAGGAGAGAAGAAAGGGCAAAGGAGAATAGAGAGGAAAGGGAAACAGAATAGAACAAAGAGGACTGGCCTGCTTTAGCCATGGTCAACATATCCAATATGGAGGTATGGTTAGGAGGCTGGCTAGATGGGCACTTTCTCAGAGCATTCGCATTTTACCAAAGATTCACAAGCAATCCAGCCATGGTCATTAACATGGCCTTGTTGTCTAAAGCAAATGAAAATATATATATTTGTCTAGGTATTTATTACCTGTAACTCTAATGTACTAGAGTTCTTTAAGCAAGCATCCTGGTTGCTGCCAGCCCATCCCAGGCCTTTTGACAGAGGGGACCCAAGAGAATAGTGCATTTAGAAGATTGGTTTTTTTTTGTTTTGTGTTTTTTAGGCAATTGGGGTTAAGTGACTTGCCCAAGGTCACACAGCTAGTAAGTGTCAAGTGTTTGGTCTGAGATCACATTTGAACTCAAGTTCTCCTGACTTCAGGGCCGGTACTCTAACCACTGCGCCACCTAGCTGCACCTTAGAAGATTGTGATACAGTGATTTAGAAGATTCTGTCAAAGATGTAACTGTAACAGACCTTGTGACATGAGGTCACCTTTATACCCTCGTCATAAGCTGCACTTAAAATTTTAAGCAACTTGCATCTCAGCCCAATGGACAAACTTTTCCCAGTGATTCCCATAACATAATGGAACACAAATGTGGATGTACAAGGAGGGATAACTGGACTGCCCAGCCCTGAGTTGCTCTGCCACAGTGAGGCTTCACCTGACTGTCTTGCTTTTTTGTCTCTAAACATGCCATCTTGCCAGCCCCAGGATTAAGAGCTAGTTTAGAGGGACATCGTCTTACATATCTCCATCAGGTGAGATCAGCCCATATCCTAGCTCTTTTTATAGGCCTTCCCTGACCCATACAACCCTTCCAAAAAACCTACATTTACAATTTATTTCATACAATTTAGCTCTTAATCATATATGTGTATACAAATAAAATTTAATAGTTTGATAGCTACTATATAATTTAATAGCTTAAAACTACACTAAGATTTTTGGAATACCCTGTATGTATATATATAAATTTACACAGATCTATAGCTATATCTCTGCATATATGTTTGTGTGTGTATGTGTGTGTGTATATATATATGTATGTATATATATGTGTGTGTGTATATATGTATATATACATATATATGTATATATATATATATATATATATATATATATATATATATATATATATATATATATATATATATATGGAGAGGTATCATTGTTTTGTATTGTCTATTGCTATTTCTTGTATCCTAATCTCTCCTTACCTAGCCTGAAAGTTTCTTGAAGGCGGGGACCATGTTTTATACTTCTGTACACACCATGTTCAGGTACATAGCTGACATTCAAATACTGGTAGACTAATATTCTACCTTTGGCTGTACTGTTCAGAGAACAGCAAATGGCCCATAGCTTGGAATACCATCATAAATTGATGCTTTAATTTAAGTCTTCATCTTTATAACCATATTTAAGCTTGCGATGACTTAAGGATGAATTACGATGATCATTATGTTGCATGAAAATACAATAATTGAATTTTAAAAAAAGAAAGAAGGGTATGGATTGTTTATTTTAATCACAGACATTAGACCTGGAAAGTGCCTTGGAGATCTTCTGGTCTAGCGCTTCATTTCATAGCTAGTAACTGAGTAACTGAGTCCCAGAGACCTGAAATGATTTAACCTAGTAGGTGGGGGGAGCCAGAACAAGAATCCACTTCTCAAGATTAAACTTATAAACTTATAATTTCCTGCTCAATGTTTTCCCTGTCTCAAATCTCTCTCCTCACAGCTGTCAAAGTGATTTTCCTTAAGAACGGGTTTGACTGCTCCACTCCCCTAATCAAAAACATTCATTGTCCTCCTATTAACTCTTACATCAAATACCAAATCCTTTGCCTACCGACTGAAGCTCTTCACAGACTGGTTATAGCCCATTATCCCTTTTCACATGCTCAACATTCCAGCCAGTCCCCCCATACCTCACCTCTGTCTCTTAGAATAAATAGCCAGCTGCCTTCAACATTCAGCTCTAATCCTAACTCTTAGATGACGTCTTTCCTGATCAACCTCAAGTTAGCATCCTCTTTGTCTTCATCGAAAGGTGTATGTGTGAACTCTATTTTCTTCAAAAGAATGTAAACAGGGGCAGTGAGGGTCTTTTTGTTTTCATCACTTAGCATAATACAGGTATTGATTGATTAATGTACATGACATCCAACCTGTTTCATAAATTATTCCATGACAATAAGCTGTATCTCTATCTAGACATCCATCTCTAATGATGTTAGCTAGCATTTATGTAGTGCTCTACATAAATTATCTCACATGATCCTCACAACAACCCCTGTAAGGTAGGGGCTATTAGAATTTTGATTTTACAGATGAGGAAACTGAGTCTGAAAGAGGTTAAGTAGCTTGTTTAGGGTCACCCAGGTAGCAAGTATCTGAGATGGGATTTGAACTCAGCTCTTCCTAACTCTAGGTCCAGAGCTCTATCCACTATGTCAACTAGCTGCAATTGTTAAGAACCTCAGGAATCCTGGCAAAGAGCCAGGGAATAGTAAGAATCTGAAAGAAATCCTGCCCAGCCCTGTCTTGTTTGGAAGACAGAGTTCACAAGGAGGTCTTCCAAGGTTTAAAAATGGCATTTTATGTGTATAATGGGGGGAAAAAAGAATGAGCCCTTCATTTTGTAACTATTTTTCCAGGTTCGTCCATCATGGAAGCATCCTGGAATGTGAGGAGAAAGACTGGGACTTTACCATGAATCTGAATGTCCGAAGCATGTTCTTGATGATTAAGGCATTTATTCCCAAAGTAAGCCTCCATCTGCCACTTTCCCAGCCCTGTAATTAGCATTGAATCGATATCCAAGTCCAGAAACCCACAGGGTGCACTTAATCTCTTTGCCAAGGCCAGCTCCTCTACCTATGACCTCAGTCCTGCTCCCTCCCATCTCATCATGGTGTTTACATCTTCTATCATTCCTTCTCTCTCTAATATTTAACTCCTTCTCTCTCTAATATTTAACTCTTCTTATCTATTAGCACTTTCCCCACCGTCCACAAATATATTAAGATCTTCCCTATCACATACACACAAAACCCTCCACATAGCCCTGCTGCGTCCGTAAGCCAACGTCTTATATCCTCCGCTGTCAACCTCCTTGAAAATGCTGTGTACGTTTGCTTCCTCCTCCTGTTCACCAGCTGCTCACTTTCCAATCCCTTTGTGATCTAGGTTCTGATGCCAGCAATCTACTGAAATCTCTTTCTCAAAAGTTACTAGTGATTTCAACTGCTAAATCCAGTAGTCTTTTCTTAGTTCTCGTCTTCTAACAGAATAGCCAGTGGGCCATTCCCAGAATTTAACACTCTGCCTCTAATCGCCATGTATATATTCGTCCAAGTCATTTCCCCTGCCTAGAATGCATTCCCTCTTCATCTCTATTTCTCTTAATCTTTTTTTCCCCCTTGGAGGATGTATAATCTTTTCTAGGAAGTATTTGCTGATGTCCTCAGTTATCAGTGTTCTCTTTCTCAAATACCATGTATTCCCTTCTCTGTGTACATTTTATATCATCGCCCAGCCCCAATTAAAATATAGCCTCCTTAAGGACAGAGACTTTTCCCCCCGTCTTTATAACCCCAGTTCATGGCACAGTATTTCACACATAGTAAGTCCTTGCTAAATGTTGTGCTGAGTTGAAATGGAAGTATCAGATCCAGCAAAATACAAGCCCTAGAGGCAGAGACCTTTTTCATTTTTATCTTTGTATTCTGGTAGTTAAATTCCTTGCCATACAGTAGGTGATTAATAAATGTTTCCATTCATACTTCTGTTATTTTAAAAATGCATTTTCTATCTTGCTGATCTCCTTACACATCATATTAGTGATACCACTGGGCAAGCTGGCTAGCAATGGTTTCATATACATGCCATTCCTTTCCCTTAGAAGTCAGGTGAGAAGCTATAAAATTGCTTTCCGCTGTTGACCGATAATTAAAAAATAAAATGTGTCCTTACAAAATGCACCTTTTGTAGCTAGGGCATTTTTAATCTCCAGAGTAGAATATATATCACATTATAGTTATCTGATTTTGCAGATGCTTGCCCAGAAATCTGGCACCATTATCAACATGTCTTCTGTGGCTTCCAGCATCAAAGGTAAATCTGTTGTCAATTTTCAGGGAATCACACTTCTTATTATAAAAGGTACTGATAGGGGCAACTAGGTGGTACAGTGGATAGAGCACTGGCCCTGGAGTCAGGAGGACCTGAGTTCAAATCCGACCTCAGACACATAACACTCGCTAGCTGTGTGACTATGGGCAAGTCACTTAACCCCAATTGCCTCACTAAAAAAAAAAAAAAGAAGGTGCTGGTGTATAGCCATCTCTCAGCCATGGTATTAGGAGGAGACAGATATATGGCAGAGATAACAGGCCTCTTCATGGAATGTAATCTCCTTGAGATTAGGGACCAATTCATTTCGTTTTTGTAGGCCCAACATCTAACACAGTGATAAATGATTGATTGATCACCCAGAAACCTCTTTATTATTCATAAGGGTGTTTTTTTCCTCCCTAAATATTAGAACTTTACCATGGCTATGAACAAGTTGAAAAATACTTTTTTGCCTTATCTTGCTCACCTTTTAATTGAGGTGGATGGAAATTCTGGAAGAACAGAAGTTGTGAATAACGGAAGAAAGATTAAGCAGTGATCTAAATCCACAGACTAGGAAATTCCTGAATTATTTATAATTCATTAAGCTTGTCTTTTGGAGACTTTGCATGTTCCCAAATCTATATTTGAATGCATTAATTAGTATAATAAATTAGTACAGACTAATTTAGTAACCATATCCTCTAAGTTTAAACAAATTCCTCCTTGTAAATAACCTATCTAGCCTGAGATGGCCGTTAAGTCTTTCTGACATCTCAAACATACTATTTAGTAAATGGGTACAACAGTCACATAGTTCTTGAATGGCCTGAGAACATTAACAACCTACCCCTGGCTTTTCTGACAGTCTACTAGAAACATCCTGCCCACCAAGAAATTATTGTACTAGGCCATTGGGCTTTTCCCCACTCCACATAAGGTGAGCACAGGAATTGTCTACCTCTAGCTCCCTGCCTCCCTATGAGCCTTGCCCCTTCAGGTGATGCTGCCCATGACCCGTCTCAGCTTGAGCTTCACCTGCCCCAGTCCTCATGGATTGTCAGGCCTTCAAAGTCCATGCAATCGCAGACCCTGAGCAATGGTGGAGATTCTTCTAGTACTTGGTCAATGCAATGGCTATAACCAGAGTATAAGAACTTGGAAATATCCACAAGCTCTATGCTCCAACTGATTAGAGCATTCTACCCCATGGTCAGGGGGAGGCCCACAGAATAAGGGATGGTGTGATGAGCCCTACAGGCGCTTGTTCACACCCACGAAAAAGGAATGGCACCCACTTGGTTCATGACGACAGAACACAGAACCTCATAATCATATGATCAGCACAAGGTGTTCATCTCAGATGTTCATTCCACTTATTCTATCTGGGTGGGAATTTACAAATATCTCCCATTCTGCCTCTCAGTGCATTGATAGCTCAACTTGACTGTGTGATGTCCCTTCTACCCAAGCCCTTTTCCACAATTAGCCTCATTGTATGTGTATTATCTTTTCCGTTTATGGCAGGTGGTGGTGTAGTGGATAGAGCACTGGGCCTGGAGTCAGGAAGATATGAGTTCAAATCTAGCCTCAGACACTTACTAGCTGTGTGACCTTGGACAAGTCACTTCACTCTGTCTCAGTTTCCTCAACCATAAAAAGTACTTAATACAGTGCCTGGCATGTATTGGCACTATATAAAGGCTTATTCCCTTCTCCCTATTTTCCTTTGCCTAGATCAGGCCTACACAATCTATGTCCTGCCAAAGGATTTTGGGAGGCCCCCAAAAAATGTAGAGGAAAACATCCTCCATAGACTGCCAGGAGAACCGTTGAGAAGTACTCCCATTGGAGGAACTTTTGAATTGTCATTGGTCATTCTAGTGAGGATACTATTCCCATTTTACAGATGAAGAAACTGAGTTTATATAACTTGGCCATGGTTGGACAACTGGTAAATGACTGAGCTAAAATTTTTGCCCAGGTCTCTTGAGTTTTGGAGTCCTGGTAAAGTATCTTCACCATCATTAGGAGTCCAGATGTACTGACCTTTAACTCCTGACCTATTTATTGCATCATCCCTTCCATTCGTATCATCAGTCAGATGTGCAATCTCATTAATGTGGGTGTTTCCTCCACAGATGGGGATCAAATTGTATTCATGCCTACTTCTCTTTTCTCCTTTTTTTTTTTTGGTGAGGCAGTCGGGGTTAAGTGACTTGCCCAGGGTCATACAGTAAGTGTCAAGTGTCTGAGGCTGGATTTGAACTCAGGTCCTCCTGACTCCAAGGCCAGAGCTCTATCCACCTAGATGCCCCCATGCCTACTTCTCTCTAGTGACTCCTGTTCATGTCTTCCCATAAGCTTTCCATAAGGGCAAATCTACATGCTCTTCATTGAGAGGAAGAAAGGACATCAATGGAATCTTCAGGCTAACCATGGATTAACCTTTGCTGCTTCCACACAACCTGTTTTCTTTTATACTCATACACTTCTTTGACATCCTTTAAGCCATTTCTCCTTATCTGTAAAGTGTTGTAGCTTCCTTATGAGCATCATATGTCTCCTCATTGCCCTATGTTTTCATACTACACCAAGAAATATTAAAAAGTTCCCCCTTATTGTGCCCCTCTGCCTGCCCACCCCAGGCCTACCTTGTCTACCTTTAGTCCCATCTGACTAAAGCTACAATGATCATGTGAAATGAGTGGGGGTGCTGGCTCTATTCAACACATACAGTTTGTTTTTCTAGCCCATTGCCTACTCAGCTATTCATTGCCCTCCAGCCCTGGAAACTATTAAGTTGTAAAGGGAAAGCAAGAAAGAGTACAAAAGATGGAGCAAAGGTTTATGTATTCTCTTTCTAATAAATAGCATCATGATTTTGCTTTCTTGGCCTTCTGAATATTGGTCTTCGCCTTCAGGAGTTGTCAACAGATGCGTATACAGCGCGTCCAAAGCGGCAGTGATTGGACTGACAAAATCCGTGGCCGCCGATTTCATCCACCAGGGTATCAGGTGCAACTGTGTGTGTCCGGGTAAGTGATGAGTCAGAACACTCTGCAAACTTGGAGTCTAGGCTAGGCCACAGCCTATAAAGAAATCTATATGGCCACACTTTAAAATATATTCTGTGTTGTATTATTAGTTTTTTTTAAATGATCAAAGGAAGGAACTTGTTTTAAAGGATGAAAAAGGGATTTGGCCCACTTAACAAATGTTTGGAACAGAGTTTTTATTTATTTTTTGGAATAGAGTTTTTAATAGCTATTTCCATGATCTCATCAATATGAGTATTCCCTCAACCCTGAACTTTCCATCATGACTTCTCTCATCTTTGATTTCTTCTTAGCTACTCTTTCATCCCCTACTATCTAGAACTATACTTAGGGTCTCCCCAACCACTCAAAAACTTCACTCGATTCTACTTTCTTCTAAACTGATTTCTTTATTTCTCTCCATTCTTTTCCTTCCTGATCCCCAGAGTCTTCTACTCCTTTTGCCTCCATTACTCAGCACCCATTGATTTCTCATCCTATTGCAATATGGTTTCTCACCTCAGATACTATTGAACCTGCTCTGTCACACATTGCCAATGACCTTTTTTTTTAATATGTACTTTTTTTTACTGAAAAAAATCATTCATAAATTAATAACATACAAAAATATATAAACGCATGAGTAAATAAGATAATGACAAAGGACTACTTTTGTGAAAAGTATGTGATCTGCTGTTTGTTTTTTAAAACATCTTTAGAGTTCAGTGCAAAAATGTGCCCCTGGCACCTCTTAAAAATATAAAGGACAAGTTCAAAGTACTTTTCAAAAACATGACAGTTTACCAGCTTTCTCAAGAACAGTTTCCTGCACCCTCATATGAGCTGATAAGTACGACAACCTAAAATACTACATTTTCTAGATACTAATTGAGTCCCCAAGAGACAAAGAAACAAAACCAGTCAGATTTGGCCAATCACACCCACAGCCCTCGGGGTGTGGGAATCATACCCATGGAACCAGACCCATGCAACAGCACATACTTATGTAAACCATGAAAGCTGTGGAAGTAGAAAGCAAACTAAGTTAAATGAAGAAAAAGGAAAACATGAAGCACTCTTCAGAGAGGATTTCCAGTCACAATATATAAATAGACTTTATGTTTAAAAAAAAATCTGTGCTTTCCAGAACAGCCATTTGGGGAGATTTTTTTCAGGTCCTATAGAAATCAGCGAGTTGCACACAAAGTAACTTTAAGCTGCATCAACCAAGATGCAGTTTGGAATTGGGTCTCAAAAAATAGGAGATATGCAGAGAGCACTTTCATTCTCATACTTCAGAAGCTTTCTCTGACTGTTGGTCAATATTCTCCTTTTAGCTGTGCTTTGCTCACTGACGTGTTTGTCACTGGCTGAATTTTAAGGACTTCAAATGTTTGTAATGATAAAATAACCAAAACAACTCTTCTGAAAAGAAAAAAAGAGCAAAAAGCAAAAGTGAAGAGGAACCACTGAAGCCATTGATAATTTAGGAATAAACTTGAATGACTAGTTGATTTCCAGAGCCCCAAAATCTCGATAGAGCAAAGGTGGGAAAGAGTGTCCAAGAAAGAGAGTCTGGGGCACGTGGGCAAGTTTTTGCTCTGGCTCTGGGCAGGCACAGTCAAGTTTCACACCCTCCAGGGGTGGGGGAAGTGATTAAGAAAGAGGGGCCAGAATAAAAGTCAACGTCAAAAATCAGGGCCAGGAAGGAGAAACGGAGGAGATGTTAGCTACAAAAGATAGGAAACAGACAAATCCGATATTTTGTTCCTTTTTGAAATGTCTCCCCAAAAAGCCAGAATTTCAGTGATAAATGATACACTGCAATGAAATTTGAACTAAGCCTGGCGCCTGTCCACTAAATAAGTGATTGAATATGTAAACTGTCTGCTTGAATCCCAGTCAACAGTAAAATTAAATTAAAAAAGAAAAAAGAAGAGGCAATTTACACGGCTTATTTACACTTCCTCTTTCAGAAGCCATAGTTATATATCTCTACATACCCTCCCTCTCCCCCCCCAAAGTAATTAAAAAACAAAACAAAAACTCCACCAATATAGCAGGATAGATGAGGAGCGGTTCATTTGCTCTTCCATAAAGGCAGCTGCCCTTGTAGTGGGGTTGGTTCTTTGCCTCCAGAAGCAAAGAAGATGAAGATGTCATTCAGAAGAATGAGCTCCGTGGCAGGACATCGGCCGTGTCTGATCACGGTTCTGGTCCTGGAGATTGTGGCTGAGACAGGACATAGGGATTGGAGAGGTGGAGAGAAGAGCAGCAGGACAGACCACCATCACTGGAAAAGAGAAAGCAAGTCCTGATGAGTGAGGCTCCCAAACTTGCAACACAATCCAACTAGGGCTGGAGAGCGAAGACATTTTGTGCGGGCATTTTGCAATAGCATTCTTCAAACCCTGTGATCCTTCATTAGCCCATGTATTCCTGTTCTCTTCCAGGTTGTCTTGGTGACAGGTAAAGCAAACTTATCTTCTCTCCTTTTAATATTCATTCACCTGAGCTAGCTCTGGAGTCAAGTTTACAGTTATTTTTTTGTACAAGGTGTCATATGTGATGTTCAAAAATTAGTTCAAGTTATTGAAACCATCCAGAGCTTGTCTTTCCTTTGACTTCCTCAGGAACCCATGCCTCCCTAGAAACTTCACTTTTCCTCCATGGTGGGAAGGGATAGATTTATACTTCCCAGTGTCCCCTTCTGGCTGGCTCACTGAGTAGCCTGCATTCTGTACTCTGTTCCAGAGGTCATTGTCTTCTCCACCCCAACCCCAGAATGCATTAGGAAAGCCATTAATTTTCTGAAACTGCTCTACTGTTAAGCCACTCACTCCACTAAAAAACATTATAAGGAAGCAGATACATATATTTATCCAGCTTGGTTGCAAAGTGCCTTGGCATTTGCCCACATCCGTAACAGTTACAACCATTTTCTGGTATGTGGTCCACATGGTGAAAAATCAAACAATCCCAATTCAAGTCTCTCATTGCTTCATGAAAGCCAACATTAAAAAGCATGGCATGATTGAAGGGTTGAGTACCAGCTTGTTCAATAACATAGAATGCAAACTGCAGGTGCTGGCGTCATAGAACAGGAATCAAGTGCCGGAAAAGAAGAGGGAGATGCTCATAACGGTTTCTGAATGGAATAAAGATTGCCACCTTCCAAAGAGGCATGCAATCACTGGGCTTCCAGTGACCTCCAAGTTTGATGGCAGGGTCTCTAGAGAAGATTCTGACTTCACTTGTGTTTATATCTATTGGGCCCTTCATAGAAAAGGGAGTCTTTTAGGGCAGGTATGGTTTGCAAAATATGGAAAGTCTTCAGGAAGAAAAGTTGTGGTTTGCAGAAAGGTTTCACTGTGATTCAAGTCAAGAGGATAATCTGAGTCATTTACACTGCTATTGTTACTGGCACATGCCCTCCGAGCCACCTGCTCATACCCCTGAGTACCTATTCTCATGTTGTCTCGGATCAGGATACCCTGGGCTTGCATCATGAAGAGGTAGGTGCTCATCACACCAGGAGCCACATACATGAAGTAGAGCAAGATTGTGGACAGAGAGAAGATGAGTGCAGCCAGCAGCTCCGCATGGTGCAGCCATCCTGAGTGGGGCTGGGGTTAGGGCCCAGCCAGACGGGCCACGCCACCCCTCACATCAGAGCCGTCTCCTCCATGGCCGGGCCACATGAACAGATTGGGGCACATTGATCATTTAATTACTAAATCTGATGGCCTTTTATGTGTTCATATACCTTGAAGTTTTTGACACTGTTGACCACATCTTCTTCCTGGACATTTGTCCTCCCTTGGCATCTGTGCCCTGTTGTCTCCTGGTTCAGCTTGGGTCTGACCTCAGTCTCATTTGCTGGTCCATCATCCATGTCCCATCCTTCCCATGGCTGTCTTCAACCCTTTTCTCATTCCATGCTCTTTCCTTCTATCTAATCTGTTCAGTTATTATCTTTATGCAGATGTCTCCTGATCTATATTTCTAACCCACCCTAATCTCTATGATTCTAGTCCCATATTATCAGTTGTCAGTTGGACTTCTAAATCTGGAAGTCCCAATGGCACCTCTAACTCAATGTCAAACATTTCACATTTATTTAATGCTTTAAGGTTTACCAAGCAATTTCTTGACAACAGCACAGTGAGGGAAATAGAAATATTTTTTTTGGCAGGGGGGTGGGGAGGAGGGGATTTTCTAGATCTGTGAGATTTCACTGGTGTAGTGAACTCCCTTCAACTCCAGATCAACAAAATGTTTAGAACTTATCATCTTTCTTCTGGAACCCGTCCTTTATTTAAACTTTGCTATTTCTCTTGAGAGCAGCACCATCCTCTCTGGTACCCAGGTTCTCAACTTTAGAATCATCCTCCTATTGCTTTTAGATTTCTTTGGACCTCTCCACCACCTTCCTGCCCTAGGAAACTTATCATTGGGAAACCTCATTACCCTATAAGATTTCATCAGCCTTACTTTGATCCTCACATCTCATTAGCACCCTCTCATTCCACCTTATGACTGGATGGTAGAATGATGGGCTCCTGGGACTCCATTGAAGGAGGGGGCCCAGCCCAACCTTCACCCCACTTCCTATCAGCTACACAGCTTCTGGACTTCTTTGGACTTCTCTATCATGCAAAGAGTACCTTCTCCCTGCCCTTTTAGTTTCTTTTTGTGTGTTGTCTTTCCACCTAGATTGTAAGTTCCTTGAGGGCAGCAATTGTCTTTCTTTTTATTTGTATTTGTATCCCCTTCACTTAGCACTGTGGCTGGCACAAAGTAAGTGCTTAATAAATGTTTTTGATTATTGACTATCTTAGACCCTTCCTTCTCTTTCACTGTCCCCTTACATCCAGGCAGTTGCCAAATCTTATTGATTTTTACGTCCACAATGGACCTCATCCATTACCTTCTCTCTACTGACGTGGCCACCACTCTGGTTCAGGCTCTCATCACCTCTCACCTAAACTGTTATCATA